TGGATACTGACGGCTGCTAGATATGTGGAGACCGGCAGAAGGAACGTATCGGATAACAGTGCAAGAAGAATTTTCATTTCAGTCATCTTGAAGACAGTCCTCCGTGATCGGCGACAAACCATGGAGCTCTACTCTGAGACTTGTCAAAGCGTGAGATAAATGAATGCTCGTGGCCCCCTTGGTTCCCGTGCCATGCCCGTTGATAGATAAATCACCTCCAGAATGCACTAAGACTCAGATAGGGCCATTGAGGTACGGTTCCATCGATCAGTTTGCAGCCTACCCGGAACTTTTTCCTTTTTCTGTTGCGATGACCGGTCACCGGCAATGTCGGTGTGGCAATGTTGACTCATATGCACTTGCCTCTTGGGCCTCTTGCATCCTCGATGCTCGGAACTACTCATCTGAGCCATGTGGCGTCGAGGTCTTAAAAGATGGAGCCTACGTGGAGCTTTTCGCCGGATGCACCACCTTCCTTTTTGGGTGTTGCTTGCGTCACTACTGCTTTCACTCTAGTAGTCGCGCAACAGGGTGCGATGCCCTTCCTTTGACAGGCCAGTAAATGTGCAGTCCTTGGTACTCGATACCCCCTGATCTCTCGATATTGACCCTTCAGCTGTATATCTGTGCATGACACTATAACAAAAAGTCCGCCATTGATCACTGCCCAGCGCCATCAAAAGTCAGAGCCACCGGATCGCCGCAGCAGCTCGCTCTGTGCTCCACCTCAAGTCGACTGACCTCACAGATCCATTCCCCAATCAACTGCGCTGCTTCTTTCACTGCTGTCTGCTCAGCTGACCGGCGCGGACATATTCATGCCCCCAGGCCATTCTTGAGCGATGGAGCGTTTGGAAGAGCTCTCCGAAGCAGCGCAAGAGCAAGGCATCGCAATAGCTCGAAGATGTACTCATCTCCGATTCTATCTCGTCAGTTTCAACGCCCTTGACGGCTCCTCTCCATGTACTAACCATGATTGAATTGACCTGCAGCTACATACTTCAGGCGGCTGGCTGGGGACCATCATCATCTTACTATCCGACCTAACGGGCGCTTGGGAGTTTGTCTTTACGGCTATCTTCTTTCTGGTGTCGTGGACGATCCTTAGGCTGGCCGAGGTGGAAGTCTCGCTTGTCCTAGGAATGAGCTACGATCTAGTCATCCCACTCCAACACCAACGTACGCATCCCCCTCTCAGATCTCGCTTCAGTGTCGAAATCCCCACTAACTTTTCTCCTCGCTCGCGCCCGCGGACGAAACAGTTGATCCAACATTATACCCCACCCACGCAACCCACCTCGAACAATACTGGCCGCTCTTCATTCTCGGCACCCTCATCGAATTCATCGCCTTCTTCATGGTGCACCCGGACCTCTTTACGTTGGTGGTGTGTCTCAAGACCATGAGCCTGTTGGGCGTTTGGATGGGGCGAGATGAGACGGGTGGATTTGTGGGTTCGATCTTTCTTCTGCTCGGGGGAGGAACAAAGTCGACGCTGGCATGGTCAGGACTGACGATATGATAACAACAGGTGACATCGAAGCTACAAGGAAAAGGTATAGCGCCCCAAGACCTCGGTCTCCCCTCCAAATCATCTTCATCCTCCTCCCCATCGACTTCTTCATCTTCACCATCCTCAAGACACCGCAGGCACAGGGATACCGCCGAACCCGAAAGCTCTCAACCTTCTTCCAGCCGATCGGGTAAGCCACCCTCCAGAAAGCCAAAGTCGGGTGGTAACGAAGCGTCGCAGGTCGGTAGAAGAGGTGGCGATGAGGGCCGATCGGCGGATGGGAGCGGGAGGTCACGCAGAGGAGATGAAGGGAGGAAGGAGCCGAGGAGAAGGGATAGGTCTAGTAAGAGGGGTCCCCCGGCGGGCGATGATGCCTCTGGAGACAAAACTCTTTCTACCGAACGAAGCAACATCAGCGAGCCCGATACTTCATCAGACGAGGGCTCTGACGCAGCTCCTGCAGGCGGGCTCCGTGGTGAGGCTGAGAGGAAGAACGAAGACGACGAGGCAAAGAAGAAAGAGGCGGAGAGAAAGAGGAAGAAAGATCAAAAGAAGAAGCGTTCGGATGGGAATAGCAATACTCGCTCAACCTCCTCGACCACGCCGTCGACACCCACGCCTTCCGCTTTGTCTGGGGACTCGGAACCTCCCAGCGAAGCTACCACACCAACTTATGCATCCTCTTCCTCTTCGTCATCCGACTTTGACTCCAACAGTACGCCAAACTCCCCACCCACTTCCACGCCAGACACCCCATCATCCACTTCATCCAGCTCGACTGACACTGAACCTCCCACACCCGAACCTACCCCGTCACCCACATCCTCAACAACCGATCAACAAAATGAAAACCGAGACGGAGCTCAAATCGGAAACGAAGAGGAGAGGGGCTACATCCCAAACCGCAACGCCGATTCTCGCGGATTCAACGGTAATCTCATGCCCATCCGGAAGGAACCCCCAGAACATCGTGAGGGCGCACGTCCACACTGGGGTGGAGATGAAAGGGAAAGAGGGGGAGGGGGAGCAAGAGGAGGAGAAGGAGGGAAAGGGGGAGAGTATCAGCCGAATCAGAACGCTGATTCTCGGGGGTTCAAAGGTAATCTCACGCCCATCAGGAAAAGACCACCGGAACCTCGTGAGGGTGCACGCAGGGGCGAGAGGGAAGGAGGGGGAGCAAGAGAAGAAGGGGCGAGGGAAGAGTACATCCCGCCCGCGAACGCCGACTCTCGAGGGTTCAGAGGTAACCTGCCCCCTATTCGCAAACGACCCCCCGAACCTCGAGGAGGCGGACGCCAGCCTCGTCCTGGTAATGGGACGCAAGGAGGACGAGAGGAGTATATTCCGAACCCGAATGGCGATTCGAACGACTTCACCGGAAATCTCATGCCTATCCGAGCTAGGAATCGTATCTGACACAGTCGACTTTAGCAAGAGTGTTGCTGTATTATAGTCTAGTTTTTGGTTCTTTGGGTGTTCGTGTGTTACATGTGAATAAAATGCCATATGTGTCTTCCTTCAGAGTCGGTTCCTTACAAGACATCTTCTGTTCCTCCTTCATCCGCTCCCAAACCTTCTCCTCGTAGTACAAAGATGCCCTTATCCCCTACTTTGGACTCCAAACTCACCCCACCCTCAAGTTTTTCTCCAGCATCAGCAGCGTCCTCCTCTCCCTTCTTCCTACTCCACTTGGCCTCCAACTCATCTTCCGCCCTCTGAATATCCACGCCCAAGTCATCGACCCGGCCCATACCGTAGAATCCAACTTGGGAAGGGAGGAGGGGTTGGATGACGTTGTGGGCGAAGAGGTGTTGGCGTTTTTCCATGTCGAATGCCCTGACCTCTTTCATCAGTATCTGTCCAAGAGAACGGAAAAGAAGGAGGAGAAGAAGACATACCACATAGCAGCCCCCACCCTATTCCCTATACTCAATCCCAGCCCAAGCAATGGCACACTCTCCACCCAAGCCGCTACGAACCCAAACATCCTATACGCCCATTTCCTCTCTTCCACCCACCGCCAAACCTGCTCGTCCGACATGTTCTTGGAAGAGAAATAGGGTTGGTGCAGGTAGGAGGCGGTGTGTAGGGATTTGAGGAGGGCGGTGAGGAGGGGGGAGAGGAGGGGGAGGGTAGGGGAGAGGGGGAGGAGAAGGTCTGTTGTCTGTTAGCTAGGAGGGAAGAAGGTGAAGGAAAGGGGAAAGGAGCGTACATTTACGCATGATAAGCTGGGTAGGCCACCAGAGTATCCAGCTCAGCCACACAGAGCTCTGTCTCATCCGCCTGCCGTCCTTGTCTATAGTCCCTGTCATGACTGGCGGTTGTGCCCATTCTTCGATATATCCCTACTCTCGTCAGCACTTGCAGGTCGAAGAAGCGGAAGGGGACCCACTTGAGACCAGAATTCACGAGGCTTGCCTCGGGAAGAGACGGTAAGAGCATATGCGCGCGAACGAGCAAGTTTGAGGTTTTTGTAAATGAAGAACCGTAGAATGGAGCTTAGTTGGGGCAACAATATGAGTAGATGTGTATCTTGACAAACGTCAGCTTCATCCACAAAGGATATTCTAGTGCGCAACAACTCACAAAGTACCACATCCAACGTAACGCCCCACCTCCCAAGCCCAACCCTCACCGTCCCATCTACACTCTCCTTCATCACCTCCTCCCCCTTTTTCCACCAGCTGCCCCCTATCAAAAACTTCCTTATGACCCAGTTCAAGAAGTTCCAGCTGAACACTGCGTACACGGCGCCAACGATGAGGCCGCGGGCGGTGGCATGCTTTACCTTGTCAAAGACGGGGCTGCGGATGGAGGGGTCTGAGAGGAGGCGGTAGAGGCCCACGACGGTATAGAGCGGGGGGAAGTGCAGCAGCTCGGAAGGCATCGTGGTTTGCTGTCTGGGCTGCGTTCTCGAGACACTTTCTGGCGCTGCTTCCGTCGGTGATGATGCATCCATATGATGATGTCAGGGGCACGGGTACTTACGTAACTCAGATCTTGTCAAGCGGCGCCCACCGCTTCAGGGATGATACAAGCGCGCTGACAAGCAGAGCCCAGGCATGCAACAATCAAATGAGGCCGAGTATCACCGCTGAGGCGGGGGGGTGATGGAGTTGGTAGTCGTGGGCTGTGTTACGCGCAGAAGAGTGGAATGGGGGGATTGTTACGGCGTTGCAATCAATGTTTACGGCGGGCGTGCCGTTGGTGGAATTGAATGCGTCGCTAAAGTTGTGCGCTATCGCCATGTGGAGCGGCAGTAAGACGGCAGAGTGAAGAGTTGGACGGGATAAAGTATGGACATGCACCCCTCCATATGCACGGTATTCTGAGGCGTCCGCCAACGCGAGCCCCGGGCATGAAGATCTGAGTAGTGAGATCTGTTGCGGGCATGAGTATTACGGGAATCAATATGAGATCTGCAATCGAGATCTGCGGTGACTTCTTGGTAATTCGTTCGGCGCCAACTGTTGACAATTCGTTACACCGGTAACTTCTTCTATTTCCCCCTATTCTCCTCTATCATCTCCGACCCAACCAGCGCATCCCGAACCACTCCATCGCGCCGCCGGCTGCACACGAAAGAGGAGAAAGAAGAATTCACCGCCCGGCATCTCCTCGGCACGACTCGCGCTTTATTTCAGTTCCTGTCCCCAGTTACACAACTATCCCAACCCCTCCTTCTGTCTGCGGTCTGTGGGGGTGTTGAGACACACTTTCCTTCCTGCGCACACCCATCCCGCCCAGTCCGAACGCTTATCGACGGCTTCGACGGAATTACCCCGGCTTTGGCGCGCAGTATATTAATTGTCGTCAGCGGCGAGCGAGAAACGATCAATCATCCCCGAGATATATAATCCTCGACCCCCTCCCGGCCTTCCCCTCTCCGTTCCTCACCACTCTCTACAAGCATTCCTTGCTTCTCAAAAAGAAGCCGCGTACGCCGCTCCGCCATCGCCGCCTTCCGATTCCAACAGCACCACCCGAATCTATCGGATCAACAAGCGTTACGCACCGTCCCATCAATCCCTCCTGTCACCATACACATTTGTTCAATCGACCTTGCAGTCCCTGATAATTTTGTAGTGTGCGTTTCTCGGTTCCAATTTCATGGTTCAACCTTTTCCGCTGACACATACATGTAGCAGCAGTTGTCTTATATAATCACCACAAGACATCCCCGGGCATCTCATCCCAATCAACTCTTCCTTCGCTCCCCTTCCTCACTTTCCAAAACTCAACAATGCCATCCAAACGCGCCGCCCCCTCTTCCTTCTCCAACTCTCAACCCCAACCCCCGCCCAACAAACGCTCCCCTCTATCATATACTGGCCGTGCAGCCCCGCCCAAGCAGAATGTACAAAAGTTGAGGGAAGAGCTGGGGCTGTCGGCTTGGATAGCTTGTAATGCTGATCAAGAGGTGAGTGTTCTTCTGCTTTGGATTCTGATCTTTGGAAGAGTTGGCGCGTTGGATGAAGTTCGTTCTTAGTTTTTTGTTCTTCGAGGAATCGTTCTTCGATCATCCTGATGTCCGAGCGGAACGATAATTCCCCAGCCTCCAGGGCGTAATATACCCCAGATCGCCCTTCGCTCATCGCCCTTGGAGTTCATGACGATCTTCTTCTCTCGATTACACGATCGTAGCCCACATGCTGACCCGATTTTCCAATTCCCTCCTCCCAGGCAAAACTCCAATACGTCTCTGAAAGCATGCAAAACATCCTCGGCTACACCCCGGACGAATTGGTCGGCAAGTCTTTGTATCTCATCTTTCATCCGGATGAAATTCCGATTTTGAGGCATATTCATTAGTACGTTATCCTCTCCTTTCCTTCTCTCCTCCTCCTTCCTTACCCCTTTCTTTCCGTGGGCAGAAACCAGAAATGATATCTGTCGGTATGTTTCGGTAGGGGCCGAGAGAGGGAGTCCTTTGGTGGCGCTGGTCGTCACTCAAAGGTACTTTTTTGGACGGAGGTCCGAGCGATTATATTTTGGGAGTGACGATCGCAGGACATGGGACACATGTCGTGGAGGTTGGAACGGAGGACAGAAAGACAAAAGCAGAAAGTAGAGGAACAGAGAGCTGACGTTGATCCCACAGTCAAGCCTTGACAGAAGAACGTACAGCCTGCGTAGCATACTTCCGGGTCTTGCATAGGGAAGGGTATTACGTGGAATGTTGTTGTTCCTAGTACGTCCTTCATTCTCCCTCCATCCTTCTTCGTCTCTTCCGGTGGAACCATTGAGGGTGAAAAGCTGACGTAGAGTGCAGCTATACAGTCTACAACATGTCGTTAGCGCTCTATACGAGAGCGGTAGATGGACAGCGGACATTACGTGAGTCTTGACGAGAAATGTGAGAAAGTGGAGAGGTACGGTTGGCTGACACTTTGGGTCCAGAACAAGCTTTGACAGCTAGAGAGGTTATCGAGGTATCACCCGCTTCGCAAGGCCAATACGCCATCAAAGTATGCCCCCACTTCCATTCAACTCAACCAAAAGGACTAATCCCCGGCTTAGCGATGGACACCAAACTCCAACTCCCCCTTGACATCTAACCCCTCCTCCATCCGCTTCTCATCCTACACTTCTCCCGACCGCAACAAACCCAAGGACGGCAAAGAAGACAAATGGCCCGTACCGCCAAAACCGTCGCCGAGGACGTTTTATATATTGGACAGGTTTACAGAGACGAGCAAGGTCATGTATGTGAGCAATGATGTTATAATCAATGGGTCTTCTGTACGTCCCTCTCGTCTCGTGTTCTTGACTCCTGTGGGATATGGGTCAAGGCTGACGAAAGCACAGTTGTTGGGGCAGAGTTTCTACTCCATCATCAAACCTTCGGATCGACCGCATGTGCAGCAGCATATCGACGCGACGAAACAATCTACGCCGGTAATGTATGATCAAGAACGCTCAGGCGGGCATGGATATACGACGTTTCATGTGCTCAAGGTGCGTCCCCCCCTCGCCTCTTTCCCTTCTCACCACCAAACCAGGATTAAGCGCTGACAAGACAAAACAGATCCCAGACCTTCCCCCGTCAGACGAACGTTGGCCCCAGGGAACAGACGAATCAGAACGCTCGATGCCTGGACAAGGCTTCATCCGTGTCGAAGGGATCTTTACGGCGAGCAGTGATAGTCTGACGTGTATCATTGCGAGGGTGGAGGATGCGCCTGCGGGTGGGTCTGGGTCTAGTGCTGGACCGGGCAATTCTGCTTCAGGAGGAAGCAGAGGAGGCGGCTCAGGAGGGGCAGGGAGGGGATTTGGAGGAAGCAGTGGGGTGATGCCTATCAGGAAGTTGACTGATTAAAGAGAGAGGTGATAGAGGAAAGAGTAACGAATTGGCACACGAACGTATAATGGTGGACTTTGTCTGTACAATACTTATACTTTGACCATTGTCTGTTTGTCTGTATCAACTACGGAAGGCAAATACTTTAGATATAATGCCATTTCAACAATGCAACATGACTCATACAGATGTTCTCAGAGTTCGCAGGTCTCATGCCTTCTCCAATGCGAGCATTCACCACACTGCGGCGTAATTGAGATCCAATGCATTGTTTTGTACGTCAAAGAGAATGATGCTTGAATGCTGTGAGATCCAAAAGACCAGAAGAGATAAAGCAAGAAGAGGAGAAGCGAGAGAAAAATATATCCAAAATTTATGCGACCATCTTGTCTAAACATCTTGCGTCATTTATAACCATCTTTACCATCCTGATCCACCGCCTCCACCACTCCTCGCCTGAGGCGGCTTGTACACACTCCCGCCTGAAGGCCCATCACCCCATCCGTCATCTCCCCCGTTCCCACTGTCGCCTCCCGCCCATCCTCCATCCGTCGGACCTCCTTGACCACCGCTCGCACCGCCCCATGTAGCAGACCCATCATGCACATCGCCCCACTGCGGGCCATTCGAGCCACTTTGTAGATGCTGGGCATTTGAAGGATGCACCGAATAGCTGTGGGATTGCGGCGAAGGTGCCCTCGTAGGCGCTCTTGTCGGTGCGCGGGTGTTGCCTATAGAGTCAAACCCGCCAGCACCAACACGCTCAGCTTGGAAGTTGTCGAGGATGCGGACGATGTCGGTGGTGAGGTACTCGAGCTCTTTGATCTCTTCGTGCGTGAGGGCACCAGAGTATCGCGAGCTCTCTCGTTTGGCGGCGTCGTCCTCTTCGTCGTCGCTCTCGTTTTCGTCTTCCCCGCTACCATCCTTCATACGGGAAGACCCGTCTTGCACTTGGACGTCATTACTCCTCCATCGCTGGTCGCGGCCCTGCACAAGACTCTTGCCCAGACCCTCGAAAACTCGGAGTAGACAACCGTCCAAGCACTGCTTGAGCCTCTGCACATCGTCCAGCGCTACCAAGTTACCAGTCACAGGTAACCACCCATCGCACTCGAGACCACCTTGGGTTACGACAAGCTCGTAAGCGCCAAAGAGCATATAGGTCATCGGGTCGAGTCGGGTGACGGTACGCAGAGTCGTGGTAGCGCTGTTGGGGTTACCGCCGATAGGGACGTTGCGCGACTTTTCGCCGAATGCGTAGAGACGTTTCTCGGCGCGGCTGAAGAATTGGGGCTGCTCATCTGCTCCACCTTCACGTCGGCGAGAGTTGACTGATGAACCGTGAATCATCACGACCTAAAGATCATCAGCGGGGCTCAAAAAATGGAGAGAAAGCTTACCTTGTCCTGACAAGTTCGACAAGTCTTTTCGCTGGTCTTGATGGCAAAGTTGGGAGCACTGGCCAGCGCAATCAACGCCGCCAACAATGGCAGCGATTGGTTGTTCTCGTTCAACACTGGCGGTATGGATCCATACTTGCCGATCCTCCCCACCTGACCTCCAGCAGACACTGCGATAACACCAGCCTGTTCCAGACTATAAAGCAGACTCTGTTTTACCTGCTTGATCTGCTCCAGGGTAGGGTTGGAAAGGAAATTGCGGTCGGCAAATCGGCGGGCAGTGAACAGATCACCCTTGCTAGAGATCTCGTTCCAAGCGTTATAAGCAGCGACGATAGCCAGAGGGTCAGACCTGAATGCCGTAGGCGACCACGAATCCTTGATCGCATCCGCCTCCTGCTTTTTTAATGGCGGGGCTAAGAAGGGGTCCCTGTTGGTCAAAACCGCCGCAAGGGTCAACGCAGAGTCGAGACAACGGAAGAATGAACCGTAAAGACAGAGCTTGCCGATGGGCGCCTCGACGGGGAGTTGGAGGAGGACACGGCCGAGAGGGGTAAGGTTCTGGCGGGCGTCGAGGGCACCGAGCATGCGGAGGACTTCCATGGCGGCGACAATACGGTTGGCCTCGGGGGGTTCGATAGTCGCGGCAAGGACTTCTTCGACTTCACCCAGATTCAAAGCCTAAATCGCGTTAGCAGACCCCTTTGATAGAAGATTGATACTCACCTTGACGTGCATGACCACATTACTCAAATCAGACCTCTTCATCTCCACCATCTGATGCGGGTCCAGACTGTTCATCCTATTCTTGCTGACCAGTCCATAATACTCTCCCTCTCTATGTCTACCCGCACGACCAGCACGCTGGTTCAAGTTGGAAGCACCGACCCAGGCGGTGACGAGGGAAGACATGTGTCGCTCGGGGTCGTACCTCTTTTCCTTGACTCGGCCCGTGTCGACGACGTAGACGACGTCGGGGATGGTCACGGATGTCTCGGCAATGTTGGTAGCCAAGATGACTCGCCTGACACCAGCTAGAGGCGTACGGAAGACTTCACGCTGTTCGGCAGCAGGGATGGTAGAATGGAGGTAGTGGATACTAAACTGGCTCGCGTCCTTGAAATTCATCCCAAGCAGAGCTTTGCGCCCGTCAAGCAGGATATCAGCCACCTTTTTGATATCATCCCATCCTGGCAAAAAGACGAGCACGTGTCCGTCTGATGATTGCGACAGGACGTGGGCGATGGTAAGGGCGACAAGCGGCAGAGGGATCTCCAGCTCGATACCAGTCCCGGGCAAAAAGTTGTTGGCGTTACCACTGAGCTCTTTGTTGAGATATTCCTTTACACTCTTATCCTGGAACACCCATCCACCGTTCATCACCGGCGACCTCTCGAGCTTTGGGAAGATGTCGTCCAAGAAGAACTTTTGGACGGGGAAGGTTCTACCAGGGACTTCAGCGACGGGGGCCAATTGTCCGCGGGTGTCGGTAAAGTATGACTGGAACAAGGTAGGGTCGATGGTAGCACTCATCAAAATGACCTTGATAGGTACCCCTCGGCGCCTCCTGTCCGCGATCAGTCGCTTGAGGACGACGAGCAACAAGTCGGTATCGATATCCCGCTCGTGCACTTCATCAACCACGATATGGGATACCTCGTCCATCCTCGCTACAGCGACGGGGTCTGCCTCTTCACCAAGCGCAGATTGCATCCTCTTGAGGAAGATACCCGTCGTGCAAAAGGTGATCGAACCATTCGGCTGAGGAAGTCGCGCGTCGAAACGCACTTGATAACCCACTTCCTCCCCCAGCATTTGCCCTCGCTCATCCGCAATACGCTCCGCCACACTCATCGCCGCCAACCTCCTCGGCTGCGTACACACAATATTACACTCTGCCCCTTTTCCTTGCTTGATCCAGCTATCAAACAACAACTGCGGCACTTGGGTGGTTTTGCCCGACCCGGTCGCTGCCATGATGATGGTCACGTCGTTGGCCTCGATCTGCTCCATCATTGCTTCGGCGCGGGAGAAGACGGGGAGGGAAGCGCGGGTTTTGCGCATCTTGGCCATACGCTGGTCTGTCTCGTAATGCGTCAACCGGTCGGAAAGCCGGCTCGACTTTTCTGCAAGCTCCCCCTGGCTTGCCGTGGGCCCTGCACCAGCGTGCCACATCGGCAGCGCTTGGTGCAGATTACCCGCAACCCCAGGCGCGGGCGCATTGGCCCACAGCTGGGACCGGCGGATATCAATGCAAAGACCCTCGACATCGTTGATGATGCTGCCCGCCATGTTGAACACGAGATGCGGCGCAAGGCCAATGTCTTTGACCGACTTGTCCTTTTTAGAGTACTCCATAAAGTCTTTCCAGAGGTCGGGGTCGCAGCTCTCGAGATAGAGCGTGACGTCGAGATAACAGGTGATCATGGCAGCCTTCTTGTTGTTACCGCTCCCCATCCCGATCCTTCTGTCGTTTACAGACATGACAGCTTCCCAGACCATTGCAGTCTTGCCCCTTTGCTTCTTTGTTGCGCTCTGGGAAAACTCGACGTCGGGTTTGCGGAAATGGTAGCGATGGCAGTAGTACTCCATAAACTGTCGGGCGCGGTCGAAGGAGATTTGGGTGCCGTCTGTGAGGGTGGCAGTCTCGGTAGAGTTGGAGGTGGTGTCGACGATGGAGGCTATCGGTTTGGGGTCATTGGCGGCAGAGGCTTTGGCAGTGTTCCTGTCGAGCTATGGGAATGTCAAGTGAGGCCCTCCACGGACAGCGACAGCACTTACACGACCTCGCGAGACGAGCTGAAAAACGGCGCTCAACGCAGCGAGCTTTTCAGCCTCCTTCTTGTTGCTGCTATCTCCAATTCCTTCAATACCAGGCGTAGGGCTGATCTTGACACTGTGTCTTGTGTGTCAGCCACACTTCACCACCACCTTCAGGACAACATACCGATAAACCTTGCGTCCATTCACAACACCATCCAGATAAGCATACATCTGATTCACATCCGTCCCCTTGCCCGAATTGGACGCTATCCAGTTCGCCAGCGGGCTCTTGGGGTTCTCTGCCCATTGCGCTTTGAGCATAAGGCCGTTGGAGTACGTTTGGGTGATGTAGGCTTCGTCGTGCAGGGGCGCTGAGAGGGGGCGGTTGTTGGAAGGAGGAGGGGGGTTGGCATTGTTGGCGTTGCGTTTACCGCCACCGCCGCCGCCGCCGTGTCCGCGTCTCCAGTTACCCATATCGTCTTCTTCTTTAAACTCGGGTGCGGTAGTAGGGGTAGGTGTAGGAGTGGGGAGAGAGAGGGTGGCGTTGGTGTGGGTAGAGATAGGGGCGGGCTGTCGAGAACGAGGGCCGGTAGGGATAGGTTTGGCGCTGGAAGTAGCTCTAGGGCCGGTAGGGATGGCGAGTGCGCGTGGGCCGGTAGGGATCTGTCCTGGTACTCGTGGGCCCGTGGGGATCGCTTGAAACTTGGCTGGTTGCTCTTCTTGAGCAGAAGGGGATAAAGGTCGTTTTTGAGAATTTGCTTGACTATCAACGAGGACACTCGCGTCAGCATACCCACGGGACCAAACCCATCGACGATGACCTACACTTCGCTGAATCCACCAAGTCGGGCTTGCAGAGATAAAGTCTCGTCTTGCTCCTGCTGTCTATGCTGCTTAACTCTCTGCGCACGCTTCAGCTGGCTCTTGATTTTACCGCCTCGTGCACTTCCTCTGTAATCAGCGCGGGGCGAAGGTGATCGCGAGAAGTCTGCTAAGCGGCCTCTGAAACTGGGGCTGCGGTACCGTCTGGGGCTCGGCGAGCGAGCGTGGGGGTAAGAGGGTGATCGGGTCCGGCCTCGGGGTTCAGGACTTCTAACGGGAGACTGGTATCGAGAGGATCTGTAATCTCCAGACTCGCGGCGGGGGGGAGGAGAGGGGGAGCGGTAGCGGGAGGTGCTCGCTCGGGGCTCGCGGTATCGTCGAGGGGAGGGGCTTCGGTAGTAGTGGTCCCTCGCGTCTATGCGCTTGGCTGAGGAGGGTTCTGGGATAGACCTGGGCGGGTCAAAGGTCGGTCTCTGGGGAAGGGCGAACTGGGGCCTTGGGGGCAGGGAGGCGAGTCGGGCTGGGGCGGCAGTGGTAGGTCGCTGTGGCAGGTCGTCGTTGGTGGTCATGGAGGGACCCCCGGGGAGTTATAGGGAAGAGGACACAGTATGGCGGGCAGAAATCCCCTGCCATCAGCGAAACTGATGTGGAAATGAATACCGCACGCTTTACGTAACTGATAGCTCAACTCTCCTAAACCTCCCTATTGTTATGCATCAGTCACATGTACTAATACATGCTTGTCTTTCTGCCTTTCAGCAAGCAAGGCGCTGCAGGAGAAGTATACAGTTGCATTCAGGTTGCATTGCGGGTAAGCTAACGTCCAAAAGCAGCCAAACGGCCTGTATCCCAGAATGAATGATTCCGCTTCCACCACGGTGAATATGGCCCCGGATTTCCATACCGGGCCGCCCATTTTCTGCCTCCATATATCACTCCACTCCGTTGTGACGTTCTCTCATCCTGACAACACTCGCAATGGGCTTCTTCACCCGCAAAAACGACACCCTCATCCCCCCAGTAGCGCCCACCGAGGGCCAGCAACAGCGCGCCGACCCCTACGCCAACGCCCCCGCCGCCAACACTACTGGCAGCAGCGACCTCTACGCCCGATCCAAGCCCGCCGCGGGGGCACACTCCTCCCAGCCCTCCTCCGACCCTTACGCTGCCAACCCCTCCTACCAAGCCGGTACCGGCGGCGACCCCTACGCTAAACGCGTCCCCGCCGCCAAACCCCAGAACCCCAACGACGCCGCCCGAGCCGAGCTTTTCGCTGGGTTTGCCGCCCCCGAGAAGCCGGCGGTGGAGAGGCAGTGGGGCTATGAGGGACGGGAGATGGAGGAGGATTTCGATGAGGATGAGGAGATTGAGGGGATCAAGCAGGAGATGAGGGGGGTGAAGCAGGAGAGTTTGGCTAGTACGAGGTGGGTGGGGCCTGTGCGGGGAGGCCGTTGTGAGGTGCTAATGTGGGTTGTAGGAATGCTGTGGCGCTGGCAAGACAGGCGGAGGAGAATGCACGAGGGACGATTGCCAAGCTGGCAGACCAGTCTGGTACGTCTCTGCGGACCCATACGGCTCATGCTGACCTCGTGCAGAACGTATCGCCAACTCGGAACGTTACCTGGACATGGCCAAAGCCAACAATCAACGTGCCGAGGACAAGGCGCAAGAACTCAAAGTCTTGCGCCGAAGCATGTTCAAACCCGCTATCGTCTGGAACAAGGTCCGTCCTTCTGCTTCTGCTCGAGACTGTGGCTGAAAAGAGCTCGTAGGATAAGAAGAGACAAGAGGAAGAAGACAAGATCAACGAGCGCCACGCCATGGAGCGCGTCGACCGCGCCAAAGCCCTCCTCGACGTCCAAGACACCCGCAAACGTCTCGGCGCTTCTGCCAACCCCGCCCCCTCCCCCTACGCGTCCTCCGAGCCACCCATGCCTGGGCAACAAAAGGCCAAGAAGGATGCGAGGGCGAGATACCAGTTTGACGCTACTGCGTCTGATGATGAGCTCGAAGATGAGCTGGACGAGAACTTGGATGAGGTCTATGATGTGACAAAGAGGTTGAAGGGGCTGGCGACGGCCATGGGCGGCGAGGTGAACAAGCAGAACAGCAGGCTGACGAATATCACGGACAAGACGGAGAACTTGGAGTTTGCGGTGCTGAAGAATACCGAGAGGCTGAAGAGGATCAGATAGACGTGTATTACTTTTTGTCTGACTCTTGTGTATGTATAGAATAGTTGTGTATACATGCATAATGTGCGATGGACTGAATGCTGAACGTAATACGGCTGTACATAGGGGCCTGTATAGCTCAGACGATAGGGATCACCCTGGACTGCTCCTGTCCGACGGTGATTGACAAGTTCTGGGTATGCTCCTTCACGCCAAAGACGCTGCATCCCTGTAGTCAGCCTTCATTCCTAGGATATGTGATACTGAACTCACATGGACGAATTGACAGGATAGTTTCCAATCGTGTAGTTCAACTCGGTGAGGGTGGAATTCACCAAGATCTTCTGGCCCTTGCTCACTTCATCAGCACAATCCCTTCAGACATCCATGAGAAGACTCACAGCGCTGACACTAGCCTCTTCCCCAGGATACCCAACCCTCTCATACAAATTGTATAATCCATCACCTCCTTCCCACTTCAAACTGATAGTCTCCTTCGCCGACAAGTTGTCAGGAAAAGTGGAGAGAAACTTGATGTTGGAGTACTGCGAGTCTTGCCTCTTGCCAAAACCTTCAGGCGTGGATTCGGCAGTGGAGTCTTGCCTCTTGCCAAAACCTTCAGGCGCGGATTCAGCGGTCGAGTCTTGCCTCTTGCCAAAACCCTCCGGTGCAAACTCGACGGCGGCGGGTGCGTTGCTAGCAGATGGAGAGGGTTTGTCGGTGGTGGGCTGGGGAAGGGCGTAAGCTAGGGGGAGGAGGAGGGCTGGGAGGAGGGAGAGGAAGAGCATCGTATGTTGTTGTTGTGGGGTTGTGGGAAAGGGTAGGGAGAGGGTTGAATGAGGAGAGAGCTATTCGCAAGTATGCATTATATATACGTTCTGTGACCTCGGTGAGATGACTCAACCTTACAAACGAACACTTTCATAGAACCAACGATACAAACGAGTGGCATTATTCTACTACGACTAGTACTCTAGTGGGTGGGGTGATACACATAGACACAGAGGAAGGCGATGCTTCCAGTATCCTTCCGATCTGGCGGCTTGCACAGCTTTCTCCCCATGCTTCTTCTAGCTTGAACTCGAAACGGTGAGTACTGAGAATCTTTTGTGAGGCCGAATGAGAAGTGTCGGTGATGACGATGATACGTTGAAAGGTCCAATGGAAGGTTGAAAGAAAGGATCAAGGAGATTAGATCATCATCTGGGTTCGGCTTCCGGGGGTGAGTCACTGGCTGTCTGACTCTCACCCTCCGCAATTCTGGCTGACTATGCTATAGACCAGATTCGGAAAAGAGTCCCCTGATATCGAGGAGACCTTCTGGTGCATCCTCGCGTCGGTGACCGAGCCAAGGCCAACACTGACAAAGCACTCGTCCACCTTGCAGGCCGCCGACATCCACCGAAGTTGGGGGATGGAGAATTGTCCAGAGATCTTTGAGACATATATGCATCATATCCTCATCTATGACCTTAACGAGCTGCCGCACCGCACTAGGAAGCCTCGAGTCCCATTGTTTCCATCACTCTAACCCGAGAGCCATGAGACGGCGCAACCAACCTCTAAATCTCTCGCAGATCGCCCTCTTGTTCGACACGCGACGAAAAGAATTCAGGTCGCAACAGGAGGGGAACCAAAACGCATCCTAACAATAACTACCCCTCATCAAACATGCGAATTCCAGGTTGTCTACTGTAATGCTGCTCATTGGTGCCCGAGACCTAGGGGATCATCTCATGCAACAGGAGACATAGCGCCGGTTGAATATATGAATGGTAATTTGCACGTCGAACAAGGCGCATATACCAGGCATACATACCACATCTACGTACACGCCAGCTGAACGGCGATATCACAGACCCGACCTCATGAAAGAAAAGAGTAGAGACAAAAACCAGACACAATAAGGCAAGAAACGCTATTTATTACAACGGTAGAAGAAAAACAAGTATCACCTCAAGACCCCTCACGAACGGAAAAAGGTCGTCTACTCTGCCTGCATCGACTTCCAATGCAGCGCTTCAAACCCCTCCAGGTCAAACGGCGCTTTCTCCCGGCCGTTCGTCTGGAACCTCTCCTCCTGCGTCATCCTCTGCGTATACCGCGAAGACTCGCCATACCCATCTTCCGCCCTCAAAAAGCTGCTCAGTCCCGCCAACCCTCCATTCGGGCTTTCCCCGGGCAGAGACATGCCGAAGCCTGGAATGTTCATCGGAGAAGGCACTTTAGGGATGTCACCGTTAACGGTCATGGCCTTGACGGCTTCGCGACCCCAGTCGTCCCATGGTAAGCCTGTCAATCCCGGGATGGAGTCGTCTCGGTGAGAGTCCCGTTCGGAAGATGTGTTGGGAAGGATTGCGAGCTCGGCTGGGGAAAGATCACTTGTGTGCGTCCTGGTAGCCGGCGTAGCTACAGCAGGACTGCGTGCGCTAGACCATGAGCCCACGGAACAAGGGTCCGAGGCAGAACCAGTACAAGCCGGGTACCCCGCAGAGGCCGAACCAGGTGAATTCTTATCATCGTTGCCCAGAATCGAGGCCGATGGGTTGTCTGTTGGGTAGGTGATCCGGCGATTTATGCCGGAACACATTTCTTCCGTGGTCAAAGGACGTTGGCCCCTCAGACGGACGTAGTTCTCCATAGCGGCAGACATGGCGTTGCCGAGAGGGTGGCGTTGGCCGTAGCGGTCCAATACTGCTTTCGGTCAGCCTTTTGTAAATATGACGAGAAGTAAAACTCACGGTTTTGGACACTGGTCAAGTCTGCTCTGTAACGCACAGCCAAGCTGTATTGCTGGTTGCTCAGAGCATGAGTGACGTAGTCGGCTATGATTCTCCCGACCGTGTGCATCGTGCTGAGAAATCGTCAGTGCTGCAGCCTCTCGCCGTGGTCCTGTACTCACAAGATCATGAGCGGCGAAAAGATCATCGTAACATCCAAATTACTCGGGATCAAGTGCAGGATACCCAAAATCGCCTCGTAGCTCTTTTGCACAATCTGATAAGACGTGTTGGTAGGCTCCCACTGGATAAAACCCTCGTGCATCGCTGCAATCGCGACGTGCGGCAAGATGTGGATGGCAAGCAGGTTGGCGTCAAAGCTGCTGCCTGGGGCGAAATTGTCCATGAGTTTGAAGATGTTTTTGAGAGCTGCGGGTATGCTTGCGCTGAAGACAGGTCAGCGTCAGATCGCCATGTGATGGGGCGAGACGTACATGTAGCCCTCAATATCGGTGACCACAGTTCTGAAAGACTCGGTACTGGGGCCGTCTTGGTGGTCGTCTGGCTTGGCATCTCGCTGAGACCATTTACGCAGCCATCTGACAGGATGTGTCAATAGTGGTTGATATACACATAATGTACTCACGTGGCAACGCGGCTCATGATAATGTTTGCTTTGATGACAAGCACAAACGAATCCTGGATCGGATGCCTAAAGCACGCATCAGACATTGCACATCGCAAACAAAAAACACTCATACTCTTGCAAAACATTAGGCGACTCTGCAGTCTGCGGGTTTGCTTTCATATCCTCGTCATTCACTTTCCTCCACTCCTCAATACTCGTAGGCAAATGCGCCGTGATATCGCCCAAGATCATACTAGGCATCCAAGTGCTATTGGTAGCGAAACTGGCATCGGCGATAAAGGCCATCCAGAGCGTGGCCAGCCGCTCTTCCCTCTCGCGCGAATTCTTGGCCTTGGCCAAGAATGGCGGCTTGTAAAATTTGCGGTAATTCTTGTTGTTGAGTTCGAGAGCGTTGATGAGCCGGGGTGAATAGCCGCCGAGCATCCAGCCTTTGAGCGGGAAGCCTTTGGACATGTATACCTCGCTCAGAATGATCTGTTTCGGATGTCAGCGATGTATCTCATTTTTATTGTAAGAACGTACGCAAGTCTGGGTAAGCTGAAACATGAGTTCACCACCGCCCATCGCACAGGCCGAAGCAACCATATCGATACATCGATTCGCTCGTTCAGCTTGGGCAACCCCAAAGTCTTCGATCTTGGTGAGATCTTGGTCTAGATCCATAATTCGCCGGACGGCAGGCTCGACCTGGTGCGGAGCGAGATTGTTGACCCAAGCAGTGTGGACGGATGCGGCAGCGCAGATGGCGTGAAGCAGACCGGGGAAGGGAAATTCGGGGGAAGAAGGGGGTAGCTTGATACGAGTGAGGAGGGAGGGGCGGTGTAGCATACGAGGCGTTTGAGGGACGTATGAGAAGAATGTCTCGACGAGGTGTTCGAGCAAGACTATGAAATCGTAAGCACGAGTCGAGGAGCCGTTCAGAGGCACTCACATGGCGCAGGAAGGTCTCGTGGCCAGTCAACAGGTACCATGAAAAAGTCGTCGAAAGTCGCATCCTTGGGCAGCTCGCTTGGGTTGGTAGTAGCATTAGTTGATGCACGAGAAGAACTGCCCGAGGAGCCATTCACTGCAGGCGTAGGCGGTGGAAAAGTGCCCATCGTCTCGTTGAGAGTGGGTCTGCCCGCGTGCCTGCTGCCGGCTCCAAGGCTGCTTCCGATTTGACCCAAAGCACCGGCATTGATATCAGTAACCCATGGGTTCTGGTCTTGAGGCGATCGGCCGGATGAGTTGGGCCGTGATTGGTCTTTGAAAAAGTTGCTGCTGGATGGTACTTGGCGTCCGGTGACGAAAGTGAGCTTTGCTTCGAGTTCGGCTGTGAACTCGGTCAGTATCGTCACCAATGTTTAGCATGGGGCTTACCGATCCTTTGTCGCAACTGATCGTTCTCTTCGTCTCTTGTCGCCCTCTTGCCTTGCGAGACAGCCGGTCTCTTGTTGCCCGACCCACTCCCGGTCCGTGGCAGACTGGGCGGAGCAAACTGCTGGTGTTGCGGTGGCTGATATTGGTGCTGCTGGCCATTCGGCACCGGTGGCCCTTGTCCAGCATAACCATTCGCCATAGGATAGTCTCCCACCGGACTATCATCCCCCCCATCGTTATCGGCCCACGTACAAACCAGCACCGGCGGTGTTGTACCATTACGGTTCGCCGAGCGTGTAGCGTGAGCGTGAGATCGCAGACAAGGCGAGCAAACGGGATGGGTACCGTCGCATTTTGTTTTTCGGCGCTTGCACTGGCGGCAGGCGTGATTTCTTTTGAGCGGAGCGAGGGTTTGGTCGGAGAGGATGTCGTCCTGGGGCGGGGTCGACGTTTGGCCTCGATTTTCGGGAGGAAAAGGAGCAACGGGCATTGCGACCAAGCAAATAGAAATTTGAGTTGATCAAGAGCGTTGAAGACACTCGGGGGAGCGCTAATTGACGCGTAATCGATTTGAGAACGATGGGATGCTTTGTTGAAAGGGAAAAAATGGCAGGGCAATGACTGATGATGGAAAACTGGCAATTGGGCGCGGGACTTTAGTCGAAGCTTTTTGAAGCGGTTGCTGGATGTTACACCTCACTGGGGGGCACTGTGGGGCAGCTGGGGGCGTTACAAGGTGGGTTGGATGGCGAATGGAGAAAGAGGGGAAGAGCGCCGCCAGTCGCCGACGGTCATCTCATCCCTGAAAACAGTGGCGACCGGCGCGCGAGACCGCGGCGTTATGTCGGTGTGGCAGAGGTGATTTTACGAGAAAACGACAAAGTATCAGAGTACGATATGCAGATAGCCTGAGTATAGTTTGTACATTCGACCACAGGCAGGTCTTTGATTTTCCTCAGACTAACCCTGACACCTTTTCCGACATTGCCTGTGTCTTCTTTTTCCCCTATAAGCTGAGGTGGTGCCATGCGGCTGTGCTGATGTGGGTGGCGTTACGTAAGCCGTTGTCAGCATCTAATGTGCTGCTACTATCCCCGGCGGGCTTGTGATCCCCGTCGGCCTTGTGGCGGGTTGGTTACACGCAGTGTTTTCATCGTCCTCTATATCGTCTCGTCTTCAATTTTCTTTGTGCTCGCCCCGGCCAGCCACCGTCCAACCCGCTCCTGATCCAAGTAGATCTGCCTCCCAACGCGGATGGCTTTTTCCATTTCACCCAGACTATCGGTATATTTCTCCTCCACTCTACAAGCACTGACGCTGGCAGACTAACTCGTGATCGCGCACGGCGAACTCGAGATGGAGTTACACGACGGGACCAAGACGATCGTCCATCCTGGTTGCCTAGTAGTGCAGGCTGCCAACATTCACCGATGCGAACAATCTCAAGCCAGAGTGGGCTCGTTGTGTATCAGTGCAGATGCTAATGATTCAAAGGCTTTATCGCATTTGTGGGTCCTTCCGAGGCGGTAAAAATGGACGGAAAGGGGTTGGAGGGGGGGGGCGCCTTTCAATGGATATCGTGCCAAGTTTCAGAAAGAGGAAGGTTTCGATGAATCAGTGCACAACACATACAAGTACATTCCAAAAGCCCAAAAAGTAGTCATACAACAAGATCTCATCTATTACACTATCGCGTTGACACGACCACCGCAATGACGATGACCAAAGCCACCAGAAGAGAGAATACACAAAACGCCCATGTACATCTTTTGGCGTATTTCAGCTCCGTCTAGAAACAAGTCAGCTTGTGTCATGATGCCACAGGTACAACACACCTTGCGGAGTATGACGATCATCTCCTCGAGTTTTCGGGCCTTTTCGGGGTCGACTTCGTCTTCCACCGGCCTCAAAGGTACCCACAAGCTAAGCAGAGTCAGCGATGCCACAGCAGAAAAGAAGAAACTCACATCGTCATCCCGATGAGCCAAAGGAGAGGACAGACGAAGCCGAACATCCAGAGCGTCTGGGCCAGCGTCTTGGGCTCTATCGAGCTCTCCTCTTCATAGGTAGGCAAAGACTCGCTCATGAGCTCACTCGGCGACCCCAAGCTCAGGTCGTACGGGTACTCCGGCCTGGCGGCCCCAGAGTACGCAGGCGGCCGGGTGGGAGTTTCAGGGATCTCGGGGACCGGAGCTGTCAGGGCGGGGTCGACAGAAAGTATGTAGACGGGTGGCTCAGGAGCCGAGGGGACAGAACCGTTGGGAGTGCCTCCCGAGAGGTCGGAGAGCTCGAGGGCAAACTCGGGGCTGGTAGGGGTGACGGGTACGGGCTTGCGCCTGATGGACGCGGTGGACCTGCGGTTTGCGAGGTAGGCGGGGCTGGGGGCTGGGGGGTGGAGGCAGAGGCGATGGAAGACAAGGTGTGGTGATAATGGTGATGGGCGGTACGATGGCGGGATGGCTGGATATATACATATCCCCGCTCCCTTCACCCCCTCGTCGCCATCACGGGCCACTCGATGCAGCGATAAGTGAGTGATGCCCAAACATCCTTTCCTGTCAGCCCCTCGTCCCGTGCCTCGCACCGAGTCTCCGTTACCACGCGACGCCAGCCCATAGTCCGCTCCGATGAGCTATAGAAATGCATACAGCCTTCGAGACTGCCGTCAGTGCCTCATATCTCTTGCGCGGTATTTGAGGCCGCCGGTCTCGAAACTTGAGCACTTGACGCGTCCAGTTCAAAATCTTTGTTTTCATCGTCCTCTATATCTTCTCGTCTTCGAATCCTCTTCGTGCAAACCCCCTCCGCCACCTTTCGGCGCACTATGTTTACTTGGTAAAGCTCCGTATTCGGTATGACGCTCGATCTGCCCGAAGTGGGGTAGATTCATCCCCATGCTAGTGGTATGGGAGTAGACAGGCGTACATGTGCCTTTCCATATGGGTATTATTGATTACATGTATCTATGTGTATAATATGCAGCGTCCTATATAATAGCGCTTCTCAATGATCCTCCTTGACCAACTTCAACCATATATTTCCAACCATGCACTTCTCCCTTACAATCTCCCATGCCCCAATGACCGGCCTACCACCTCTACCATCGCCTACCAATCGCTTCTCAATATCCCTCTTTCCCTCCGCCGTACCCTCTCCTTCAAGACTGACGAATCCTTCCCAAGCAGCATCCGCACCCGTACCAGCACGCACTTCAAATCCAGCAATATGCAAGTAACGCTTCGCATTCACCCTCGCACCGCTCGACACCGTCATATCTCGCCTGTCATACGCCAGCCTCAGAGATGATAGAGCATCCCGTCCATAAGGCGTGAGGTCAAGGTAGATGATTTGAGTGACTGGGAGGAAGGTAAAGTAGTAGGAGGGAGGTAGCTTGAACGCGTCGATGTTCTTTGGCAAGGTTCCTGCAACCGAGAAGGCATAAGAGAGGGGTAGCAGCTTATGTTGAGCATAGGGAACGTAGATCAAGACGTGCTCCGTGGTCTTTGGGTGTTTGATAGCAGTATTTGCCACCAGATCGCCCAACTTCAACCTTTTCATCGCGCCGCACTTTTCAAGCTCCCTCACCGCAGCAGCAGCTCCCTCGATCGAAGGCCACCTCTGCACCGTTTGTGAAACAGGTACGAACACCCGTAGTATCGGGGCGCGACCTTGGATGTAGGGAATGGGCTTGTCGAAGGCTGGTTCGATACGTTTGACGACAGGAGAAGGAGTGTAGAATTGCCTATTGATTGCGTCCACGGGAGAGTTGCCACCGTAGTCGGATCGGCGACTAGATTTGCCAAGGTCACTGCTCGAGGAGAAACTACCTCTCTTTCCAGCCCCACCGCCGATAGGAGGAGGGAACGGCAGATCAGCAGGGAAGCCAGGTACTGGCGGAGCATGCCTATCCACAGCAAAGCTTGCAGACGAAGCTCCGCTGCCTCCCAATCTATTGATGTTGTTCAATTGAGACATGGACGCAGAGCTCTGCACAGAGAAGATGGAGCTTGGTCTACTATCCGACTGACTCGTCCGCCTAGACGTGGGATCTCCGTGGCTCCTGAATCCGTATCGCTTGGCGGTAGGATAGCTCACCGGCGGCAGACTAGCTTTTCCACTGGGAGGCATCGGCTCCGCAGGGTTGTGGAACGGCATGTTTGCGATACTTGCAGCACTGGTCCCCGAGCTAGACTTTCTGCTCCTCAAGAAAGGCATAGAAGCTGTCGAAGTCAAACTCGTCACACTACCCCGTCGACGTAGCTTGGCAGCCGCTACGGACGAGTTGGACAATGGCGGGAACTTTTTGGAAGCTGGGGTATTTGTCGGCGACTCGTCTCTGGGTTGCGCGGCTAGCGGCTCGGGCATGATGAGCTCAACAATCCTCTCGGCCTTGGGCAATTTGAGAGGGTCGGAAGCGGCATCCAGCCCAACCATGCTTCCAACCCGCGACTGTCTCCCTTGGCTGCTCAAGCTACCTCGAGAGCTTGAGAACGGCAGATTGGGCATACCGCCTGCGATGGAACCAGCGTCGTCATCGAAAGGCTGCGGTGGGGGATTGGGGAAGAGGTCCTGAGGGAGAGATCGCAGATGCAAAACGACGAGCGTATGCGACAATGAGAGGTGCTTTAGTAGATGGTGCCACTGCTCGGGATAAGTGCTGTAGCTCGCCGGGTCATGCAAAAGGGATTCCACTGCCAAACTGTCAGCCTAGCTTTGATAAGGGATACCAGATACTCACGGAATCCCTCCCAGACCGTCAGATTCGGCCATGCAACATTGCCGGCATAACTGCCCTTCTTCTTGCCAACAGACATTCCCCATTCCCGCATAATCCACCTCCCCACCATCTCTCCGCTAAACCTCCTATTGACAGCCTCTGAAGCGCCGGTAAGACTCAAGAACGAGTTGATGCTCAGGTATTGTAGCAAATTGGACTGAATGGGGGTATACAGGAGGATAAACGTGAGGGTAGCTGGCGGTCGCTCCCCCCTGGGTTTCACCTCTGGAAGAGCGTCCATGGTCAATAGTGGAGGAAGGGTGGGAATGGATGACGACTGGGGCAGAGGCTGGCTGACAGCCCGGCTCCCTTGCACATCTGGCGCTTGCCCGGGCCATCGTCTATCTTGGCCAAAAGATGCGCTCAAAGGCGACGTGATTCTCGGACTATTCCTTCCACTCAGAGGAGAAGACACTGTACGCCTTCCCGGCTGCACTTGCTGTTGCGGTGGTGGGAAGTAGCCCACCTGACTTTGAGAAGACTGTGCAGACGCTCCTCTAGCAGGGAGTTCGGTACTGGCCAAAGGCGCCTCACGAGAGAATGAACTCTGTCCGCTCCTGCCACTAGCCGTGCTCCTTCCAGATCGCTCACTTTCCTTCCTCTGCCTTTCCCTTTCCCTCTCCTCCCTCTCCATCTCCCTGATCATCCTCTCCTTTTCATCCGATGCTGCCCATCTGGTAATAGGATCCCTCTCTTCAGCCCCACTCCCAGTCTCCAGCCCCGCCGTGGACGGGCTCGCTAGTGGCGAAGTGTCGACACTCGAGCTGTTGGGGTTGTTTCGAGGATCAAGGAGGGGCGGCAAAGTGGGCGAACGAGGAAACTCAAACGCGAGAGGCGACTCTTTCGGCTTTTGGATGTGCTTGTTCTGGATTGGGGTGACCTGCTGGGGCTGAGGTCCGATAGCGGGAGCAATCTTCTTAGGTTCGGGTGTAGGAGCGACTGCCAAGAATGACTTTTCGACAGGAGGTGGAATATCTTGCGATCTACTCGTCCTCTCCCTCTCGACATCGCGCCTGCTCTCACGCTCCTCAACAGGGGACCTCTTTTCAGACCTCACTTCGCTTGGAGGTGCAGCAAAGTTTGGCCTAGTAGGCGAAGCCATCTCTTTCAAGGGCGAACCCAAAGCGACCCCGATATCAGGTTGACCCACGCTCTGCTCATGACCTTGAGTCTGGATGGGCGGCAATTGCGGCGCCCGTACAGGTGACGCAGTGGGCGAGCCAGAGGCAGAAGTAGGCGGCTGGGGTAACGGCCTCCTCCTCGGCGATCCATCTTGCCCCACGCTATTCACTGACCCGATAGAAGCATTTGCAGCGTGTCTAAAGCGTCGTTCCATCTCCTTGTCCCTCGTGGGAGTATGAGTTGGAGTGCGATCAGAAGGCACTTGCGCTTGCTGCTGCCTGGGTTGCACAATTGCTGCAGAAGGTGTAGGCGAAGAAGGGTTTGAGGTGACCCCTTCGTGTCTCATAGAAGCAGCTACCGATTGAGCGTACTTGCTAGCTTCGCTCATCTCTTTCGCGGGACCCGGCGTTCCATTGCGAGAGTGCGGGTGTGGCTGAGCAGGTTGAACAGGCTTTCTGCGGGGCGATTCACCTTGGTGTCTGTCAACCTGCTGAACTTGGGCAGCTTGTCGCCCAGCACTCGGCGGCATTCTCTCCATCTGCCTATCGGCCTGAGCCGCAGCTGGGGGATTAGATAGCAGTTGAGCTCGAGGATCGGCTGTTTGAGCAGATGGCCCCATCGCATTTCCCAGGCTCCACGCCTGCCCGCTAGGGCCTATAGGCGAAGTTACCTCAGGAGCAGCAGCCCCAGGAGGCAAACTCGGCGCTACCACCCCCCTCATCCTACCCGCTTCTGCCTGATGCGCTTCAAGAGTAGGAACCGGAGGCTGATACCTCTCCCTCTCTTTCGGGTTCTGCGCCACAATCGTAGGCGAAGGTGTATACGCAGGAGGCGCATCAGGCAAGGGGTGGGTGTCATCTGTGAGCGCATCGTCGAATCGTGATTGCCTGTGATCTTCTCTACCACGTGAAGTCGGCTGAGCACGCGGGGCTGAGCGGGTAGCTGTAGGTTCGGGCCGTGTCTCTGGGGGAGGCTGGGGAGTTCGCTGACGAGATGCCTGGGGATGGGCTTGACGAGGATCTGAGGGTATGACCAAGGGCGGTACTACTGGTCTACCGCCGCTCCCGGGTCGACTCCGTCGTCCGCCGTGCTCTTGCGAGACGGCTGCCCCTGGCGCAGCTCCCAAGCTGGCGCCTCTGGGGCTCTCGCCCGGCACACTGGGCATAGGCGGAATACTCTCGCCTTGTCCCGGTAGCGGTGGGGGCGGAGAAGCTAGAGGCTTAGTGGCCGGGGGAGGTGATCGCAGATCAGATTGGGTATGGGTGCGGGAGGATGAGCGAGGTTGCGGTTTAAGAGGTTGCGGGTGCGGCCGGCCATCTTCTTCACGTCAGCGCTCATCTGCTGAACACACAAGGTATAAGACGCACCTTGCCGAGACATTCCTCTATCTCTATCTCTCCGTTCTTCCGCCATACCAGGCAACATCATACCAGGCTGCATCTCCACAGGCGACCCATACGTCGGCGACCTCGGTCCATGTCCATGCCCACTCTGACTCCCTGGAGGACTCGCTACAGGCGGAGGCGATGGCGAGCTCGCCAAAGCGGGATGTACAGGGGCTCGATTTTGGGAAGGGGTACGGAATGGTTTGAATGCCGGTTGGGGTTGGTAGGATTGTGGTTGCTGCAGCTGAGAAGGCGCGCGATTCAGAGTCGGATAAGGTCCATTATCGCTTCCCATTGGAGGTTGTCCAAATTGCCCAACGGGTCTGGCGAACTGATTATAAGGGTGTGTTCCAGACATGCTAGGGTAGGGCCCCCCCAAGGATCCAGAGGCGGAAGCTGAGGGCATAAAGCTCGGGTCGACGGGGTATAGGGGTTTGGCAGGGGCTGGTGCTTGGCGAGTCGGTTGGAGATCACCTGGTACAAAGTCAATGAGATTTCCTCATCTTCCCAGAGCAGCTCACCTTGACGTAGCTTTTGCTTGGGCGGAGGAGCACCAGGGTCGTCACCATATCCAGTATTGGACCTAGCATTGGCATCTGGTCTTCTCGCCGAGGACCCCTCTGTCGGTGTATGACGGGATGGTTGAAGATCACCTACACAGCATCAGTAAGAGTTCCCGACATTGCCAGTGCAAACTCGCCTTGCTGTAAACCCGACCTGGGTGCTGGATTGTTGTAGCTCGAACTGAGCGACGGGTCATACTCTGGCCTTCTGGCGAACGAGGCTGCAATGGGCGTTGTCTGCGGAGGAGGTGTTGGCATAGGAGGTGGTATGGCGTTGGGGGTCGATGCTCTTGTATTGGACTTGGACCGTCCTGTTTCGCACCGTCAGTGCTGTTCTCGCCCAACTCGCGGAGACTCACCTTTATTCCCACCCCAGAAACTCCTGTCCTTGCTCTTCGACCTCGCCACACCCCCCTGAGCTCCATCCCTGTATGCACTCGGCCCGCTGTCCATTCCACTGAGGGGACGGCTCAGCTCTTCATAGATTGGCCCAGCCTTGACTTGGTCCTTCTTCTTTCCCAGCTTGTGTGGAGACACCGTTGCGTTGTTGCTCGGCGTAGCTACTGACAGGCGGCGGAAGAACCCCTTCTTTTGTGCCGGGGCGGGGGCTTCGGCGGACATCGTGATTTTCGTTGGTTTCGTAAGGGGTGAGGTTTTCGGTGGGTGCGGTTCGACACGCGTTCGGGGTCGGGGTGGAGACAAGTCACGTTGGCCCTCGTGTATGATGTGCTGGGTACTATTCACACTGTCCCCTTTCTCCTGATTCTCCTTGGGGTCCTCCCAGGTCGGTGCAAAGACGACAAGACCACTGAGCAGCTCGGTGCTCCTCCTCCTACGGTGCTCCCAGAAAGCGCTCGGGGGCGGGGAGGCAGGAGATTTGAGGGTGGAGTCGGAGCGGAGGGAGTAGAGGGAGAGAGGGTGGGGTGTTTTGGGAGGGAGGGGGGGAAGATGGATGAGGGAGAGCGGTGGAGATGGAGAAGTGAAAGAAGAAGCGGCCATTAAGTGAAAAACGCGTAGACGCGGGAGTGGATGTAACCGTCCAAGTATCCTCCAACCTCTCGCTCTTGGATATCCAGTGTTGCATCTCCATGTTCTTTCCTTTTTGTATGCATCTCGCTGCTCGCTCTGACATCCCCCGACACTCAAGGACTTGCCCCTTCGGAACACGCTGCTACCGCCCCCCTGTCCGCTGTTTCACGAACAAAACCCTCTTCTGTCGTTCCTCGCTCGTGAAACGCATCATACGCGCCAGCCGGACTGTTCTGCTTGACAACGAGCATCATCGGTGACACTTCATGAGCGTGCACTATGTGTACCATGCGGGGCAGCACAGTAGTAGTGATTGTCAAAAGCGTGCAAAGAGGAGTACATACGTAGGCCTTGGTGGGCCGAAAGTCAGCTGGAAGTCTGGTCCTTCAATGAGGCACGCGGTCTACATATGGACGGAAAGGGTTGTCGAAGAGTGAATAATCGATTCTACAAAACAGAGAGAGCGAAAAGCAAGCATCCATCAATGATACCTCTTCTTATAAACATCATCATATATACAGCCCGATCGCGCTACTACTACTGTACCGACGGAATTTGAGCCATTCATTGCCAGATACTGACTCAGCTGCTTTCACGACTGCTAACTTCTTTCAGCCTTCCTTGTTATGCTCCTCGGGAGACACTATGAAAGAGATACCATCGAGGACTTCTGGCGCAGATTCCTCTGCTCCCGATCTCGAGACAGGTTTCTGAGAAGGATTGTAAATGACCCTTCTCCTATACGGGTGATGATTGCCAGACTTGTCTGCTCTCACCAAAATCATATCCACGTCGTAGGTATCAGCACCAGATTCTAGCCTGGTAACGTTGAACGGCGACGTCAGCCTGTTGTCTGGCTTCGTCGAAATGTTCTCTATATGTTGATCTTTTGTACGCTGACTCTCGACATAATCAAATAGCTTCTTGCATGATAGCATGTCGGAAATGATGGTCATCGGTTCTTTGGTAAGACGGATTCCGGCCTGTTCATCTTTGGAGACGGGTGCGGACGCTTTGTGGAAGCACGTAACGTTGGCGAACGTCACTTGAGCGTCCGGAAGACGAAGAGAGCTGATTACCTCAGAGTTTTCGCCACCGCCTGGGGAGACATTGAAATCGACTGATGGTTGGTCGATTGGTATCTCGAACTCTATAGCTGTTATAGGTGCTGCCTCGTACTCTTTCAAGTGAGTCTCGTCGATGAAATGAGTCTCGTCATCGACGAGTAAAGTCGGAAAGACCGGCTGCTTTTCCTCCTCGAGCAGAAAGGAAGGGACGAGCTCCTCTTGCAGCTCGAGTCGTATTCGACGCGAGTGCTGGTGGAAACGACTCGCACTCAGAGCTTCATTGAAGGCAGACTCGCCCTGCTCGTTCAGACCAGGATTTGTGGTGGGCTGGAGACTCCATGCTTCCGGACGGTTTTTCACATCGGTCACAGCGAGGGCTGACTGAAAGTCAGTCTGAGAGAACATTCCAGGGATGCTCCCCGCTGTCAGCCCCTCAACACCTTCTTTGACATTGGATACTTCTTGTTGTTGGGCCATGACGGTATAATTGTAATCTTGACGGCGACGCTCGATGACCCCGCTTTATAACTCCTCCCCGTATACATAAAGGATTGGTACTCCATTCTGATAGAAAACCAAGTATTCTAACTATGGGATACTTGATACCTCCTGTGTCATGGTGTCTTCATCCTTGGTATATACTCTGTATCCATCCAAAAGAAGTGGCCAAGCGAATCAATCTCGAACGAGGCTTAGCTTCCTGAATTACTCATACTGATCATCCTTAAGATACATAGATTGGTCTCCCACCACGAGAAGGCCCGCAAGGTATTCTTGTTGCATGTTCACATGGCTGAGGTTATCTGTACTTTCCCCTCAGGCCACCTCTATGCTATATCATCACGCTCCTCCCCGCGCAAGATCCTTAGAAGACACAAGAAAAGTCGCGCCTTGGATAAAGTCAGGCTGAGATTGACGAATGGTCGTAAATCTATATTCGTCCTCCACTTCTGGCCTCGTCACCGGTTTGAGAGATGGGTCATACGTGACCCTCCTACTGAACGAGCGAGGGTCCCCTTTCCTGTCAGTTCTCATGACAGAAATATCAGCATCGTAGATGGTAATGTCGGGCTTTTCCGGGCATCTTCTAGCGGTAAAGGGTAAGTTCTGCTCGTTACCGGGTCCTGTCAAGTCTGTCTCTACCTCCCAACCGCACAGGCGCTGACTTTCGATATAGTCGAATAGGTTCTTGCACGAGGTGATGCTTGAGGTGATCCTCATGGGTTCCTTAGTGATATAGACGTCGGACAAGTGACGAAGAGGACCGTTCTCAGCGACGGTAACGGGACTGGGGTGGAAGCATGTTACGTCAGTGGTGAACGACACCACAGGTTCGTCCACAAACGTAGTTGTGTCAATCACTCGAGCGCCCTCATGCCAGCCTGGGGAGGTTCTAACCTCGGCCAAAGGGTGGGCTGTCGGTATTTCAAACTCGATAGCCGAAATGGGCTGGGCTTTGTAGAGATCCAGTATCCCAGGGTCGTCACTATTGAGCAAAGGCTGAGAAACGAGTGGGTCTTGCAGCTCGAGCCTCATGCGCCTCGAGTGGTGGTGGAAGCGACTTGCGCTGAATGTTTCGTTGAGGGAAGCCTCGAGCTCGGAGAGGCCGAGGCCTGTGTTCACAGGTCTTGGTTGGAAACTCCAGCCGTCGGGATGGCTCACCAGGTCGGTGACTGCGAGTTCTGGCAGTGTGGCGATTTGTGAAAATAGGCCGGGAATACTGCCCTCGGACAGTCGTTCATCGGGGCCTTCCCTGCTATTGAATCTTGAACGAGACATCGTGGTTTGGTAGAGACTTAGAATTGTGAATAAATACTAACTACGAATGAGACACTGTCCTCTTATAGGATCAAATCGGAACTTGATCGAGTAGAATCCACCAGCGTAAATGGTACTGTTCCCACCCTCCATTCACAATGTTGTATGCGTTTTCTCATCCTCCTTTTATCTACTATCTCCTTCTCCCATTGGCAACGGGCAAATGCAGTGGGCGTGGGTTGTAGCATCTCATCATTTTCAAGACATCGTGATGTTTCTCAAGCCAAGGAAACGCCACATCGGCCAACAGACAAAGAAACTGAAGTGTTCATGACATATTCATGCCAGACAACATGAGACCTACACGTCCTTTCTACCATTCAGCTCGTCACTCGTATCTTCGTACATAGCTAGCACCAGCGCTCTAGATCTCCCTTGCAGCAGTCGGCCTACCGATCCCAAACTTTTTCGAAGCGAGCGAGCCGTACTTTGCTTCCACCTCATTCTGGACGAATTCGAGGCTGGTAAAGTACTTGACGGTCTTGACTCTCAGTTCGAGGGTGGCGTCCTCACTATTCCTCATCAGCCTCCTCCTTTACTAGGGGATAGAAAGCAGAAAGGGACTCACTCGCAAACAACCAAAGCCCAAGGGTGCGTCTGCAAAGCACTAGCAGTCACCATATGATTTACGCTCCCTTCAATCATCTCCTTCAACGCCAAACTCTTCTGCTGGCCCGTGACCACCAACAGAACCTCCCGACTGTCCATGACGGTTTGCACACCAACAGTGAGGGCCATGCGGGGTACGGCGGAGAGGTCGTTGTTGAAGAAACGGCAGTTGTCGAGGATGGTCTCGTAGGCGAGGGTCTTGATTCGGGTTCTGGATGTGAGGGAAGATCCGGGCTATCAACCCATCAGCATATTGGTCTACATGGGTCGCCAAAGGGGAAAGGGGACACACCTCGTTGAAAGCAATGTGCCCGTCGGCACCAATACCGCCTAGGAACAGGTCGATCCCGCCGACAGCCTTGATGGAGGCTTCGTAATCTTCGCATTCTTTGTAAAGATCCTCGGCGTTGCCGTTCAAGAGGTGGGCGTTTTCGGCGCTGCGGAAAGGTTAGCAGTTGGTCTCGGGGATTGATTATCTCTCGTCCGCTCGATTTGCTTTAGGCTAAACACCTGCGCCCTCGAGGCAAGTGGTGTAGCCCCACAATCAGATCCAATGAGGACAAAGAAACGCAAGACGAGCAACTCACTTGATGTCCACGAGAGAGAAAAAATTGGTAAACATGAACGTGTGATAAGACTCGGGATGATCCCTCGGGATGCCCACGTATTCGTCCATGTTGACTGCGCGCCGTGCGTTAGCAGCGTGTTTTGCCTGACACCGCCCCATACGCCCCATCCGGTGAGAGAAATACTCACAAGTGATCACATCTTTGAAACTGACTTTGCCTTCCTTGTAAAGTTCGACTAGCCGCTTGTAGACGGGCAAGGGGGAGGAGCCGGTGGGAAGGCCGAGGACAAAGTTCTTGTGGTCGGCGGTGGGGGTGAACGAGTTGATGCGGGCGACAATGTATTCCGCAATCTGGCTACCTGTCAGCTGTGCTCGAAACTCTAGTAGACCAGACCCACGTAGTTCCCTACTTCCTCTTTGGTCTTGCGGATAGTCAGTCTCATGGTGATGGGGAGTGATAAGGGGTTGTTCAAGCTAGTGGTGGGGGGATGAAAGATGGGATGCAAAAGAGAGATGAGATGTGATTCTGTGCGGGATATATAATACATAACTCTCCACGTGAATTGGCTCACGGAATTGGCTCGACGCCAGGCAGGGAACGATACGGCCATCAACGCCAATCGGCCACCGCAGAGGTGACACTCAGGCACCGCCGCTTTCCCCGCCTGGGCCGCTTGTTTGGTCCGCCCGTATCGTCGGCGAACGCGGCGAGCAGCCCTGAAGCGAAGTGCTTTCGGATGTCGGATGCGTGCTGACGAGAGATTAAACGATATGGAAGGTCAGCAGGATTGGGCCAAGTGGGGATTGGGCCGAGGAGGATCTTTGACTGAGACCCCGTCCGAATACGGATGAGAGGCATGTCGCTCGGTTTGGATGTCCGATGCCAGGCCGCGGCACATGACAAAGTGATACGCTCTTCCGCGTTCTTACATCCCCGACCCGGTATTTTCCGGACAATCTCCTCAACTATCTGACTCCAGGTCTCAGGTTCCTTCAACTGACTGGCCGACATTATATCAAGTAGTGGCGTGGAGGTAACAAATGTAATATCGTTCCCATCTGCGCCCCCCACATAGTCTCGTCGTCAGCATTGCCATACGAAACTTGTTGATGAATTCTGTCTTCCTTCATAGGTTGGTTGGAGGTCACGAGATGCACCTATGAGTACTACAGAAGAAGAAGCAGTAACTACATGTACAGACAGTCCGAGGTATTGATTGAAAGGAGATGGCGCAAGACCCGCTTCCACGGCTCAAACCCCGCCGCCTACAAGGCAACGAGCGCATGAGACGTAGAGGCGAGACCTGCCCCATCTTTGGACAGAAAATCTCGCGTATGTATACAAGTGTTACAATAAAGAAGACAGGGAATGAAAGAATGGAAGAAGGAAAGAAGGAAAGAAGGGAAGAGAAAGAAGGACAGCCACTTACGATGTGGGATGAAAGCCAGAGGGGTCTTTCAAAGACAGGCTGACGTTGTGACACGACTTTGAAGCTGAGTTTCTAATCCTGAATTATTCGAGGAACACGATAACGTTGAAAGCTTATAATGCGTTGTTGGGAACATCGTGTGTTTGATGACCAGAGACTAAGACAAGCGTCAGCTTTCTGACAAAGCATGTCGAAAGACACTCACGGTATGACAAGACCAAGATCGAAACAACAGACGGACAACGTCGAGAAGACGTACTATATACAGTGGAGAGGCTATACACAAATGAGGAGTTATAGACGATTGGGGAGGTATACACAATGGAGAAGGAGCTGTACACATTCCGAACACATTCCGAAAGGAGGATGACAATACTATATACAAACATCATACTTTTACAGTCATCAAACTGTCACAAGCATGCTATTACAACCCACATACTATTACACCTCTTGAACGCCGTCAAGTTTCGTCAGATGGAGTTATAGACATGATAAGACATGATAGCCGGTGAAAGATCCCCGCAGTCCCAAAAGCAAAGAGCCCAGAATATCCACAGATCCCGGAATATCCACAGAGCCCAGAATACCACAGAGCCCAGAAGTAAGACTAAGACGGCAAGGCGGAGCCATAGATGTGGGTCTCGAAGATGTCTCTTTTGACAGAGATGGAGATGTTGAAAGAAACCAAAGCGAATGACGGCAGGTGATAGACGTCATGTGATTTTGCTTTTTGGTGAAGAAGTCGTTTGTACGACATGATGTTGTGGTGAGAATATGGCTCCGAGCGCTATGATGATGTGAAGCGCTACAAGGAGCTCAAGTTTTGTGTTCTTTGTTGAATTCGGTTGTATGGGAAGGGCGACGGCGGGCACCCGCATGCAAGTTGGTTGATCCGCCTGGCGGCGGAAAAAGGAATTGCATCCGTACTGCTTTTGAGCAGGCCGGTGTTGGAGGACGCTGAGTCCTACATGAGCTCGCCTACTATAACTTTATCTCAAACTTACCATTCAAAAAAAGATGACTCCAACAGTATGGATTGTATCGACAGTGGCATGGACAGACAAGTTTGGGAGGTGGAGACGCCGAACGCGGGAGCGGAATGCGATGAAACCTATGAGTGGCGGCTGTCTATCCTTCAAACAGTGTCAGTTTTCCGTTTTCTCCACGTATTTACAAAGTATGTTCAGTAGAAATGAAGACTCAAAGAAGGAGAGAAAGAAGGGGATAGGGAGGGGGCGATAAAAGCATCTTATGAGGCAGGAAGACGCGTACGCCATTCCGCCAAAGATGAAAGACAAAGTCCTCGCGTCGGCGGGGCGACCGACTCTTGAAGGACGCCTGACATGCCCCGCCTTCTCCATCCACAAAGCACCAAATAAATATCTTGAACAAAGAGAGAAAGAGATGATGAGAGAAGGATGAGAGATGGAGATACAAATGCTGCCCCATTATATCTCATTCCCAGCGAGGTGGCGGAAGTGAGAAGGGTCTATCCGTGACTTGATTACTTGTTTGTTTCCAGCTGCACGTCCTCTAAAGTCCGATCATATTACGGGAGAAGAAGTAGGGGGCACATGTGATGGGCAGGGAGTGCCTCGTTTGCTCTGAATGAGAGTTGAGAGAGGCTTGGCTCTGCACTTCTCATGATACCTGCGCCCAGACACGTTTCAGTTACAGGCAGATCCCTCTTCATCATCAAAAAAGAATGATTATGCATGAAATACTAATATCATACAAAAGTACTCTTCAATGCTACTGCGCGTCAGACTTCTCAAGGAAGCCCATCTTTTGTGTCTTTGACAACAAGCTAGCGTACCAGCGCGTCCAAACGGCACTATCCACACTTCCCCACCCAACAGTCTCAAAATCTCAAGATTCGCCTACGCCTGACCAACCCCCTGGCGACTCTGGCGCTGATCCCCCAACATGAGCCATACATTCTCTTGCGGCCCTTCCAGCTGCTCGGCGTGGTAGAACAACGCTTGCGCCGCCATGCGCGTTTGATGTTTTGGAGGAAGATCGCCCATCGTCAGCGATTCGCCTATTGTCCTTAGCAATGCCACCACTACACCCTGATCAGCCATCTATCGCATCAAACAGGCAGAAGGACCAACCATCCGCGGCATCGATCAGCGCCCTCTCTTCCAACGACCCCAAAGCCCGCCTCAACTCTTCCGCGGCCAAAGTGATAAAGAACAAGTACGTCGGCGAAAAGTAGAGCAGCTCTTCCCTCGGCTGCCAGCTCGCACATACTTCCAGTATCTGCATCGCACAATCCGCCGCTTTCGACAATGACGCCTCCCGCAACTGAGCATCAGCCGCGCTAAGCTGTGGGGCCGCGGAAGCGTATGGCAGGTGCGCTTGGTATTGCGGTTGGGTGGGGGAGAGTTGGAGGGCAGAGTCAGAGTAGCTGGGAAAGGTTTGGGGGCGGGCGGCGAGGGCGTCGGGGAGGGACATGTTGACGCTCAGCTTGGTAAAGAGCCAAGTCAAGAGGGTGTAGTCCCACTTCAACACGGCATTCTCCCCATGCCTCTGCCCAGTCGGCCTGACAGCATCAAAGTTTGCCTTCCAAAACTCCAAATCCCCATTCGTTTTGAGCACCACCCTCTTCATCGGACTCTGACTGCCTTCTGGCACAGCTTCTGCCAGAAGCCCGAGCTGTTTGCGCCATTCGTTGAGGATCATGATCACTTTGACGTGAGTGGTGAGGAGGAGGTCGAACGGATCTACGGGATGTGAAGCAGGCGGGGTGGCGACTGGGAGGAGACGGTTGCAATTCGGGAGAGCGTCGCGGTATGTTACCTGGGGCGCTTCGGGGCTTCTCAGCCGTTCTGTACTATCCACGACCTACCCTCATCAGCTCACTCCCCCACCTCATCACAAAAGACTCACATAACAAAACAGCCAAACTCTCGTCATATCCTGCTCTGTCGCCGACCTCTCTGCAGGGACGATCCCCACCTTCTCCGCCACCGTCATCATCCTATCCTGATTCTTCAAAACCTCAATCCACCCCCTCGCCCACCTGAACGCCACCCGCGCTATCAACGCCGCCTCGCGCCGATCCACCATCCACGTAGCCACCACACACAGCCCCACAATCTCCTCCGGCCCCAACGCAAACTCTGCATCAATCGCATCCTCCCCATCCAGATCGCCGAAATCTTTACTGACCGTCGCGTCGAAATTCTGCCACGACTTGGCGGGGGACGTGTTAAGGGCGGAGGAGATTTCGTCCTGGAGGGGCGAGCGGAGGTGCGCGAGGTGGGGGAGGTGGTCGCATGTGACGAGGCAGAGGATGGCGAGGATGAGCGGGGTGAGGGTGGAAGGTCCTTCGGGGAGGTAGGGGAAGTGGCCGAGTTGGAGGCGGTAGCCGTATAAGAAACCGCTCATACGTGAATGGAAGCTGCTTGTCAGTGGCATCCTGGGTGATCGTATACTCACTAGTTGATCAGCACCAAGGCGTCTTTATTTGAGACAATATCCTTCTTGATCACATCCGTCCTCGTATCCATCGACCCCACAGCAATCTCAAGCCCATTCTCATCAACAAACATTCCCTCCGACTCGATCGCCGGGAGAGGCTCATCCCGCATCGACGACAAGGTCAAATGCCCCTGCCCCGGGTACCCTGTCTGATGCCCCCTGTACTCTCCCTCCAGTGTCGGCCTGCCACGATTCATAGGACTGCCAAGCGCAGGCCCTTCCTCAGGCGTCTCCTTCTCCTGCTCGATCGTATCCGACCCTTGCGCGTGCCCTTGCGCTTGCGTCGGAAGGGGCATGGGCAGCCCGAACGGCTGCTGCGTCGGACCCAGCCTGGCCGAGATCGGGCTGATGATCTGTGCAGATGGTAAAGGTGCAGTATGCGGTGGTTGGTGGTAACTGAACATGCCAGAAGGCCCAGAAGGGGGCGGTAGAAAGACCCCAGCTTTAGGCTCTGGACTCGCCGGCCTTTCTTCGTCTTCTTCTGCGCTTCTAGAGGCTTTACGCCGTTTCTTCTTGTCTCCATCGTTGTCCCGTCCTTTCTTGTCTGGAGGAAAGTAGCCCTCCCGGTCGGGTGCTTCGTACCGTTCGTACGGCGGGTACAGCGGCGGAATAAGGTTGGATGCGGTGAGGTGATGTAGGATATGATGCACGGCATTGGAAAGCTGGGAGAGGTGGTTGGTGGCATTGTACAGATCTGTCTGAAGTGTCTGTTGCCAGTCATCGTCCTGAACAATATCAGTACCCGTCCAACCCGCTTGGCAAGACACTCACATGGCCTCGGGGGTAAAATATGCACTTTTCCTTTCTCGAATGACACCTCACACACAATGTCTGATTGGGCTCCACTATACACTTCAACTTTGCCTTTCTGCAATTCGAACACGCCTTTTGCTTCTTCTCCCTCGTCAACACTGCCGGATAGGCGGGCTTATATTCTGGCGAATCTTGTTGTACCGTATGCTTCTTGCGCGATAATGACGATGATCCGTTCTGGGTGACGTCAGATGGCAAGAGAGATTCTGTCCGAGGGCGTTTGGCGGTAGTCTTGGCGGAGGGAGGTGGCAGCTGCATATGCGTCAACGCCGGCTCAGCATACCTCCCTCCGTCCCTATCCACAAACCTCCCCTCCGGCAGTCCCCCGGCATTCGGCGAAGTCTGAGGCAACACCTGATCTCTCCGCCAACTCTTCCACTCTTGGTATTCTGCCATAGGCTCCGACGGCGGAGGCTGGTATGTCATCCGCCGAGCCGGATGTGCCGGATGGCCAGGAAAGTCCATCTGCGGGCGGGGCAGCTGCCTGTTCGCCCACGGCCCTGGTCCTTGCGCCGCACTATCCCCAGAACCATTCGCGCTCAGCGGTCTCGGCCCGCCACTAGGCGGCGCTGCAAAGCTGAACGGTCCACCCGGGTGGCCTGGGTGCCCCGGATGGCCTGGCGGAGGGCCGTAGTAGATGGTCGGCGGGCCGGGAATGGTGGGGGACGATGAGGGGGGAAGTATGGGCGGGTGGGGGTGGGGACATGTGGGTGATTGCGAGGGGACGTGGGACATGGTGGGGCATAGTCCTGGGGAGATGAGCAGAGGCTGAGAAAAGCGGAGGGCGTGACGCGGGAGGCCGAGCGGTTATCGAAGGGTGTCGCTGGTGGTGGATGGGTGAGTGGTAGCGCCCCTGGCTGCTGGGTAGGCGGGCAGAGGAAATAAAAGTATAGGAGGAATAGAAAGAATGAAAAGTCAGAGGAGATGGGCGGTGATAAGCTGGCTGGTTAACCCTGGAACGGTGCCTGTGCTCGGGCCGCCTCCCCTCTTTTGCCTCTCTCTAGCCACTACAAGTATGTGTCTTGCATATGTTGTATTCTCATCCCTCTTACACTCCCGTCCCCAGCTATACACATCCCTCTACAGTTGACCCACTCGCCACTCCATCGTCCCACCCATTCGTCTGTGCTCCCAATTACTCCGAGACGCCCAACCCTGTAGATCACTCCTCCTCTGTGTGCCCTTGAGCTGCTCGACTGTCCTACCTGCTCTCCTTCTTTCCCAAGTAACGCTTCTTCCCGTACCATGCCCGATTGCCCACGCTTCGGGCTCAACCATCCCCTTCTTGCTTCACCTTGCGTTTCATCCTGTTTCAGCCTTGTCCACATTGCAAGCTGTATACAACACCCACTCTAATCTGCCTCATTTCTTTAGAGTTCATCATTTGTGGCGTCGAGGCGTGTGATCGTCGAGCAGACAGCGGACAGCGGACTGCGAATACACGCCTTCAACACGTTGCGAATGCTTGATCGACCGCCAGTGTCCCCTGATATATGCCACTGGGGTTGTTTGTTACTTTGAGCCCCGTAGTGGGCTTGCCAGACGGTCAGTCCGTGTATTCATGTCTTGAACTCATGCATGGTGAATTGCATTTGCAAGGTGAAAACAGCCTGGACACTAGTCGGACAACAGATCAGAGTACCGTGTAAAAGAGTCATCACGTTGTCTTGGCTTTTTATCCTTCATGCGAATGAACTCGTATGTCGGCATACGGCTCGTATCTGCATCCTTGTCGGAATGAGAGGCATTTTCCGCGAGCACGTCGTCGTCGTCGTCACGGTCACCCGTGCTAGAGTCAGCACAACATAACAGATGATAGCAAGTCTCGGGATCCTGGCTTCAGCACTATGCATACATCGACATGTCTCACCTTCCCCCGAACCCCACTTTGACTGAAACTCCTTCAGGTCATGAGTTCTGCCTACCAAACCCTAGATCAGCTCACGCAATTTGACCCCAGCACTCCCTAGTGGGCAAACACCCTCAACGCTTTTTTTCACCCACGACATACCGGCTTATATCAATGCCCAGATCGCCACCAAGGTTGAAAAGCGACTATGGTACTCGCCATCTTGCCCTCCGATTCTGCCCATTTTATTCTGTCTGGATCTTCCCGATCATGAGGAGACGACGAAAGATATCAGGCGATCTATTATTTGGCCTTGGACGAACCCTCAAGGGCAAAGACGGAGAAAATGATGATCCCGCAGCGTCGTCGACAACCTTTTGGAAGGCTTCTTCTTTCCGGTTCTCAGGAACCAGTCCAAATCCCTTGAAGGCAAAAAGCTATTGCCCAACGTCAGCTTCAAGAATAGAGAAGCGCAAACAAGACTCACCCCAAAAAGCAGGAAAGCCAGAGGCAGGTAAACTTCCCGAAGCCCACGTGCCTTCCACAAAACACGAAGCCTCTGTCGGAAAACCCCCTGGTGCCGGAGTTCCTCGAGGACATCGATATCGCCCGCAACCTCACTTCGGCGCTCTGATCTCCGCCAAAAACCAAGGAAGACGAGTCCCATGATGACACTGTGGCGAGAAGAAACGAAGTGAGCATGTGTCAGTCTGGGCAATATAGTTGCTGGTGGACGGCGGCTGCTTACAGAACAATCATGACGACACGGTCAGAAAATCAAAAAAGAACGAGATGGAAAGGACGGACGGCAAAAGGGCGAGGATTAAAAAGTCGACGACAACTGAAGAAGCATAGTAGCTTGGAGTGGGATGACTCGGATGGACTTACAAGAGATTCGAATACCGGATATCGTCGCGAAGGCTTTTGAGTGCCGTCCGCTTCGGTAAGTGCGCCCTCTCACACCAGCCACCCCGCTGATCCACCTGTGTGGTCCGTCTTCTTCTTCGGCAACCACGTGTCGTCTCTCTTCCCTAAGTTGCTTTGCAACCTCGGTAGCGATCTCGGCTTTCATATAAGCCTTGAGGGTGTCGGGCCACTCTGAAGGGCTGGGGTCGAGCTGCTGCTTACAGAAGGGACAGCAGTACATGATCGAGAAGATCGAGAAAGAACAGAATCGACAGAATGGAGGGTAAGATGGCGAGTATCATAAGTCGGCGATGACTCAAGAAGCATATTAGCTTGGAGCGAGATGACTCGGATGCACTTACAGGAGATCCAAGCACCGTAGATTGTTGCGTAAGCCTTGGACCGCCGTCCGGTCTGGAAGGTATGGCCTCTCACACCGGCCACCCTGCGGATCCACCTGGGTCGTGAATCATCTTCTTCAGTCTCCACTTCCCGTCCCTCTTTCCTGAGTCGCTTGTCAACCTCGGTGACGACCTGGGCATTGACATAAGCCGGTATGTCGCGGGTGAGAAAAGCGTTGAGGGTGTTTGCCCACTCGGGGAGTGCTGGGGTCCAAGTGCGTGAGCTGATCTAGGGCCTGGTAGGCAGGACCCATGTTCTGAAGAAGCTTCCAGTCGAAGCGGGGCTCGGGGGAAGATGAAAAGCACTTTAGAATTGGGAAACGCACATAGAGCGGACCATGCGTTGTTTGCGACCATCAGGCGGCCATGGCCGTCGGAGCGCCGCCGCCGCTCATCAATCAACATTCCACAAATGCTGGCCCTTTTCGGTGTCATGTGACCCACATCATGCCTATGATTGGAGCCTTGAGATAGTTATGAGTTGACAGTTCTCGAGGGTAGACGAGTACTCATTGAAATCCGAATCACTGCAAGGGGGCTGAGTAATGGTGTGTGGGGAGATACTGATAGAGTGAACATTGTAGAGAAGGGTGCCAAGTATGTGAGTGGTGTTCGAGGAGAATCAAATACTGTGAGCGATAACGGAAACAGTGTGGGAATAGAGCGCATAGGGAAGAGCGGGCAGGGAGGTGGAGGCAGGTGCCAGTGGCCGACGGTACCTGACATGAAACGAAAGAATCAAGCATCCAAAGAAACGTGCTGTGAGACGTGACGTAAAATATTTTGGGGACATGGGAGAGGAGAGATGGGAGCTGGAAAGGGAAAGACGATGATTGCACCGGAGACGCTTGTCGAGGGAAGCGGAAATGCACCTGTCTGGACTTTGGCCAGACGTTTAGGAGAGTCGTTGTCGAAAAATGACGTCAGCTCAGCTTGCGAAAGCGGAAACATACCTTTTCACCGACTGCTTTCCGTTCATAGCTTTGTAATTGCGCATCTTCTTCGTTGCTTCGTTCACCATTGTCGTTGTGATATTTTGCCAGCCAGTTCGTACTGTACTGCGGCAGCCACCACAGGGACTCCTAGTCATGTTCCCCAAAGACGATGCTTCCGGCCATGGTGATAGTACTATTCATTCACCTCCCAGTTATCGCGACTCAGTGTCTGTCATCCAAAGCGGAACAGTCCCCCCTTCCGCACTCTCGCAGGTCGAACACCCATTCTTGAAGTGTCCCCCAAATGACAGTTGCCCCAACGCCCTCCAATTTGTACTGGACACGTGTGATAGGCGCATCATAGCTCGTTACATTCGCACTATAGCAGAATCAGATCCCTCGGCCATTATCAGGTATGCCTCTCGCCGATCTTTCCAAAAGAAGAAGGAGGGCAAGCCGGAGGAACTCTTTTTCACGCACTTCACAAACGGCGCGACTACTTTCAACTCGCTCTTCCTCTGGACGGAGAGCTATGGGCGGTTGAAAGACTTGGCTTCGGATCCCACATCAGAATATGGTAGATACCTCGAGGCAAGTATCTTTACCACATAGGACTGTCAGTGAAAGATATCTAACGGCTCGAATCCACAGGTCGACCGTGAGGCAGTTTGCAATGCTTGGCTTCTGACATTGGATATGGTCTACTTTCTGCAATGGTTCGTCGAGCTCGGTGATCGTGAGATTGGGCAGTCACTCTCAAAACTTCACTTCCTATCCGAGTATGGTAAGGTGAATCAAAAGATGATTTCGGAGTCTCTGCAAACAGTGAGTCAGCAGGGCACTTGCCCGCTCCCGGAAATCGCTTAATCAGCTGAATGTTTCTTTCTTCTGGATAGTTTGTCTATGCCCACAATGAGCTGACTGTGACGCTCGACGCCTTACGACAATGGGAAGCAAGCAAACATATCCCTCATCGCTTCACAGCGGCCAAAGACATCTCGGAAGAGATTCACATTCTCTCATCCCCATGGGCATACTTTGCCATGAAAGCCTCGCAGCCAGAGAGTCACCTCCAGCCTGGCAAGCGCTATGACAACCTGCCTGCTTCTTGGATTGTGCTTGTAGCCTATCTTTCATACCCTCCTGTTTTACACTGGTGGTACCGGCTCTTTGATCAGATCACAGCCTCCCAGGCAAGGCGGCAAGTCTGGGACGAGATGCCTTCCGCCAGTATACCGTTCCCTATGAAGTTCGAGACGGTGCTCTTTGATCATCATTGGTGGTTGGGGGTATAGATCAGCAACCGAGAGTCTGTCGATGGTCTGTTGTCTGATGATCAGTGATGAGAGGAGTGCAGCCTTACAAATGAATCAAATGTGTATAATTCCGTTGGTCCACTGAAGCGCTGGCCCGACAAGTGGTAGGCTCGTCGGAGCGAGGGGCTTGTGTCGAGCCTAGACAAGTGGTACCGTGCCGTCCCTCCTGAATCCGGGCAGTCCTCGTCTCAGAACCATTCGCCTGCGCATGGAGAAGACGTGACTTGTGAGGTATCCAGGCTGCAGGTGGTGTGCTTCAGGTTCTGTTACTCGGCAACCGGTACATGCACCATCGTTGTCGTGACGTCGTGCTACGCCAGAGGCTCATAGATAACCAGCAGTATCAATAGTACGAATTTGAGGTCTGATTTGCGGAATATACAGTAGCAATATCACAGGGGGGCGGCACTTGGCGATAAAGCGACACCATTCTGCTTCAACACTTTTGGCCTCATAAACTTTGAGGCGTTGATACTTTCCCCAAATGATGAGACTCCCCAGTGCCTTTTTCTGACTAGCCGTCTCGTACGTCTCTTCTTCAATCATTGTAGAAGAGATTCAATGTATAACATGAATAATGCAAGGCCTATTGGGGCTGCTAGTTGAAGGGGTCCGCGGATCAGCTCGTTCTCTGCCTATGATAAATTGTTTGGGCTAGTCAATGAAAGGAGAATGCGAATTGACAAGAGACAACAAAATAAAGAGAACAAATACAGATTATAAGGTAAAAGAGAACGAGCGAGGCGAAGAAAAGAGGTGACGACGAAAGATATCAGACGATCTATTATTTGGCCTTGGACGAACCCTTCAAGGGCAAAGACGGCGAGAACGATGATCCTGCAGCGTCCGCAGCGTCGTCGACAACCTTTTGGAAGGCGTCTTTCCAATTATCCGGGACCAGCCCGTATGCCCTAGAGGCAAAAAGCTATCGCCCAATGTCAGCTCAAAGAATAGAGAAGCGCAAACAAGACTCACCCCAACAACCAGGGTAGCCAGACCCGGGAAAATCTCACGCAGCCCACGTGCCCTCCACAGTAGTCGAAGCCTCTGGTGAAAGATCCCCTGGCGCCGGAGTTCCTCGAGGACATCGATTTCGCCCTCAAGCTCGCTCCGGCGGTGTGACCTCCGCCAAAAACCAAGGAAGACGAGTCCAGCGATGATACTGTGGCGAGAAGAAACGAAGTGAGTATGTGTCAGTCTGGGCCATATAGTTGCTGGTGGACGGCGGGCTGCTTACAGAAGGGACAGCAGTATATGATCGAGGACATTGAGAAAGAACAAGATTGACAGAGCCGAGGGCAATATGAGCAGTAACAAGAGGTCGGCGACGACTGAAGAAGCATATTAGCTTGGAGTGAGATGACACTGGATGCACTTACAGGAGATCCAGACCCCGCAGACCGTTGGGAAAGCCTTTGATCGCCGTCCACTCTGGAAGGTGTGGCCTCTCACACCGGCCACCCTGCGGATCCACCTGGGTGTGGACTCATCTTCTTCCTCCTCCTCTTCCCTTCCCTTTTCTTTGAGCTGTCTGTCGACCTCGGTGGTGACCTCGGTGGCGACCCGGGCGTTGATATGAGCGGGTACATCCCGGGAGAGAAAAGTGTTGAGTTTGTCGGAGCACTCGGGAGTGCCGGGGGTCAATTGCGAGAGCTCGTAGAGGGTCTGGTGTGCAAAACTCATGATTTGAAGAAGCTTGAGTCGACGTGGGGTTTGGGGGAAGATGAGAAAGCATTTTAGAAATGGGAATTCGCACAGAGCAGAAGGATCTTGTTTGCGGCCATCAGGCGGCCATGGCCGTCGGAGCGCCGCCGCCTCTATCAATCAACATTGAACAATGCCGGCCCTTTTCGGTCTCATGTGACCCATATCATACCTATGATCGAAGCCCTGAGATCATGGTGAGTTGACTGTTCCCGAGAGTAGACGGGTATTCGTGAAAATCCGAATTTCCGGCGTGGGATTTGTAGCACCCACGCTACAAGTCGCGTCACTCGCTCTACAAGTAGTATCCGCTCTTCTCGTCCCGAGTTATGCATACAGACTCTCCGAACTATACCTGTGGTTGAGGGCTGAATGATGACAAGCTGATTTGTTGACTAGGGAGCGCAGCCGCCTCTTCAGTTGACAAGTTGAGTGATAGATAGAGCGAGGACTTTGAGAGCGAGTATCGGCCATGACTACGATATCAGCTGGCTGGATGGTAATGAATGTCTTGAACTAGATATATGAGTACCAGGCGATGAGCCGATGTAGTAGCGGCTCTGATTTTCAAGCAGTACTGCATATTTCGCACGTTGACCCACAGGTTGAACAACACGACAAGACCGAGGGACAACACCTCGCACTCCACCCTCTACTCTCCCGGCGCCCCATCATCATCTCCCCCATCCCTCCACCCCCCCTCCCCCCAAACTTCCCTCCCCCCAACCCACGTCCCCACCACCTCCCCCTCCCAGCTCATCACACACAAATCCGCATCCCACCCTTCTTCCAGCCTTCCCTTCTCCCTTTCTACCCCGCCGCCGAGGCAGGTGGCGGGGTGGAGGGTGGCGGAGAGGAGCGCGAGGGGGAGGGGGATGGAGGCGAAGGTGGAGAGGTTTTTGATTAGGGGGGCGAGGGGGGCGGCGCTGGGGGTTTTTGGTCAGCATCGGCCAGGGGAAAGGAAGGGAGGGGAGGGGAGGGAGGGGGACGTACGATCCAGCGAGAGTGTTGGTACCATCCACAAGCACCTTCAAGCCCTCTTTCCTAAACCTCAGTCCAGGTCTCCAGTCGATCACCCCGTCAGGCGTTTCGGGGTCCATTATACTTTGCGCTAACCATTCCATCTCGTTAGCCCTCATTCTTTCTGTCTTTGGCAGCCCACAGAGAGGGGGAGGGGGGGAGACGTACCGTCCGAAACTAAAACGCACCCTTCCCTACAAGCGCCCCACGCGATACGGACAGTGTTGGGATGACTATGCCACCCGTCTACGATGATGCCGTAGTACGGTCTGAGGGTGGGGTGGCCGAGGAGCCCGACGAGGCCCGGGTCGCGGTGGTGAATTGGAGGCATTGCGCTGAGAGTTTATAAGTATCTCTTCGCGGCGGAGGGGAGGAGGAAAGAAGCTCACTTGAACAGATGCGTAATCATCCTCGCCCCCTTCTCAAACGCCTCCTCCGCCTGCTCCAGTGTCGCATCCGTATGCCCGACCGACACCGTCACGCCCCGCTCGACTAGAGCGGGTATACACTCCATAACGCCGGGGACGTCGGGTGCGAGGGTGATAATCTTGACGCCGGGCTGGCCGAGGCCAGGGGCACCGTAGACGGACTCGAAGGTTTCCATCGGGGAGGCAGTGTCGGCGGTGAGGAGGAGGGTGGAGGAGTGTGCCCCTTTGCGCGTAGGATGGAGGAAAGGCCCTTCGGCGTGGTAACCTAGTATACTCGCGCCGCCTGGCGTCTCCCTTGGCCCCAGCAACCTCAGCAAACGGGCATACAGCTCTCTATTCTGCGTAATGATCGTCGGCACGAATGACGTGGTGCCATACCTCACCAACCGCCGCGCGACTTTCTGTAGCCCCTTGACATACGCCTGCTCGCCAGCCTCGCCTTGCGAAATGTCGAGCTCGGAAAAGTCGACGCCCCATGCACCGTTGATTTGGATATCGATATGCCCCGGGCTGAGGATGTTGCCCTTCAGGTCGACCGTGCGGAAAGGGGCCGAGGAAGTAGAGTGGGAGTAGAAGGCATCTTGGCCCGAGATGATCTTGCCGGTTCGGGACGAGATGTAGAGGTCCTTCTGCTGGGCGGTGCCGTCCGGCAGGGCGAGGTAGCCGTTGGTGAAGCGGACAATGTCGTCCCGAGAAGCCATGGCGCGGTGGTAGCCAAACAAGAAGGGGGCGTCGCTGATATACAATACAGCCGGTTCAGGCTGATAGCGTGGGCGACCTCCACCGTGCGCACTCAGGGCCGAGACAATCGGCGGCGGGGAAATCGGCGGATGTTAGAGGCACGGAGAGTCCCGGTACGGCGATTTGGCCGAGGATATCCTAGTGCATTGCTCCCTTGTTCGGTCCTTCCGTGTTCTTATATTCTGCAACCCCTCGTGGGTTTCCCTGCACACCAGCTATAAGACAGCACCTGCGCCCCTCGTGGATTCCAACAAACACCCGATAACATCCCGCGGCCCGATCACTGTACCCCCTTTGAGTGTCCCGGGTGCTCACCGCGGTCCTTTGTGTGATCGCTTTCCGTGCTTCTGTGTGCCTCGGTGTGTACATTCCTTGTGGCGTACATAAGGCGGTGGCTAACGAAGCGCATCGAGCAGATCGCCCCCACTCCCCCACCCCTTCTCCACAACGGGACACACATCCCCCCGACGTCACCCAGTGCACCAGCAGCGCCTCCAGCGACGATCCGGAACTCGCGATGGGTCCCGTAGAAAACAGGGAAGCACCTGCGCCCATAAACTCTATCTCGCCCCCATCTCTTGCCACCCCCCGCCCAGACATGCTCCCCCGCCTCCCCACCCCGCCCCTCTCCCCCGCCGCCCCCCAGCTCATCCTCTGTGCAGACGGCGGCGGCAGCAAGGTCTGCGTCGTCGTCCGGAGCGAGGACGGCCTTGAGACAAGAGGGTATGCCGGGCCCAGTAACGTGTACGTTTCCATTGTTCTCAGGGACCCAGCTGATACTGACTGCGATTAGACAAAGTGTGGGCTACCAAGCCGCCTCGCAAAATATCCTCCTGGCGACATACCGCGCCCTCTCCCTCCTCCCCTCGACGCACATCCCGCCATCGCTCGAGATCCCACCACTGCAAGATATCTCGTGTCCCTCTTCGGGCTACGTCTCGCCTGTCCCTCAGGCCATCGCTCCTGTGCCCGTGGTACCCGTGTCCGCCCCTGCTCCATCCGCAGCGCTCCCCATCTCACTCCAGGCAAATGCCAAGGGTCTGCCGGGCTTACCGACACCGCCGAGCTCTGTTGGATCGGCTTTGGGCGAACCAAACCTCGCCGCCGCGATGAACAATACTCTCGCTCCGCCACTCCCTCCCCCATCTTCCCGTCCCGGCGCATCAACCCCTCGCTTACTCCCACCCTTGAACGTGCCCTTGTTCCGTTCAGCCTGGCTAGGGCTTGCCGGGATCAGCTCCAAGAACGATGAAGATACGTTTGGGCGGTACATTGCAGGATCCCTTGCCATGGACGCAGGGAGAGTCAAAATCAGCAATGGTCAGTCCCTTTGTTCTGCTTTCGTGCTGCCTTATTGGATGAAGCTGATGAGGAGAGTAGATGTCAACTTGTTGGCAGCGCCCGCCCTAAATTTCCCGGGGATCAGTCACGTCCTCACGCTGGTAGCTGGTACAGGCTCTGTCGGGCGTACCATCCGGCTCAACTCGCCCACCGCCCCCACCGCCGGGCAGAAGCAAACTCTGCCTTTGGAAGATGTCGCTGTCGCGAAAGGCTGGGGATACCTGTACGTCCCCTTTCCTCTTCATTTCGTTCCAAATACAATACTGACAGCTGGGGTAAGGTTATGTGACGAAGGCAGCGCCTACTGGCTCGGCCGTCTATCCATCCGTCTCCTGCTCTCCCTCTCCGACCGCCTCTCATCCTCCTCCATCTACTCTTCCCCGCCTCCGCCTCTTCTCCCGCTGCACCAAGATCTATTAGACTATTTCGGAGTCACCGACCCTCTGGAGCTTATAGGCCTCGTCTCTCTGGGAGAGGTGGATAGCTTGGGGATGAGCGTGGGGGAAGCGGTCGGGAAACGGAATGCCCTCATAGCTGGTGCAGCGCGGATCGTCTTTCGCTATGCTTTTCCCCACGATGAACAAGTCGTGAAAGACCGGGAAGACAAAGATCGGACGAAGAGGGCGGCGGCGGCGGCGGCTTTAGCAGCAGGCAGGGGGATGAGGGGGTGGGAAGGGGAAGGGGATGTGGATTGGAGTGGAAGTGAACGAGGATCGATTTCGTCGTCGTCTTCCATGCTCTCGCTCTCGCCTGATCCCGAATCAGCAGACTCGGAAGAAACAATCCACCAATCCCACCTCCTCGCCCTCCAACTCTCCCGCCAATCATCCCTCCCCCTTATCCAACTCACCCTCTCGCTCTTTGGCGACCAATCCATCGTCCGGCCGTCTTCGTCCTGCTTGGCGCTGGGTGGGGGGCTGATGATGAGTGAGGGGTATAGGGGGATGTTGTTGGAAGGGCTGGAGAAGGAGGGGGTGAGGGTGGGGAGGGTTGTGGTGGTGGGTGATGCGGCGGTGGAGGGGGCTAGGGGGTTGGCCAAGGTGCAGTGGGGATGATGTTTGAGTTCGTCTTGAGGAGCAAATAATCAGAGACCAGGGACAGAAGAGAAAAGACGAGGAGGGAGAAGGGAGAAGGAAGTGAGATACGATTTCCGAATGATATGGTTAGTTTTGCAATCAGCTTTGATAGTGCTAGTGTACTTTTGGATCATCTTGTATACGTCTATATACCCATTTATTTCGCTTGGGGTCGTCTCTTGTACTCGTACGATTTAGAGTACTCTCGAGTCTCGAGTAGTATTGCTCGAGCGTCTGCTTTTTTTTCTTGTCGAGTGCTCTTGTTCGTACTTTGATTCGTTTGGGATACATATGTCACCACCATGCCACGGTCTCGATCCTTGTATACCGTGTCTGTGATCAGGTCCAGACATTCGCAACCAGAGCAAATACACCTTGTCTTTCTTTATATGTAAGTCAAACCCCTCAACCTCATTCCCATCTCACTTTGCGCCCTCCACCACGACGCCCTTCTTGAACGCTTCAAAGTCGACAACTCTCTCTTCCCTCCTCGCTTTTTCAGCAGCAAACACCAACAAATGCGGATCCAACACTTCTCCCGGTGTGACCCCTAGTACAGACTGATCTTTCTCCGACACGGCTTGCACAAAAGCGGCTGCGAGGCCGGAATCGCCGCCGCCATGATGGCCTGGGAGGATCGGCGGGACGTGGTGGGATTTGGTACGTGTCAAAAAGTCGAATACGTCCTACGTTCACGTGTCAATTCTCAACTACTCGTATGATGGAGGGATCCTAGAGAAGAAGAAGAGGGCGTACAAATGTGACCATATCGCCAATCAGCTCGCCTTTCGTACCCTGGATCCGCGTGCCCCTGTCACAGATCGACTCTGTAACTACATCCCTTCTGTTCAGCTCATTTTTCCCACTGATCAGCGTGAATGCTTACAAGCAGACATGGTCATGCTCGCGGTGACGCCGCCTTCATACTCGATATTGACGACTTGGTGGTCGACGACGTCGTTGCCTGCTTCATACACGCAGACGCCGTAGGGGCCTGTTTTGAGGGCGTCGGTGATGTTTTCAATGTCTAATACGTCGGCATCGACTATGTGGTCGGCCCACTGCTCAGAGGACTCTTGTCAGCCTAGAAAAAAGACAGGGATGGAGAGAAGAGAACGCACTTTATGTCGTCCGCCTTCGAGTCCTTCTAGGTAGATCTTCTTTGCGCTCCACACGCATTCGCTTTCATATGCACAGTCCGTGCACCTCATGGCCTGGCCGGCTTGGACGGGTTTCTTGGACTTTTTGAAGTGGTGGATTGAGCCGAAGGAATGGACCTTCTTGGGAGGGAGGCCGGAGAGAAAGTAGGAGAGGATGTCGATGTCGCTGGTACCCATCAGCTTAGCGCTTTGAAACGGCAGGAGGACAAGACAAGAGGGGGACTGACTGGCAGCATTTGGTCATCAATGCGAAAGACGTCTGGGCCTCTTTACTCCAATTGCCGCGGACATAGCTGTGCGCAAAGTGTTGCTAAGTCGCGTCAGCTTTATTCCATACCCTATTCGTCAAGCTTACATTCCCGACAGGCTCTATGTGCTACCGCATAGTCAGCTTAGAGCCAATGGCCGTCTGAGGGGACTCACTTGAATGTTGACAATCTCACCCAAAACCCCTGAATCGATGACCTCCTTGACGGCTTTGTTGTAAGGCGAGTACCTCAAAACATGTCCAATGCCGAATACATCAGTGTGATTCGCCTCCACCTCTTTGACAATCCTGAGACATTCCCCCGGTTTGGTCGCCATAGGTTTCTCGCAAAGGATTTGATACCCCAAGGGCGCAAAGGCAGATACGAGCTCGGCATGAAGATCGTCGAGGACAGTGACGAGTACTGCGTCGGCAATCTTGCCTAGAGCGAGAAGGGGCTGCCAAGAGTCAAATTGGTACTCTTTCGGGATACTGAAAAGGCGTCAGCAAAGGGAGGGGTCGGATAGCCGAAGGACGAAGGGAGGGACGCACGAGTGGAGACGGGACATGACTTTACGTCGATGAGCACGAGGTTCGGCTACGGCGACGACTTGTGCGAGGCCTGGGTGCTCCAAGGCGTAAGAAGTGTATACCTTGGTATGCCGTCAGCATCTGTTCTCCCAGTGGACATCAAGAGCGTACCTGTCCTCGAGCACCGGCACCGATGACGACCAAGGTCACGGGCCGCTTGGCTCCTGCCTCTGCGAGAGTAGTCTTGGAGATCAGGATGCCTTCAATGTCGCTCTTGGGTATGGCGAGGTCAGAATCGGGGACCTGACTGTCGGCAAGCTTTTGTTTCTTTGCCTCTGGCTCGACGGCAGGGGACGAGGACACAGGCGAACGTATAGCGATTGGGGCCATGTCTTCAGCTTCAAGAGTCTAGCGTACTGATGATAGTCGAGTCAATGTGCTATATAGAGCCCAGAGGCCAGAGGGAGCACTTTTAACGTATGTGTCTAGTGGCAATGAGCGGGACCAATGATTTGCCTCGCAATACCGAGCAGGCAAAGCACTTTCTGGCTTCCGCCGTGCTTATCATCTGCATCATGGGACCTCGGCTTTCGGACTTCTCCGTCTGGGGCTCTATGTCCCTCCCGGCGCTTCTTTGCTGTCTTCATCAGTGATGTGGGTGAGCCAAGAACAGTCCAGATAAGGACAGTGCAGATTGCCCCCAAGTGGATGATACGAACAGGGGAAAGCGTCGCAAGCCGCCCTCTTTGGGCATCTTGGAACTTGGATCGTGCTGCTTTCAGTTCAGGGCACCTCGGCAGAACACGACGATTACCGGCTTCATTGCCTCCACCTCACAATCTCCCACTGCTCTGGGATGCATTCCATTTCGCCGATTACACCTATCTCTCGTGCCCAAACATGTGTGTCACAACCATCCTTTGACTCTGTGTTCTGGGTCAATTGTGTACTCGCGCTCATCGCATCCTCTCTTATCGCGCGCCGTGCCAGCTTATTTCCTCTTTCGCTCTTCCCGTCTCAGGGATCGGTTAAAGCGGAGGCGCTAGTGTCGCGCAAAACGGCGAATGATGCTTACGATCTTGTGCTCTGGTATCAGCTGATAAGGAGGTGGTCGGGTGCGGAGGGAACCATACATCTGTTTCCTCTTCCTCTCTTCCATTTCCCGTCCTTCCGCCACGAGCCTCCGCCGCCTGCTGTTTATAAGCACATTCCCCATCCTCTTCTTCCTACTCGGATACACTATTTACATTCCTGTCACCCGTACAACAGCCAAATCCCTATCTTCCGACCTCTCCCCCGCCTCTTGTGTATACTCGTCTCAGCTCCGTTTAACCCGCTATACGCATCCCTATTCCATCACCAAGGGACACTCGCCGATCACAAGATCTTGCACCATGTTCTCCTTGGACGAGAAGCTTGCTGGCATGAAGATAGGCAAATACAGATGTAGGGTCGAGCGTGACTATTGTTTGACAGGAGACTGACCCAAGTCTGCAGATAACGATCCGTGGACACAGGTGTTCATCGTCGGATTCGTCTGGTGAGTCACACAAGTCCTTACCAGCGTGCCTGTAATGACTTTCGATCACAGCTTCTGTTCAGTTGGCCTCTTTAGTGTATGTCCTGCCGCACTGTTGGTGATGCATATAAGCTGAACATCTCCCAGGCTATCAGTGGATTGGGAGCTGGTGGTACTCAAGACACTGCTCTCTCAGACACTGCCAATGGTGTCCTGTACGGCTGTTTTGCGATTACTGGTTTCGTTTCGGGAAGCATCAACGTGAGTCGTGCGATCTGATGAGGAGCAACCCTGATTATGGTCCAGAACGTTCTCGGTCCTCGACTCACCCTCTCCATCGGCACTACTGGTTACTCTCTCTACGTCGGCTCCCTCTGGGCTTTCCAACTGCATGGTACTCGATGGTTCTTGATTCTGGCTGGTGGTATTCTCGGAGTCACCGCCGCCCTCCTCTGGTCTGCCCAAGGAGCAATCATGATGTCGTATCCTATGGAAAAGGACAAGGGGCGTTCATTCTCTCTCTTCTGGACGGTCTTCTTCATGGGCAACATCATGGGGTCGGCTATTGCTTTGGGTATCCAGGCGCATAGTACTATGCCGGAAGTATCTACGGTCATCTATGTCGTCTTTATGATCATTCAGCTCACTTCTATCTTGACCTCCTGGCTCGTCTTGCCTCCTCGTAAGTCAGCTAGGTTATGCGCGTCGTCGTGGCTGACAGCTGTGCAGATCTTGTGATTCGAGGCGACGGTACAGTTGTCAAGATTGAAGATGCCATCACTCCGAAAGAAGAGTTCAAGTACTTTTTGGGAATGTTTAAGGATATCAAAATGCTCTTGCTATTGTGAGTGTCATCTATCATTGATCAATGTGTGCTGACTGTTATGCTCCAGCCCCATGTTCTTCGCATCAAACTATTGTAAGCTTCCCTCGCATTGCCTGGAACATAGACGCTTATCAACCTTTTAGTCTATGCCTACCAAGGAGCTATCACCACCTTCCTCTTCAACGGCCGAACCCGTGCTCTCGTATCCCTCCTCACCGGTATCGGCGCAGTCACCGGAGCCGTCTTTATCGGTACCGTACTCGACAAGATGCCCGTCTTCTCCCGAAAGAAGAGGTCTCTCATCGGTCTTGGTGTGGTTGCCGTGCTCAACATTATCATCTGGGCTGGAGGTCTTGGGTTCCAAGTGCAGTTCTCAAGGGCGACAGATCACACTGTCTGGGATTGGTCTGAAGGACCCGCAGTCGGACCTATCATCCTCCTCATGGCCTGTGAGTCTATTCTCTTTTCCCCGGCGCCATCGCTGACTTGAAACAGACTACATCGGCGACGCTTCCTTCCAAGGTCTCGCGTACTACACCATGTCTTGCATCACCAACGACCCCTTCCGCCTCGCTCGTATGGCCGGTTACTACAAAGGCATCCAATCCGCCGGCGCCGCCGTCTCTTTCGGCATGGACGCTGTCGCCACCCCCTTTCTCACTGAGCATCTCGTCAGCTGGATTATCCTGCTCGTCTCACTGCCTTTGTGTGGGTACGTGCTCTGGGGGTGCTCGGACAGTAACTACGAGAAGGAGGGTACGGTGAAGGTGGAGGATGTGGATGGGGGTGTGATTGGGGCGGCGGCGGTGCCTCAAGGGCATCATGTGCATGGGGAGGATCATGAGGAGCAGCATGTTCCGGGAGAGAAGGACTCGTCCGTGGGTGATGAGAAGGAGATTCAAAGGGTCGGGGTTGTCGGCGTTCCGGAAGTGTAATAGACGACTGTGTTTGTTGTTTGCCTTTTACTTTTAGTTGTTTTTTTGGGGGCAAGGTCGTAATGCCAGGTTGTCATCATAAAGTATTTCACTTTCATGTGCTGGATGCTCAGAGTTGCATGGCGCAATTGAATTTTAGTGGAGATTATCGTTGTCATAATATGCAGCTGTGTTGATCAGAATAGTAGAGCGGGCATCCGATACGCTGGCAATCCGGACATTCACGCATTCATATATATATATATCTCAGTAATCACTTTGTACATAGGATAAACATCAACAAGTAATAATAGATCAATCGCACAAACAAGCAGCCCAAGTCCAACTTATCTCTTCTCGTACCCGTCCACCACGCCTATCTTGAACTCCTCAAAACCAATGACTTTGTCCTCCTTCCTCACTTTCTCCGCAGAAAAGACGAGCAGATGCGAATCCAAGATACCCCTGGGAGTCACCCCCAGAATACTTTGACCTTTGTCTTCTGCCTTGGCCTGGACGGAAGCCTTGGCAAGCCCGGAGTCGCCGTCGCCGTGATGGCCAAGGAGGACAGGGGTGGTGTGGTGGGTTTTGGTGCGGGTCAAAAATCAAATACGTCCTACTCGATCGTCAGCTTCGTCTTTCGATTGGTAGTTACTATGTCCCCCATGAGTTCGCCTTTAGTACCTTGAATTCTGGTGCCACGGTCACAGGCGGACTCGGTGACTACAAAAGACAGTCAGGCGGTGACAAGCTGGCGAAACCAACAAGACTTACAGGCGACCATTGTCATACTCGCCGTGACCCCACCTTCGTACTCGATGTTGACGACTTGGTGGTCCACAACATCGTTTGCCAGCTTCGTACACACAAATACCGTAGGGACCTGTTTCGAGGGCTTCGGTGATGTTTTCAATGTCCAGAACGTCGAACCCACTGATCACACGACCGCACATAACAGCTTCATTCCTGCCCATGAGACGATATGAAGCTTACTTTCGCAATATGTATGCAGTCTTGGATTCTTTAGAGCGGTCCATGGCTGCTTGAAGACATAGCGCTGATGAGGCTTATGAAGCGAGGAGATGCTGACGCTACAGATATGCATACATGATTCCGCTCAATGCTGATTATACAAACATACCTCTGCTTTATCAAGCATGCCCACCCAAGGTTCTTCCCCAAGTGCCCAACTCGGGACCAACACTGTCCTTACCCGCTTCAGTAAACCACTCTACAATCTCGTTGGGAGAGAGAGTGCACCGCACTTTCAAGAAATCGGGATGTTGTTTGTTTGTCACAGTTGTGGATGAGGAAGTCGGGGCGAGCAGGGCTATGCGCACAAGATGGCTGAAAGCCTAGACAAGCCATCAGCGTGGTTATAGAAAAGCAGGTGATACGCACCGTCCGCAAGACCCCTACACTCCACCTGACTTTCCCGATTCCGACAAGTCTTGTCCTCGCGAACCTCAGGTACTCCTCCTCAACCATCGCGTAGGTGAATTCCTCTCGTCCCGCAAAAGCCAGATGCTTGGCAATGATTAATATGCCCAGACAAGGAGTTGGGAGCCCACGAAGCTTGTTGTTTTGAAGTCCGAAAGAGGCCGTTTCGACCTGGGCCAATATCTGGTCGGCAAGGATTTTGGGGTCGAGCTTCTGGTCCAAGCGCGTTATAACGCGAGTTATAGGAAGTATCTACAAGGTACAAGGCCTGTCAGGACATCTCTTTACATGGGGAAAAGAACGCACGAAGGGGCGGTACAATACGCGTACGTCGGTCGTCAAACCGACCAATCGATCAAAGTACCGTCTGATGCGCTCATCGCCCAATGTCTATGGAAAGTGAGCATGTGCCGAGAAATACCTCAAAAAAACTCACAGTAACAATGACATACTCCCAGTCGCCTCTCCACTTCTCATTCTCTTCCGGGTCATCCATCACGCTCTCGGGATACCAGGGTATCAACGCCATCTTCAGAAGCACCTCCCACCCGCCTCGACCTTGCCCCTCTGTTCCATTGCCGACTCCCCCAACGCCTCCTTGCATAACAGAGGCCAGAGGGGAAGTGACTCGCCAGATACGGTGAGAGAATCGGGATTTGACACGCTTCTCAAGGAGAAGAAGGGTGTCGAGCCGGGGAGTGATGCCGATGACTGCCAATCCTCGAGGAGTGGTGCCGACGGGGCCGGAGCGGACACTTTGCACGACATCGACTATATCAAGGTCAGCATGCTTTCCCCAGATTGAGACTCAAACATACAGAGACAATATAAGAGAGCTTGACGGGCATGCTCTGTGAAGAGGTCAAACTCTTCTATGAGGATGATGATCGCCCTAGGTGACGGCGCGGTCAACAGCGCGAGCAAGTGAGATGGTAGTGTAGTTGGCGCGTATTCCTGGAACTGGATCAGTACCTTCTTGAATTAATAGATAGGCAGGTGAGAATGTACTTCATCTTCTCCTCGTTCATCCTCATCCACAGCCTCTTCCTCCATGACTCGTCCTTCCGCTTCAGCAATCTGACGGCCCATCTCCCTAATAGCCAGCCTATCCGTTGTTTGGGCAAGGCCGGACAGACGGACGATTATCGGTGCTGTTCTGGCAGCGGAAGAAGGGAGAAGGCTGAGAGCCCTAGCAACGGTCTGAAGATATTGGGTCAGCCGGTACACGCCATCACAACGGAGGATACATACCCTAGTCTTTCCAGATCCTCGAGGACCAACCACCAGAGCACTATTGCCCTCCCCCCTATCCACGGTACCTTTGATGAGATTATAGATACCCTGCAATGCCTCGTTCTTGTCCTCGTCCAGGAAAGATGGAGGATCCCGTGTTATACCGCGCGAGTTCAGAGTGTTGAGAATGGTCTTCAAGACAGGCTCGGCGTCGTCGGGAAGGGGTTGGCCTGTGGTATTCTCGGGTTCAGGCGCGGGGGAGAGTGCGAGAGGTGGGGATGTCGGGACAAGGGGGGCAGTGGAGAGCTCAAACTCGGGTATGAGAGGAGCATCTGGGGCGAGAGGTTCTTCGTCCTGTGGCTTGCCTCCATACTCGTCCAACTCTTCTTCCTCTACGTCCATCACTTCATCTCTCGTATCCCGAATGGCCCTTCCACTTCGAGTCGTACGAGGAGCATTGCTATCCCCTGTAAACTGATAATTCCTCGCCTCTCTCAGTTTTCGTTGTTTTTCATTCTGCAAAAATCGCTCTCGGGTATATTCCTCCGTCTTGTGTTTCTTGGCTTTAGTCTCTTCATCCTCATCGTCATCGAAAACGTCTTCTCCGAAAGTAAGAGTTTTCGAGACACCTTCTCCCCTCGCTCTCTTTCTGGTAGACGCACGAAGAGCCGGTGAAGGCGTCGGCAACCCATCCCTGAGGCCGGAAGCGAGCGTAGGCGTCCCAGCGAGGCTGTTGCGGCCCCTCTGAACAGTCGACATCGGTGTCTTGCTGGGAGCCTTCTTGCCTTTCGACTTTGTAGGCGTCGCAGCGGATTTGGCTCCACTCCGAGTAAGTCTAGCTTCAGAGTCGATCTCTTCCGCAGGGGCCGCCCTTTTACGGTTTGGCGTTGGCGACGGGGCCGCCTTGGACGCCGCTTTGACAGCAGTCTTTGTCGTAGACTTGGCCGCCGATGAGGGAGCACTGCTTCTACCTCGTCTTTGGGGCGTCAAGGCCACAGCGGGGACTGATTTTTTTGCGGAACTATAAGTTTTTCTGGGAGTATTCTTGACAGGAGTTTGGGGTTCGAGGGAGGCCGTGCGAGGGGGCGCTTGGTATGCGATCCCTTCCAGGACTTCTTCCTCATCGGAGTCATTATGGTTAGGCGGAGGAGGGAGGGGGTGTTGTTGCCCTGGTATCGAGTCCCCGGACATGGTGAGAAAGGGCGGTCGAGGTACAAATGATGCTGAAATGCAATGAACCGACGCAAGAATGGAAAGAACAGACGCGTCGCGTCGGAGCTATGTGGGTGATCAGGACACCCGAGATCTACCCGCCGTCTCCTGTTGGAGTTCTCGCATTTGAGTCTGAGTCTTGACCTGTTCCTTCGCATTCGAGACCGTCTCGTGGCCATGCAGGTTTGTACGAATGCTGCCTGTCGTAGATTCTGACTGACAATCACAGAATACTTCTGAATATATTCGTAACAAAAATCTACTGAATCATAATAAAAATCTATATAGGGCTCACGACGAGCAAATGTCCGTAGGTATACAACCACCAATCACGACCGATATGTTCAACGCACAACCACCACCTCCACACCAGTTGCACCATAATACCCTTCAGCAACAGTATACGCCCCGACAACTTCATACCCGACCTTGTTCTCTTTCACAACCTCAACCTGGGATTCAACGTCTTTGCCGTCCTCCGTCAACCTGGGAATGACGGTCACAAGCAAAAGCGGCGGAAGGCAGATGATGAAGAGGACGATCCAGGATAGCTGGCGGCCGAGCGAGACTGCAGGGAAGGCGGTGGAGAACGAAAAGACCCAACTGCACGATGGTGAGTAAGCAGATACGGAAGACAGAAGAGAAGGAGCTTACCCAGAGATCACAGGACCTGAAGCTCGACCGATCGCCTATTGCAACATTAGTCATGTCCTCACTATCTACAGACACTCGACGTACCCCGGCAATACATTGGATGGCGCTGGCGGAAGCTGTAAGTTCTGGGTACGCGCCAACAACAGCAAATATGAGATTATCGCCTTGCCTAGCATCGAGTATCAGCGCCTGACCCATCGACAGCATAGTACTCACGACCAGCCCATGCAGTGAAAGTTCTTGAGCAAACACTGGACACCCAACATCACACCTGTCCAAGCCAGGCCTTTGGTAGCTGCGAATTGGGCGAGAGGAATGACGAGGGCTTCAAGAGGCATGGCGCCGCTCGTCAAAGCTAGACCGCCCTTCAGTCCGAACTTGTCTTCGATAAGAGGGGCAAGGACAGGGGAGACGAGGATGTAGATGGCGGAGGAGAGGGAGTTGGTGAGACCGATGAAGTGCACAGGCAGACCGAGTCCTCCGCGCTTGACGGGGGTCCAGAGGAAGACGGTGAAGAGGCCTTCGAAAGCAAAGCTCGCTACGCAAAGAGTCAGCTCACACTCTGTCCAATGTGTACGCGTATATACTGACCCAGCTGGAAGCCTGCAAAAAACATGTCAGTGTATGTTTGCTCGCTTGGAGTATAGGATTGAGCTCACTGCAGAGAATCCCCATAACCAGCATAAAGTGTGGGACCTGGAGGACAGCTTCGAAGGTGTTGGTTTCTCGCGCCTCTCCTTGGGCGTCCTCGTCTTGGTCTTTCTCGGGGCTCTTCTTTGTCTGGGACTTGTAAGTGTCTGCTGCATTGTGTCAGGGCTCTAGCTTACCTCTTCCAGAGTGTGCCAGCAAAGCACGACAACGGATAAGCTCCTATACCGGATATTAGCCATCTTCTTGAGGTGAAGTTGAGTGCAACCCTCAATATAGAGCAAACGACGCAGGGAAGAGCATAGGGAAAGTGCTGCCAGATCTTCATCGAGCCTCCCATCCACCATGGGAGTTTGCCGTACGGCTTGGCCAGCTCGCCGCCGATGAGGTTGCCAATGATGACGCCAAGAGAAAGCATGGGCGAGTAGATGGCAAAGATGCGGGATCGGTTGGAGGAGTGGCTGATCTCGGCGACGACGGTCCTTGTGAGTACGCCAGCAGGAGTCAATCCATCTAGCGCAGATTGGGTCAGTATATGAGCGGGAGAGATGCTGATATAACTTACAGAAAGCTCGCCAGAAGATGATCCAACCCACACTCTGTCCGAAACCTACCAACGCACATCCAGTTCCAGTCACCGCTACTCCCCATACCAAGCACCTTTTGCGGCCCCATCGGTCTGCAGCTCTGGCCCAGCTGGTGGCGCAGAACGCCTCGACGGCCATGAGGCACCCCTCAGCCAAGCCTGCGTAGAGACCAACTTTGTCGTGCGGGGCATGGAGAGAGGTGATAAACTCGGTGATGAATGGGAAGACGAGGATGTATGAGATGGAGTCTACGATACGGATGAGAAGGATGGGAACGAGCAGACGCCAGGGAATGGGGGCAGGATTGGAAGAGGAATACTCGACAGGAGCGAGGAGAGGAGTAGAGCTAGTAGCTACCGGTGTGTTTTGGGTGTGGACCATCGTGGTGGAGGCACTGCTGTGCAAGAATTGGCGACGGGGAGGTATCTGGAATGTGGGATGGGAGAGGAGAGGGAAATTTGGAATCTACATTCGTATTTGTGGGCTGGCGGATAGCCAGCATCAGGGCAGGGACTATCGCAAACAGAGAAAAACGAATATCAGGCGGAACAAGAGCGTCGGTAACGCGCGCGTCGGTGTGTCAAAGGTGGAGGTCGACCGGCCTTCGCACAGAGATATGTCCCAGCCATCTGGAATTCTTTTTTCCGCACCGTGGGAAGGCATGCAAGTAGGTCCGATGCCATACCGCTATCTCGGCGGGGAAACGCGCCACACGGAGCATCCTTTCAAGCCCAGCAGCCCCTGCCCTATGAATCGATGTTAAAGGAGGACTGGGTCTTAGGAGTGCGCCAGACGCGTACTGAGCTATGTGCCAACCCTTACCATCTTTTGTCTTGGACTTGGTGGTCCTGAATTGGACAATCGCCACATCTCGAAACGTACGCCTTTTTCCTTGCATTGTGGATATCCAAACTCGAAAACCTTGTCACTCGCATTTCAAACTCCGGTCATCTCTTGGCACCTGGCAACATAGACAACAAGAAGGCGATATCCGGGCTCATCCCAGAGTCTTGATGACACTCCTGGGATCCCATGCCGAGAGACCTTGGACAACGCGCCCAAGACTTCAGAGAGAAATGGGTACTTCCTCTTTCTTCACCTTCAGGACATCCCTGACGATTGTTTCTAGCTCGCGCCTTCTGGAGGATGGCTTGGAGAGCTAGTAATATTCATCTCGGATCTTGCTGGAGTATGGGACGTCATTATCATCGCCGGCGTCTTTGTCTGCGCTTGGATCGTGGTGAGGACAAGTCCGATGGAGATCTCAATGGTTCTTGCCCTTGTGTTCGACCTCACTATACCTCTCCAATACTACAGTATGTTCCTGCTTGTCTCCTCGCTTGCATGGCTGACTTGTATGTAGACAACGAGTATCTGCGAAAGAAACATGCGGAGCATTTGGAGAATTACTGGCCCTCGCTCATGATGGGTTGCCTGATCGAAGGTGTCTGCTTCTTCCTCCTCCACCCCGACCTATTCACTCTCATAGTCTGTCTGAAGACCAGTGCGATGACGATTCTATGGATGATAAGAGACCAAGACGGACTACCCGTAAGTGTATCTTAATGGGCAGCAGAGCCGAGTCTAATGGGATGGTGCAGATCAAGGTTCAGTCGCCTTTCGACCCATCCGGCCGTCGTTCATCAGGAGGAGGATCGGTACAGGACAGCGACGGACGCAGCAGCTCGAGACGCAGTGGCGGCTCTGATCCCCCGCCGAGAACATCTCGTGATTCCAGCAGAACCTCATCGACCCGGCCCGAAACTTCCAATTCTTCGTCTTCCCAACCACCGAAACCCTCTTCTTCCTCCCAAGCTCCCGAGACCTCCGAGCGCTCCGAATCCAAACCCCCCTCTTCCGGATCCTCCACCCCATCCAACATGCCTACTTCCAAGAACGTCTCCAACCCTTACAAATACCTGCACCGCGCGGGTTACCCTGACCCGGCTATAGCGGGCATGATCCTCGCTCTCAACGCGGCCGAGAAAGACCGGGCGAGAAAGCAGATGAACGCCTGGGTTCAGGAGAAGGATCGCAAAGAGATAGAGAGGCGGGACAAGCGGTATTCGGAGAGCGCCAAGAAGGCTGGGTGGCCGAAGAAGTTCGAGCAGGGTGGGGAGGGAAGTGGAGGTGGGAAGACGACGCTTGCTATACCGCAAGAGGCAATAGAAAAAGCTGAAGCGTCCATGAAGTCCAAAAAAGTGCCTTCGGAGGAGAGGAAGAAGGTGATGGATCTCTTGAAACATCCCAAGTCCGAGAAAGAGCTGCAGGCAGCTGGCAAGATCCTGAAAGAGATGGGTATACCCGTGAAACTTCCCAAAGGAGGTGAAGGCGGTGAAAGCAGCAGCAGTGGTCACAAAATGGGCGAGTCGGATGGTCATGGTGGGTATCGCGATATCAAGCTATCGAAAGACACTGTTCAGACCTTGAACCAGGCCATGGCGCAAAAGCAATGGTCCAAAGAGGACCACGTCAAATGGTTGGCGTACATTCAGCGACCCCTTTCCAGGCGCGAATTTGAGAGAAAGGTCATCCCTCTCGCCAAATCTTTGAACGTGTATATCGGTGGGGGTTACACTGGTGGTGGGCCACATAGGTTTGATGTCAAAAAGCTTGCAGAAATCAAAGGCAAGATAAAGAGTCGATGTGGGGTCGATAGCGGAATGGCGGAACATATGATCGTGCATGCCATCAATCAACGTACGTCCAAAGAGGCGCAGGATATGTTGAATCGATGGGCAACGAAGGGTATCAAGCGAGACGACTTTGAAAAGCTTCGGAAAACTGCACCGGATTGGGCATAACAGGAGAAAGTACTCTTACAAATATGAATCTACAATACCTCTATCGAGTCTCATAGCCAACCAGACCTTCCAAGAGCTTCATCACCTTCAAAACCTTCTCTTCTTCCCAAGCTTTTCCGACGACCTGCACCCCGACAGGTAAGCCATGCATCTGCTCCGGCACATACGCAGGCTCCGTCTTGCCAGGCTTCCCGATATAAGTTCTTTCCTGCAGAAGCTTCGAGCCGGTACTGCCCTCGAGCCAGTCGCTGGGCAGGGTGTCAAGGTCCTTGCTGACGCGGGTGACGGGAAGGACACCGACGGTGCTGTCGACAACATTGAAGAGAATCGTGGCGATACTATTGGGGCATCAGATCAAACATGAGGACGTCTAGGGACGAATAAGACTTGCGAGAGGGGAGAGAGCCATTCAGTCTGGTTGTGCTTGAGAGCAGGTACGGCCTGAGTCGGGGTCAACAAAATGTCGAACTTATTATCGTCCCAAGCCTGTAGAATCGTTTCAGAACGGTGTATCATTCCTATAGCGGGTCTTGAGTACTTACAGCTCTTCTGAATTTGTCAATATACACATTTCTTCTATGCGTATACTGCAGAAACTCTTGTGTACTCTTTTGACGACAATTGGCTGGGACACCAATCATCAGTACACCATCCGCACCCTCACGCCCGTGACTCACAAAGAACATCCGCGAAGAGCTGATCTCCAGTAACCTTCGCGATAAGCCAGACCAGGATGCGCAGTATCCATCCTGGAAGCTTTACGGGCTTGATGACCTAGAGTAGATGTATCAGCGCCATATACGAAAAGCGCGTGGCACGTGTAGCTTACAAGGTTCATTGAGGGTTCCATAGGATCGCTTCCGATGTTGCTAAGCAGGGTCTTGTACCCGTCGGAGGACGTCAATCCCGCAAAGATCTAAAATGGACGGTGAGTTGACGAGGCATACGATATGACATTGGACGAGCGCACTTGGAGGGCTTTCGGTACTGTATATCTGTCAGTCCGGCAAGAGACGGAAAAGAGAGATGCAACATACCATCCGGGGGATCAAAAGCAATGACTTCGTGACCAGCCTTCTTCAGGGCTTGTACACTCTCCAACACCGCTCGGGCGCAGGCTGGGCTAGCCTACAAGCAGCGATCATCAGCTCTGACCCTCCAGCTTTATCCCCACCGAGAAGAACGCACTTTGATAGCGTGGTCATCGACCCAATAGCCCACCTTCAGCTTCTTCGGGAGCTCGACTTCCCTCCAAGGGATGGGCAACAATTGCTCACCGGGCAATTCGGTGGAAGGCTCATGGATCGTATTGAACACTGAGCGCGTGGAAAAGATGAGGTCGTCGACAGTCCGTCCCATTGGACCCACAACGCCCTAGAGATAGCCATCAGTAACCCGTCGGCGACAATAAATGAATGAGACGGACCTTGATACCCTCAAATCCCTTCACACTCGAACGACTCCCATTTTGAGGCCACCTCCCAACGACAGGCTTGAGTCCGCATATCCCGCTATAATGAGCAGGGATCCTTAGCGATCCGCCGACTGTCTAGATGAGCGTTACTCCAATCGGTCCAAGAAGGAGACTTACTATCAGACCCCCATCCTATGGGACTGCCTCGAAGAGCCACAAGCGCAGCTTCTCCGCCTGAACTGCCACCGCAAGTCCTATCTGACGCGCCGGGATTGGAGGTTTGGCCGAAGACGGGGTTGCGGCATTCGAAAGCGAGAAGAGTCTGGGGGATGTTTGTCTTGCAGAATGGGATCCCTCCGCCAGCCCGGAAGACTTTGACGAGCTATGGAGGCGTTAGTACTCTCTCGTTCTAGGCGACAACGATACGCACGCCTCCCTCATCTTCAGCATCCAGGATAGGATCAAAGCAGTACCTATATAGCATGTCAGTGATATTTACGTTGCGCTCTGCTGAGAAAGTAGTACGGAGAACAACCCAGGGAGCTATCCACGCCCTTGATGTTATAGGTATCTGCGATAGTGTCAGTCGTTGGCATAGTGCATTCAAGGAAAAGTATGCACGCTCACCTTTGAAACTCGAAGGAAGACCCCAGAACGCGCCGTGAGCCTTTCCAAATGTCGCATACTCTCGATCATGACTCTTGGCTTGTTCAAGGGCTTCTTTGAAGAGGACTAGAGAACGGCGAAGACGATCAGAAACGCAGGTCTTCAGTAACAACAATGACTTACCCTCAGTCAAGCAATTCGTCTTTCGGTGAGCGGCACAAGCGGCACGAATCTACGTCCAGTATAAGTATCTTTGAAGTCTGGTGTGAAATGACAAGCTGCAGCTTCCCACTCACATAGACAGACATGACCCTCTCGACCGTCCATCCTATCTTACGCCCTTTGAGGTGCCACACGATCTCTTGCGGTCTGCGCTTCAGGTCAGCTCTTGACGCACTCTCGAGTGGCAATCGGAATCATTCTGACCTGGTGTTCAAGACTTCCTCGTCCTCCGGATGTTCGCTCTGCAAACCGAGAAGGGATTCCATCTCTGAGATAAGTCTTTCCCTCTCCTCTTGCTTTGCCTTGGCGATCTGGACCGTACTTCTTGCGACCATGGTAAGAGCGTCGTCTATGTCGAGATGGTTATAGTCGGGAGGAATTGATATCGCTGACTCGGTGAGGGCCAGCACCACGTTGCCATGGGTCAAATGTGGATCCTGCTCGGATTTCGGCCACCCGCGCCCGCTTTGTTGTTGCAGTTCCTGACATTTGGTTCCGTCGCTTCAGTCGCTCACCAACTTTATTGGATGGATAAATCGTGATTATGAAGGCTGTCCACCATACAAAGACGATGCCTTGATTGCAAATAGACGTATATAATGAGGAGGAAGGTCGCTACAAGTGTGCGCCAACTCGAGAAACAAACATGAATGAGCGTTTCACTGCAGAGAGATGCGCAGCTCTGCCTACAGTATACTCTTCGTCGATTCTCTCAACAAATGGCTGTGAAGAGGTCCAGCGAAAATTGAATGGCTTTGATGATAGAGCGTGTCATATCATGAGAGAATTTATGATACCGTGCGTCAAGTCAAGAACATGCCATATGAGTGTCAGCCCCGGTGGGACAGCCAGACCACCACCTAAGCTACAAAGTGCCAGAAGAACTCATCATCAGACGTGAGAGGATTACATCTTGCGCCGAAAGGCGCGCTCGAAAGTTCACCCCGATGATCCTTCCGAAAGAAAAGTGCTACAATTGGTACCAAAGATCTGCTCAACTTCGTCAGCGTCAGGCTGTTACATCGCTGCATTGACCCGTCGTTGGGAAAGAGCAACCGCGGTCGAGAGAACAGCAAAGATGTCTGGAAAATAGCTTCTGTGTCGCTCTCGAGCGCCCTTTTCATAATCACAGAAGTGAACGCACATAGATTGGGACACCCCGTTTCGTCTTCGAAACGATGATTGAAACGCTGTGAAAGAGTTGAAACGAAACTCGAAACGAAACTCGAAACGACCAAAACGAGAAGCGAACGTCATGCACGGCCCTGAGCGGATATCGCCGCCATTCCATGTCCTCTTGCGTACGCGACACGAGGAGGTGATGTCGATGGTTTTCTGAGCATTCCGCTTTTCCACACTCCGCTCCCCTTAGCTCGCCACTTCTCGCTCCCGGCACCCCTCGTCATATTCCAGGCCGGATACCTCATTTCTCCGCCTGCTTAAAGACGACAGCCGATGCCCTCTTCTTCTCCCTCAGCCGCTGACACACGTCCTACAAAGATCATAAAGATGGACGATTCCATTGATGTCACAGACGCAGTCACTGGAACGGAGCCTGTCCCTTCGTAAGTGAATCGTCTGTTTGTGATTTCGGGCAATGGCTGAAGGTGCGTAGCTACCGACCTGATGCAAAGACAAGGCGTTATGACAGACAGTTGCGGTAAGTCTTTCTCGAATGCGACAAACAAGAAGTGCTCTTAGGTGCCTTAGACTGTGGGCTTCTGCTGGCCAGAGGTCGCTTGAAGCTGCCCGAGTCCTTCTCGTCGGCTGTGATGCCGCGGGTTGCCAGTCCTTAAAGAACCTTGTCCTTCCTGGTGCGTCGTGCGGCTGTACGCCAGCGTACCGACTGACATTGTGCAGGTATCTCTCACTTTACCATCCTTTCCCCCAAAACAACCACATCCCAGGATGTCGCAACCAACTTCTTCCTCCACCCGGATGCCATTGGCTCGAACATTGCCCAAGAGAGTGTCAAGTACGTGCTTATGTCATGCATAGAGCGCCAGGATACTGATACGGACCTGTCTGCAGGTATCTGAAGGAACTGAACCCTTCTGTGGAAGGTCTGGCTCGTACAGATGTACGTACCATGATTCCAATACCGCGCAATAGCTGACACTCCGCGCAGGATCCCGTTGCGCTCTTGGCCTCTGATCCTCACTACTTCCTGTCTTTCACCCTCATCATCCTATCCAGCGTCGATCCCGCTCTCGAAAATCAGCTTTCCGAGCTTCTTTGGCAAGCCTCCTCGACTGTCGGAGGTGCCGACATCCCGCTGATCTCTATCCGGAACTCTGGCTTTGTCAGCCGAGTCCAAATCCAGCTCAGAGAGCACGCCGGTGAGCAGACTGTTAAGCCGACGCGATGGAATAATCTGACACAGATGAAGTCATTGATAGCCACCCCGATACCACTCATACTCTCCGTCTCGACGAGCCGTTCCCTGCTCTCGAACAACACGCCCGGTCGCTTCAGCTTGCCGACATGGACACTTTGGAGCATTCTCATATTCCTTGGGTTGTGCTTTTGGTCAGAGCAGCTAGCATATGGAAGGAGAACGTGAGAAGAGCTCATCCCTTGAAGTCTCATTACTGACCTTTCGGGTAGCACGGCGGAAAGCTTCCCGATACTTCCGAAGAGAAGGCAGAGTTCAAGGAGCAGATCAAGGCGGAGAAGGTCAAAAGTGACGAGGAGAACTACGATGAAGCACTGGGTCAGGCGTACAAGGTGTGGCAGAAATCTGAAGTAAGCGGCAAACGATATGAACCCTTCCGCATCAGCTGACGGTGCCTAGGTGCCCTGGGAGATCAAGCAGCTTCTGGAGGACGAGAGCGTTAAGAACATTTCCCACAGTGTGAGTCTATTCTGGACAAGGGAGACGGGACTGACAGCCACACAGTCCAAGAATCTACAGATCCTCCTACACACCCTCAGCCAATACATCATTCCCGCCCCTCACCTCCCACCCACATCTCCCTCCCTCCCCGACATGCACTCTAGCACCGAATCCTACGTCGCTCTTCAGAACATGTATAAAGCTCAGCATCAAGCCGACCTCGCAAAGTTTAAAGAGCTCTTGGCGCAGGTACTGGAAAAGGTGGGACTACCGGTAGAGAGTGTGCCGGCGGATGAGGTGGAAGGGTTCGTGAGGAATGTTGGAGGTGTGGGGATCATCAAGGGGACGTCTTTGAGAGAAAGCAAGGATGGGAAGGGATTACTGGCTGCTGAGCTTGGTGAGTCAATCGCCAAATGAAGACAGCGCGGAGGCTGACATTCACCAACAGAGAGCTTTGACGAAGAGTATCTCGAAAACGCTACACCTCTGTCTCTGTACCTCGCTATTCTCGCCGCCGAAAAGTTCTTTGACAACAATAAAAGGTGGCCTGGTACCACTACCGTCGAGGCGCTTAAGCAGGACAACGCTGAGCTGGAAAGTATCGTCAAGTCACTCCTCCCCCAGCACCCTGATCTGCCTGATGTCGTGTCAGAGAGTATTGCCGAGGTGTAGGTCAAGAACGAGATCGGACTATATAATGAGCTGATCAAATTCATAGGACCCGTGGTGGATTTGCGACTATACCCACGACTGCTGCCCTCGTTGGCGGTGTGGTGGCGCAAGAGGTGATCAAGCTCGTCACCAACCAGTACACACCTCTCGACAACACTGTCGTCTTTGACCTCATCAAGAGTGGGTCCGCCAAGTACAAGTTCTAGTCATAGGTGTGATCATAGGTGTGTAGAAGAAGCTAGGAAAGGTGTCAGCATGTATATAATTATGGAGAGTGGTGCATCGTGGCTCGCAAGGGGTAGCTGGTCAATATCTATTGTCCTGCAATCGCTGATGTACTCGAACACTGGTTGTTGGGCCCAAAAAATTCATCACATATCATGTAAGTTGTACAATAATCCTACAATGTCGACGTCGCCCGAGATACCATCCGAGATAGAGAAATGACTACTATGATTATAATTGCTAATGCTATGGCTACTGCAACCCCGACTTTCACCCGCACTCTTCAGCTCTGATGCACTATCATTGCTAGAAGGGAGTTGGTTACTTGTCGGCGGGAAGCTGAAACTTGTAGCCACCTTGACGGGGCATCCATCGAAGGTGATCACGGTCTTCCCTGATGTGTTTGGAGAGCACTGAGAATAGAGTTAGTCACACTGCGCACAGAGAGAAGGGACGAGGACTCACTGAAAGTGCCAGCGGAAGCCATGAAGAGAGTGATGAAGACGATGGGGTAAGCATCAACTGGAACACCGTTCTTCTTGAAGAAGGCCCCCATTTGGTGAGTCTGTTGACTTGTCAGTGATTGCACAGATATACATGTCGAGGAATGACTCACGATGCCGTTCTGCTCGTAAGACATGGTGGAAGCCTTGCGAGTAGTCATGGTCCTCGCAGCAGGCATGGTAGTGGAGGCAGTTCGGAGAAGAGATCGGGCGAACATTGCTAGTGTGTTTGGTGTGGTTTGTTTTGGTTGGGAGTGGTGTGTTGTTGAGTGGTGTGGGAGCTGGTGAGGCTGATTGTTGAGTAGATGTGTTTGTGAATGGAGGATGTCAGTCGGTCTGAGGGGTCCTTATATATCTCCAGGCTCTGCCCCTCGCGGATCTGGATCTTCCATAGGGAGTGAGTACGCCTCTCGGGTTCGGAAGTTGACGCATGTATCAAGACATTCGTCCATTCACATCTTTCCTTTTGCAGCGCGTTGATAGCGGAAGAAAGCGAACATCAGATGTCGAAAACGTTGATGATTTGTAGTTTTCGGAACCTTCAGGGGCGGCGCAGATCTTGATGCATTTTGGGTTTTGCGTAATCTTACCCCAAAGTGGACATGACCGCCATTGCTTCAGGTGCCCGAAACCCAAGACTATTTTGCATCTGGGCCAATGGCGCACGTGCCTGACCGTGTGTTTTCGGTTTCCCGTCAGATTCCGTCTCGCACAGATTTCTACAAATACTCGGGGCCCTCCTATTTCTTCCTTTGTGTTTGGTTCGGGACCGCCCTCAAGGCTCGGAACGTATCGTTTTCCGCGCATACCGGGGGCTTGCCCACCCAGAGACAAGTATTGCCATATCTGGTATACACTATAGCGTGAATAGGCTCTACCGCTGATCCATCGGAAGCCACAGGCAATGCAGGTCCGGCTCGAATTACCACAAGTGTCACAAGCCTGGCTTGTTGGGTATATCCTCGGCACCTCACATGTAGACAGGATCCCGATGCGGAGTTGTGTAGTTGCTGAGAATGTATAGTCGTTCACTACCCGGGAAGACGTTTGCTCAGCTCAACGTCGGATGATCGCGTCAGTCCAAAGAAAAGGCTCTCCATCATCTGCGCTTGTAATCAGCCTCATAGGTCCGGCTGGACGCTCGTGACCGGTGATGCATCGTTCTACCAGAGACTTGTTATTGCACTACTGCACACTGATCCAATGTATCCCGTTCTTCATCCTACACTTGGCGAAGCGCAATGTTTAAAGGACAGCTGGTGATTGGTATCGGGCAATCGCGCTTTAAGCTGCGTTTGTTGGACCGAGAACGCCTTTCCGTCTTTGCGGAAATCGGGAGTGCAAGTCGTCAGACAGTCCAATATCCTCGTGTTCCGCGATAGGCCACCTGTTGATATACGCTGTTTAGTGCCCGTATGTTCCGCCTCAGAGCACGAAGATAACAGAGCCGGTCGAACGGTGATCACGGACGTCAACCTGACCGGCAGGGCCGGCACAAGATGACATGATTGTTTTACGAACTAGACAGGCTCACCAATGTCCGATACATCGGTGTACATGACGAATTGTTGACTCTCCTATCACACCCGTCGAGTGACGCTCGAGTCTTCCTTCCATGGCTCCACAATCTGTAACTCATCATCTGGTCTCTCGCGACTGGCCGGACTTCGCCTAGAGAGCGAAGAGGTCTTCCTTTCAGTGTTACAAACGTCATCATCCACCAATACAGAGAGGAGATTGGTACCCTTTCAATCGTCTTCCTGGATTTCCCGAGGCCCCTCCCATCGATTTCCTCTATAAGGGCCAGTAATAATGAAGAGCAGTCTCTCCCTATAATCACTATCCTGGCTGTATCAACAACCATATCGACACCTTTATACGATACTCTTTCTCACTACCACCTACCTTGCTTCACACACTTACCCCGCCGATACTTTCATCCTCCGTCAAGCAATGGCTCGTAGCCGACAAGTCTTCCCTGGGCAGCTTCGCTGACCGTAGAGATTTGCCAGACTCTTGCCATCAATCAACATACAACGTCCCCAACCTGGAGTCTGAAGAGCACACGGGTACACAGTCCCATGCCTGACAACCATGGGTCAGTACTTCCTCTTCTCCATCTCTTCTTTAGTAGAAGATGCCTCCCAGGCGATCTCACTCCTATAGACTTTTGAGATTCCTCCTCATTACCATCATCGACTTATTACTCCCTTACCCCATATCCCCATCATGCCGCCGAATGTTTGTTCGGCTTCACTTTCTTTCATCTGAGGGTGGACAGCGTGGGGTCCAGGGTCATATCTGCGTGATAAAGACACATCTGTCGTTGTAGCAAACGGCTGAGGTGAAAATGTCTTACACACGAGCACATCTGTCGTTAGCAATGACTATGGTGAGATGCTCGGTCGGAGGTATGCCCTGGACCCGACGCTGTCGATCGTCAAAGCTTCCACTACATAGTATCAGTATCTTATGCAACACCTGCCATGTCGCACAAGCTGCCGCACAAATGTCCGCGCAGAGTTTGGAAACCTTTTATACATGTGCTCGGAAGGGAAAAAGAAAAAAACTAAGTCAATTACTGCAAGGGGGAGAGAGAACAATGGAGATTTCAGTGACAGGGGGCTGAGAGGAAAATGATGAAGAGTCGTTTCTAGGACGGAATGCTCGTCGTTTAGTCTTTGTATAATGTTCATTGATTTATGACAACACTGCGCTCTGAATCAGCAACGACCACTTCTTCCAATGTAGAAGAAGGGCTTACCCATCGGTTCCGAACCATCCCCCGTTGTTCTCTCCGAAGCTTTGGTCGCGAAATATCTCACATCCGCATCCGGGTCATCCTGCAGCTTTCTCAACGCCGGCGCCACCTTTCTGTGGATCAACTCTTGTCCTTCCGGTGTCTGCGCCAGTACAGCGGCCAAGGTCTCGAGACACTTGGCGACGTTGAAACGGATGTTGGGGATGGCGTCATTGGCGAGGTTGAGGGCGGCGTCGAGGACGGTGTCGCGGATGATGGGGGTGTCGAGGGAGGGGGCCATGGTCTGTAGAGGATCAGCAAGATTACCAAAGCGCGAATGGTACGCACGGTGATGGCAAAGATGGTGGTCATCCTGAACAAGTAGTTCTGGTGGTTGCCCATCTCCAAGACCTTTGGTATGATCGTGTTCTTTGCCCACTCGACACCAAAGACATCTGTCAACTTTTTCAAGTTGATGGTAGCAGCCTCTCGGATGGAGAAGACAGTGTCGCCCAACCAAGACATGCAGAGAGCGCCGAGCTTGTCGTCAAAGAATTCGACACCGAGCTGCTGGGCGAGGAGGGGAATGTACTCGATGATGGCTTGTCGGACTCGCCATTGCTTGTCCTCGGCGAGCTTCATGATGGCGGGCAAAAGAGCCTGGGAGAGTCGGTCGATGCCAATCACTACATATGGTCAGCGCATGTCTACATCAAAAGTCACCACTCACCCTCGTTGACAGTGTCAAGCTTGCCGATCAAGTTCAATCGCACATCGCTAAACTCGTCCTGGAGCAATTGCAGGAACAACGGGAGGAGGTTTTCGATAGTAGAGTCCTTCCCGAGCAGAGGAGCAAGACCAGAAATCTGCTCAGCAAGTGAAGCGCGGACATGCTGAGAGCTGTCGGTAGCCAAGTCCCGTACACAGGGCAAGAGACGAGCAAGGATGACTTCCCTGTCGACAAGCTTGGCAAATCCGGGAATCTGGCTAGCAGCAGCCGTCCTGACTTCGGCCTCATTATCCTTTAACAGCCCCACAAACGCGCCCACAAGCTCCTCCCTGATGATGCTCTCCCCAGCACTCTCCGCAAGGCCGACAAACTCGTTGGCGACCATGTACCTGACTCGCCAGGACTTGTCGGTGATGCTGTCGCGCATGGATTGGAGGAGATGGGTCTTGGTCTCTTCGGCGGTAAGGGTGGAGGCGAGGGCGATGAGGTCGGGGATGGTGAGGAGTCGGACGGAGTCTTGGTCGTCGCTGGAGAGTTTGCGGTATACGGGGACCAAGTCGGAGACGAGGAGAGCGTGCTGGTCGATGATGGTACCAGCGGCCTTTGTGAATGGCTACAAGAGAGTGAGCTTGATAAGAATCAAACTAGGTGACACATACCCCGAGAGCCTTGGCGGCCGCTCGCCTGACCATGGGAGTGTCGTCGGAACAGAGTCCAGCAAAGAGCTGCCTCATCTTTTGTTGCGTTGAGGGAGTGGCATTGGGGTAGGGGGCGGCAAAGAGGGCACAGGCAGAAGTTCGGCTGGTAAACCACTCGCCAGTTGAGAGCCGCTCGATAACGGGAAGGAAGTGCTTGTCGAGGTCCTGGGCAGTGAGCAAGACTGAGACCTTGGAGATACTGTCGGCAGCCTGCACACTGTGTCAGCACGCTCCTGATCCCATCCATGCATACACACCTTCTCCCGCACAAGAGTCTCCTCCACCGCGGTCAAGTTCTCCAGAGGCCCAAGGAGTATATACGCATACTCCTTGCCGCCGACGTATTCCACAAAGTTGCCGAGCTCCTCTGCAAGCACAAGCAGCACCTCGTCTTCGTCGTCGAGCTGGTACTGGATGAAAGGAATGAGCTCGTCTCTAGTGCGCGAGGGGCCGAGGGCGAGGGCGATGGTGGACAGGCGCCTGATGGAGGAGAGGCGGAGGACGACATCCTCGGACTTGAGCTCGTCCATGAGGAGGTGGATGGGGTACAGCTCGGAGGACGGGTCGGACATGGCGGCGGTGGTGGTGGGGGTGTTGTTGTCGATAGAGTCAAGCTGGGATCGCGACTGGCGGTGACGAGCGACGCGCACCAGAGCCGGAGTTATAGCGAGTGTGGCACTTAGAGCCCTCGTCAAAACGTCCTTCTCGACGGTCCCCATGCATGCCTCGGCAGAGTAGAACAACACAGGATACATCTGACAACAATGCTTGGAAGAACGCTACATGTGACGTTGTCTCTGGACACAAGATGCTCTCCAATTTCCCCGATATTACGCTTGGATGTTATATCGCGTTTCCCACATTGCCCACCGCTCTTGTACGTTTCGCCGACTCGGGTCTCTCGATGATCTCCTCGGTTCGTCTCTTGGGACCGTCGCTGGCATAATCGATCGCGAGCTGAGAAAAGAGATCGTACTACGGCGTGTCAGGAGATGTCAAAGGCTGGTCTCTTACTCACGCTGATAGCTGGAAGAGGAGTCCTATACGCTTCCTCTCGCCCGAACATTGCCCTTGCAGCTTCTTGGTCCTGTCCAACTTGAGCTCTGCAATCACAACTCGAGACCACTTACAAGCTCATTCGAAGCCTTCGGCTCGTCTCCACCCACAATCTCCATTCCATACCCCGCCCCAGGCCCCCACCTACCCCGAGGACGTTCCACACCTTCCTCATCATCCCACGACCACATCTCAAACCAGTATCGGCTCTTACACTTTTCTCCGCCCTTCATTGGTATCGTCGAGATCCGCTTCAACGGTGCGAGAGGGACCTTGACGTTGATCGAGAGGTAGAGCGGAGGATGAGCGGGTGAAGACGTGTTGGCGAGGTGTTGGAGGGTCGCAGCGTGGATATGGCGGGGGACTGTGGGGAGCGGGGCGTTGGTGGTGAGAGGTCCGGGAGTGCTAACAAAGTCATAAGAGTTGACAGCGATGGGCGCCAAGGGGATGGAGAGGGAGGTGTCCGTGGGTAAGGGCGTGGATCTGGCGGGACGGCGGCCAGTCTTGTGACGCTGCATGGATGTGCTGACCATGTTAAGTGAGAGAAGGGGCGGTCCGGGCAGGTGGCAGAGGACTCAGGGTGAGAGTGGGACAGGGGATGTCAGGCGAGCAGCGAGTCAGAGGGTTGGAAGTGCGAGTCTTGGTTAGGTGTGGTGTATCGTATCCAGGTGTCAGTGTGGCAAGAGAGAAGGCGAAGATTTGAATGAGAGATGCAGAGGATAAATGAGATTGTGAGTGAGATCGTGATGATGGCTGTTGTGGCTGTGTGATATGCCTTTGGGTGTTTGTGCGCCATACTTTCGGCTGTTGCGGGAATCTGGCTATGGCTACCTCTTACTCGGGCACTCAGGACATCGTCAGGTGCTACAAGTGAGCGGAAGGTGAACAAGAATACGACAGAAAGCATCGGGTATGGCGAAGAGAAGGTCCGCGCGCGGGTGTGGGATCGCAGACGAAGTTCATCTCCTGTTTGAATCGTTCAACATTTGCATTGTTGTTCTGACCGTGGTGTCTCTGTGTATGCCCTCTTTGTGCCACTTGAAAAGGTAAGCTAGGTTAGGTGTTCTCGAGCATGACGTGCAAACAATGACGATACATATATACATGTTGAGCTACAATGCTAATGGCCAAGCTACAACTTTTCTTCTTCCTCTCGTACACTTGACATGCCACACGGAACCTCAGCTCTCCGCCGAGACCTGGCCATCTATCGGTTGAGTTACTATCGCTGCAGTCAGTATTCAGTTCCTGCTGATGGGAGGGCAAGCTTACTCGTGGTCTGATGACAAACAATCGTTTCTAGTAGTCCGGCAAATCAATATATTTCAATCTCGGCGCCCCGGGACAAGTCATCTCCTCATCCTTCTCACGCTGTTGCTCCCCAGAACTCTTATGCTCAAAGCCGGAGGGGACAATGATGATGGGTCCCCGCTCGGAGGTGGGCGAGGGAGTGAGGAGCAAAGAGGACGGTGATGTTGGTGAATTTGAGTAAGACAGGAGGGACGGGGACGATTGAGAGGAGGAGATGTGCATGGGCGTGGAGAGGGAGGGAGGGGAGGGGAGCTGGAAGCTCTCGATGAGCTTATAAAATCTGGCTGATTTGCGGGGGGGCATTATGTTTGGGATGAACAGGACAGTTGGGGGTTGTTTTCAACAATGTGGCAGTTGTAGGATAGACCGAGTAGTGTTTTAAGTGGTCTGCGAGCTGGGGGTGGTCACTCTGCTATCATGAAGCAACCCTGGGATGGAGATGTAGATGACAAAAGCGAATGAGTGGACACAAGGACTTGATACTTCAGACTGGCCAAGTTGCAAGGGGCACTAGCCCTTTCGGGGCCAAGCGGGGCGCGGATAGAAGGTTAGAAGCGCAAGAGTCGCAAGTCGCACGTACGTACGTACAAAACACGTAGTGCACTTATCATAGATCTCAGGTACCAGATCTCTTTCTCAGCAGTGGGGGGAGAGTAAGAAGCAAGGAGCGGCGGGGCGTGGCGCTGCATGGCATTTGGTAAGAGCGGAGCCAAAAGCTTGTAGGGAGATAGGAGCCACAGGACGGAGGGTTTTCTTTTGATTACCAGAGTACGAAGAGTACACGGGGATTATGTACTGACGATATCTCTCAATATTCTCGGGACAATACAACTTCCAGGGTAAGTGGGGCCCGTTTCAGCCCGACGGGCAAAAGCTGTCACCCTCCATCCTTCTGGTCTTGCTACCCCAGCTCGATACTCTTGTCGACAAGACAAAGGTGCTTCCTCATATGACGTCTTTCCATCTCTTCCACAAGCGTAAATACCAAAGAAGAGAACACCAGTTCCGAAACGATTGAACGCCTGCGCAGCCGTGGCCGGGGAAGAAGCTGGAAAAAGACTTTTGCACGTTTGATCCGCCGGACGAATCCGCTTCGTCAACCATACTCTTGATGACTTCTTTTTCGGCTTTCTTTGGCTTTAAGCATCTCCGTACATCGTTTGTCAGGTCAACAGTCGATGGATTTTGTGCGTATCAGAGAATCTTGAGGCGAGAAAGAGGAGGCGGAGAGGCGGCGGCGACGGGACCGCGAAGCTCGGAGGGTGGCGGCGGGCGGCGGTGGTCTACTACTAAGAATTGCGTGCCAGCAGTGCCGTGCCCGCGCTGCGTGGCGTCTTGCGCATCTTGAAGACATTCATAACAAAGTCCTCAGTTTGGTCAGACCAGTACATATCCTACGTCTGTGCGGTACAATATATTCTTACACGTCCATACCCGGTAATTACTACGACATGAAAACCCTTTTCCTTGGGAGGAATGCGTCCATGTCAAAGAGAAGAGCTCAGGAACGTATACATACTCTACGAGTACAGCTCGCGTGGTAGAGGTGTACTCTACTACAGTACTGTTATCGATCAATGCACATCGGCCACATTACGTGTGATGGCCCGCGGAAGCCTTCTTCCGTCGTCCGACGTCCGCCCGTGGCCGCCATGGATGCGACTATTCTTCGTGTCACCACCAGTACATACTTTATGCTCTCTCTCTGCGTATCCTCTTCCGTTCACTGTACGACGACCACCAGATCTCATCTCCCTCAAAGTCATTAGACCATGAGGAACGAAGGTGATGATGAGGTGGGTATGAATCATCAGCCAAGGTTGCACCACATGGCACACATGCATCGCTTGCCTGAAGCCTGCAGCATCGTGCGGCTTGTGGTGCTCTACCTAACGCTAATTGGCGGGGCCGTCTTGCGAAACGGATGTGTCGGGAAGGTTGATCGGCGGAAGAAAAGTTTATTAAATTGAACAAGCTGTGATCCCTGCCCGTCTTGCAACTCTCAAAAAACGGCACAATCATGCTATGTATCTGATCCAAGAATCAGCAATCACAGTATTGCTTTGGGATACACAGTGCATGATTGTTCTTGCATGTGCAGTACAAAGCTACCAAACATCGCCACGCCATCACTCAACTTCGATCAGCATCCGGGTCTAGTCGTCGCGGGTAGCGAAGTCGCGCTCGTCTATCACCAAAATAGTACTCTGCAGCCCAGTCTTCGCCCTGATCCCGTAATTGTAAGCAGCCGGTACACGCAGTACCGTTTGCTTGTACTTCCCAATCGAGAGGGCGATATCCTGCCTCCCGTGGGTGAAAGACTGAAAGATTTGAGATGCCCAAAGTCGAGATAAAAGATCGCGATGGTAAAAATTCCAGTCAATTGTGAACACTCTCAGATCAGTTTGGAAGAGAGATGACCACCACTCGACGTGTCGAGAGCTCGTATCGGGAGGCCGCGGGTGTGACTGTCGTCGCTAGAATATCAGGACTACTCGTATGCGTGATCGTACCAGCTCTCAGCGGACGAAAGGTCAACTTTGCTGTTCATATTGTAGATGCATTGTGACAATTCTGTTTGACGGGTGCACCCTGTGGAGCGCAGATGTACGACCAAAGGGCCGACAGCGGTAGACTCGCAAGTGTATCGCGGGATGCCTCATCGCGAAGTGCTTTGCGCATGACAGGCGAGAAGGTGTTACTCACTGAGATCCAATCAGCCCTCGAAGCCCAATCCTCTTTTCAGACATACGCTCAACCCGCATCCAGCCCAGTCTCAGTCCTTCTTGAAGATCCCCAGCTCCCCAGCCGCATCGCCTCGCCCAGCAACGACCACTCCCTCTGTATTTCTCCATACCCATATCTCATCTTCCCCCCTCTCAAAGTGAAAGGCAAACGTCTTTCTAGCACCCTCGTCGGAAGAGAGAGAGTTCAAGAGCCGGCGCGACATGCCCAGAGGTGTGAGCGTGAAACTCGTCTCGGGCGGAGGATAGACCGACTCCCCAGCTTCCGTCTCTTCGTCCGATGAGAGCCAGGTGCCTTCGGGCCATGATATGGTAGACAAGTATTCGGTCTTGCCGCATATCAAACCGCCAGCTTTGTCGCGGAGGATGGAGAGTTGGTCGGGTTCGACTTTGAAATGAGGGGCGAAGGTGCGGGTTGCGGAGAAGTTGGTGGTGAGCGAGCGGAGGAGGCGGGGGGAGATGATTAAGGGGGCGAGGGTGTAGGCGGCGGAGGGAGGGGGCGGGGAGGACATGGTGGGTGGAGTTGTAGACATGACAGTTGTAGTAAGACGACGGAGTTGTACAGGAGTTGTAATCGAACAAGTAGCAAATAGTGACATCACGAGTTTACAAGGCCATCTGGAGATATCAGCCGAGAATTTGATGCACATACACTGTCAAAGGAGACCGCGATCATAGAACAGACATGTGCATAAACTAGACCACACATGAAAAGAATGTCAAACACGGATTTGAACCCCTCATCACCTTTTACAGTCAAGCGGTCCACCCAAATCCCTTTTGATTTCGCTCTCTTCTACGATATGACGGCCTCGTTCTCCACTAGTAGGGATACGGCCCTCGGAAGGGGATCCACAGGAGGAGAGGAGGTGCTTTTTTTGTAGATTTGTTTTTGCGTTTGTTGAAGAAGAAGAGAGGAATGGGATGGCGCGCGAAATTTGGGGACGCATGGCGATGGAAGGTGGGGGAAGAAATAAAGTGCCACTTGAGATATCGGCGTTTCGCTCCAACGAAATTTCCGCGGCGAGCATCAATTGGAGGTTTTCGTAGGAAGCTGCTCTTTATCCATCAAGCAGTGGTTCAGTGAGTGGCTGCGAATAGCGGGGGGATAGAGGGCTCACATCAGCACAGTCAAAATGGTCAAGCACAACAACCAACTCCAAAAGAACCACTTCCACAAGGACTGGCAGAGGCGTGTCAAGACCTGGGTTAGTCGATATTTCAGATTCAAGATGGAGCGCACGGATAGCTGGATACTGGGAATCAGAGAGAGTGAGAGGGACGGCGAGTGCATGTGGATGGGACTGAATGGATTGGGGGAATACTGGGATGGCAAGACCACCGCTGACACGGGATATACAGTTCGACCAGCCCGGCAAGAAGAAGTCTAGACGTGTCGCAAGGAGCAAGAAGGCCCTTGCTTCCGGTGCCGCTCCTCTCCAGCGTCTCCGACCCGCCGTCCGATGCCCCACCCAGAGGTACAACATCCGTATCAGGGGTACGTCGACATTTTGATATCTTCAAGAATTTCGCTGATTGTTTGTGCAGAGGGCCGAGGCTTCACCGTCTCTGAGCTCAAGCTCGCCGGTATCAGGAGGAAGGAGGCTCTTTCCCTCGGTATCTCTGTCGACCCCCGACGAAGGTCCAAGTCCGAGGAGGGCCAGGCTCTCAACGTCCAGAGGCTTCAGGAGTACAAGAACAGGCTCGTTGTCTTCCCCAAGAAGGCCGGCAAGCCCAAGTCTGGTGACGCCACTGTAAGCTTGCTCTTCTTTTCGTCCGCGACTTGTCTGATAAGATCGCAGGGTGACGACCTTACCGCCCACATCACCCGTGAGGCTCTCCCCCTCCCCGCTTCTTACACCCCCGAGGCTCCCCGAGCCATCACCGGTGAGGAGAAGGAGGGATCCGCTTTCACCACTCTCCGACTCGCCCGAGCTGCCCAGAGGAACGAGGGTGCTAGGTTGAAGAGGGTTGCCGAGAAGGAGGCTGCCGAGAAGGCCAAGTAAACGGTTCTTCTTTGTAGTAGTTGGAGTAGGAGTAGGGCTTGTACTTTCTCCTGGGGATGCACATATGACCACGCATTGATTCTGGTTTCCTCTGCATTCGTTTGGTGCATGCTACGATAAGATTGCGGAAGTGCCGAAGCTGTATCGACTTGTTGCAAAATTGACCTCTAATCGAGTAATGATTGGCGCACGGAAGCAAATAAACGGTGGGGAGCCCCGTCAGGGATGGGACGAGCGAGTCCACCTGCTGCCAACTTATCCCCATACATTTCGCCCCATTCGCATCTCATTCCTCATTCACATCTCTCCCTTCCTTCTCTCCTCTCTATACCCATATACCCATCCCACAATGGCCCCTATGGAGAAAGGCTTCAGCTGGTCCAACATTGCTGTCGGTGAGTACGCTCTTCGGCTCTCCCGACGTGTCGCTTCCTCGCAGCGCCGTGCAATGATAAGGCGGTCTGGGGGGAGGTCTCTCGAAAGGCTCCTTGAGCACCATGAGACCTGCGTGTCGTCGCTCGTCCTCTCACAGCGCGCGGTGCACTAGCCTCCACTAGTACTACCCCAACCCACCTTAGCATCCTTTCCCCACCACCTTATATCACCATGATACGCGTTCGCTAACGTTACCACTATCTAGGTGCCACCATGAACTTGTTCGAGGTCACTTCGCTCGGCCAGCCTTTGGAGGTCCTCAAGACCCAGATGGCTGCTAACCGAAAGCAGACCATGGCCGAGGCCTTCAAGACTGTCTACAGCCGTGGAGGTTGGACTGGTTTCTACCAGGGCTTGATTCCATGGGTGCGTACATACATCTCCCCCACCTCCTCATGTGGTGATAGGTAGTGTCCTGTCGCGTGGAGGACGCGCCCATCTTGCATCAGAAGCTGACTTTCACCGGTTAATCTGTTCCGACTTTCTCCAATTCCGGATCTCCAACCTCCCGAAATCTACCCTCTTCCTTGATCAACCCCCCCTGATTTGCGGATCTAGGCCTGGATCGAAGCTTCCACCAAGGGCGCCGTCCTTATCTTTACCAGCGCCGAGATTGAAAAATACTCGACCAAGGCCTTTGGCCTCAACCCTGCGGCTGCCGGTATGCTGGGTGGTGTCGGAGGTGGTATCGCTCAGGCTTATGCCACCATGGGTATGTCTTTCTCTTGCCTTCAATATACCATGCTCATATCATGCAGGCTTCTGTACATGTATGAAGACTGTCGAGATCACCCGACACAAGCAAGCCTCCGCCGGTGCCCCCGTCGAATCCACCTTCAAAGTCTTCCTCGACATTTACAAGCGAGAAGGTCTCGCGGGTATCAACAAGGGTGTCAACGCTGTTGCTGTGAGGCAGGCTACCAACTGGGGATCCAGATTTGGTTTCGCGAGGCTGGCCGAGGATGGGTTGAGAAAGGTGCGGGGTATCAAGGATGGCGAAAAGCTTGGTGCGATGGACAAGATTGTGGCGAGTACGCTTGGTGGTGCTTTGGCAACTTGGAACCAGCCTATTGAGGTTGTCCGAGTCGAGGTGAGTTGCGCGTCTTGTAGTTAAGGCGGACACTGACTTGATTGTAGATGCAATCCGCCATCAAGTCTCAAGATCCTTCCCGCCCGGCCAAAAAGACTGTCCTCAACACCTTGTCGTACATCTACAAGACCAACGGTATTACCGGTCTTTACCGTGGTGTCGCTCCTCGAATTGGTCTCGGTACGTACCATCATTTCCTGAACAGGGATCACAGCTGATAATATTATAGGTGCTTGGCAGACTATCTGCATGGTCAGCTTTGCCGACTATGTAAAGGCTTTGTGAGTTGCTGTAGGCTCTCTGATGATATCCTTACTGACTGAGGAATAGCATCAACCCCGCCGCCGCCACCCCTGCCTCCCCTGCCAAATAAGCGACGATAAACCCCTTCCCTTGACCGCACACCGTATACCCCCCTGCCTGTACAAGATTTATGACCCCTTTCTCCCGAGGGAACAAAAGTACCAGATGAGTATAGGAAGAAGCAAGTAGTTATCGTCACGAAAAGTTGTCTATCAAAGCGACGAATTGGAGAGTTTCCTTTCAATAGATGGAGAGGAGTTTTTAGACGTTTTCTCATTTTGGGTAAAACATGCCTAGATGCATTGTTAGATATGGACACTCCTTGACATGGCTTGAGTTCAGCAGTGCGTTCGCGGGGTACATTATCATCCTGTGGGGACGGCGAATGATCCCAGTTCTGGATTGAAGAGAGCCGTGGCGATCACTCAACGTCACTGACATATATGCTACCGCTGCTCCCCGCCGGTGTTGCGCCACAGCAAGAGTGATAGCCCCCTGACTGTGAAAAGGGGATATGGCTGATTGATCTTCACTACGTAATGTCGAGTCACGCACATTCCCGCGCGTTTTGCGGATGAGAAGAAAGACACACGAGTCATCGCGCTGGGCAAAGCTCTGGAATTATCGGACTTGTATCGTCGCCCCCAGTTCGTGGGTTACAATGAAAGCGAGGATGATAAGCATGGGTCATAGGGAACAGGACAGACAGAGCAATTAAGGAATGAAATCATATTCCGTCCACTATCACAAAATGTGACCAGAAGATGAAGAGGATGATGATCACGCAGATCTTTTATGGATCACACATAGGGTAACACTACGGGACCAACGACGTCCTCACGAGTGTCCTTGTAGCAGCTCACTAATCTGTCCGTTCATCAATCTCGCAGACACATCTTCCAAGATATGATGAGAGGCTGGGTTTGAATTGATGGCGGGCGAGTGCGACGGGAGCAGAAGTGAACCTCTTGTCGCTACTTCGCCACCGTTGGTCAATTCATCACCTTGGCTGATGTTGAAGGCAATCAGGTGATGTACTCTTGAGTCCAACTTGATCATAGGTGGCATCATGCATCCCAAAACACGATTCGATGTTTCTCGTCCCTCCAAAGTTGAGTGATTTTCTCACGGCGCTAAGACGAAACAGGTGCAGCTTTCTTTTTGCCAAGGATTTGTTACGGTCTGATGATACTCCATAAATCGGACCCCAGACGCACCACACAGCACATCATCCCGCAATCCACAGCTGGCCACCACAGTCGAGACTGTGCTTTTATTCGAACTCAACGCGTCGTCCTTCCCTGCCAAGTCTTTTCCCCCGCGTTCTATTTCGGCTTTCTACGGTTTCGTCAAAAAAGACACCGATATCGGTCAACGGATTCGAAATACATCTATCTCACGCATGTGGCACCGTCCTTCCAGGCATTCGCGAAGAGCGTGAGGGATGGAGGCATGGATCGCCTTCCGGAAGAGCAGCACGAGAGGTCATGCTGATACAGGTTTGTGTGAAAGTGTCTCGAGTATGAGAGTACGGCTTGCTTGGCAGGAGTGGCGCAGCTACAGTGTCTCATACGGCGATGACTTTGAGGGCGATAGAACCTGTTACCCGTGGCTTTTGTGATTGTCACGCCTCTCCTTTTCTTTTCTTCTTCCAGCGCTATACATCTTGACCCTAATCGCCTACATGTAGATATGCATCTCCTGTGCTGACGTGAAGTAGACTGAGAGATCTGACGCTGTTGGCGTGGGTGGCCGGTAGCACTACAGATTAATCAACCATTATCATTTGCAGTCCTTTCCGCATATGAGGGCGTTGTCAACAGGCGGGACGCGCGATAAGAAACCAGAAGGGTTATCTTGGGCAGTCCGGTGACCTCGAAACGAACAAAAGCTTGGCAAAGAATACGGTCGGCTTTCAAGAAGTATGGGCCAGAGGTCAGGTGAATTTCCCGATGTGAGCATCGACACGTATGGGCTGGACGTCGCTCGTGTGCAGGGAGTAAGATTGCTGGAATCAAAGACAGGAAGCAGGAAGCAGGAAACAAGAGAACAAACAGCACGAGAAAAGCAACGTACGGCGAAGGCACAGTGTTTGGTTCGGGATGCCCCACATGGGGAGGAGGCCGGACAATTCGGGGGCCTCTGGAGTGTTTCCTCTTCGAGAGTTGAGTCCAGGGTTTTCAGGGATATACATCGGTGTGCGAAACATGGGTGACAGCATGCATGGTCAGTTGACCCAGTGAAAGATGCCGCATTTGCTATTTTCCGCCCCTAAGCCAGGCACAAACCAGGGTGCTCCCGAAAATAGTCGGCCCGAGCCGCCGGAACGGCTTTCAACACTCTCCCTTTCCTCTCGCCTTTCGCCTCGTTGTCCTCCCGCAGCCACTCACAATGCCGCTGTTTTGAATGCCGGAATCGGACTCGGCCACTGCTCTCTCTGCGCCGGGAACAGCGCAGCCCAGCTATCCGATATCGATTTCTGCACTAGCTCCCATTGGCCTTCATTCATCCCAATCTCTCGGGATCTCTCGTCGACGCAATGCCGCTACGGAGCCCTGTGGGGGTGTGGGGATGAGTGGAAAGACACTGAATGCCTTCGGAATTGATTGGCTCACGGCAGAGTGGGTGTGGGGTCAGGGGCGGCGCACTCTGTCGCAAAAGGTCCACCTCCCCGGATTCGACATCACAAGGGTGAACGGATGATCAGTGTTCGAAAAAGAAACCTTGAATCGTGACCGATGGACTCATCATCATGCCGGCTTGTCGTACCGGGTTCGAAAAAAAGGGAAAGAGAAATCATATATAGAGAGCGCATGAGATGAATATGGGGTTGTTCACCTCTTTTGCGTTACCCGCTTTCGACCATCACGGAATTCGTCCCAGTATAGCACACTGGCGTGCTAAAATCAACCAGCCCTACTCTTATTATACTCGACGCTTCCCCTCAGCCCCTCAATATCCCCACAACTCGCCAGTGATCCATCATGGTTCGCCACGCCTCCTTCCAGCCCGACCCCGTTCAGGCCGGGAACGAGAAATCCTTCAGTGCTCACCTCGACCAAAAGCCCGAGGATGAGCAAATTGAATCTCCCTTGCATGCAGTTGGCACGCGCACCACGGAGGCTACCGATACTGAAAAGGGCAGTACCAGGTATGCCGAAAGCGCGACCGGCTTGACCCACAAGCAGGAGTCGAAGAAGGCGATCAGAAAGTTGCTTCTCAAGCTGGGTGAGTAGATATCTTTTCTCTCGTGCTCAGTAGCTGACGACTGGTGTAGACTTGGGTATCCTTCCCTTTGCGGTTCTGTTGTACTTGTCTGCGTACCTCGACAGAGGTAACTTGTGAGTGATCAAACACCGTGTCTCTATTGATACTAAATTGTGCACAGGGCCAACGCAAAGCTGCAGGGTTTGGAAGCCGATCTCTTGGACAGCAAGGACACCAACTATTCCATCGCCCTCTGCTGTTTCTTCATCACCGTACGTCGCGCGCATATCGATGTGGATTATGCTAACGTTACATCAGTACATCTTGTTCTCCGTAAGCTTCGCCACATCTTCCTGCCGGCGCCCCCACTGACATTCTTCTAGGTTCCCGGTACACTCCTGGCCAAGCAATTCCTTCCTTCCCGGACCATTGCCTGTGGTGCCATGATCTGGTCCGTCGCCGCCACCTGTCAAGCCGCCGCTCAGAACAAGGCTGGTCTTTACGTCTGCCGTCTCTTTGTTGGTGTCGGCGAAGCCATGTTTGGTCAAGCTATGGCCCTTCACCTCTCCTTCTGGTACACCAAGTCCGACCTCGCCAAGCGAGTTGGTCTCTTCATCAGTGCTGGTGCCGTCTCGGGTGCTTTTGGTGGTCTCATCTCTTACGGTGTATCCAGCATTACTAACTCTCCCATCGAGCTCTGGCGTATCCTTTTCCTGATCGAAGGTTGTCCCTCTGTGCTTTTGGCCATCTGTGTCTTCCTCTTCATGCCCAGTAAGCCTGAAAAGTCCAGATACCTCAACGAGGACGAGAGGACCATCTGCTTGACAAGGTTGAACGAGGAGCACAACGTGGAGTCTGAGCAGGGTATCAACTGGGGCGGTGTGAAGCGATGCTTGACCGACTGGAAGACTTACGCCATCAGTGTCTCGTAAGCCTCTTCCCTCACCCATCTTACCCATCGTGCTGACAATATACAGCTACTCTTGCATGAACCTCGGTCTCGGCTCCGTCAGCGGTTTCCTGCCCACCATCGTCAAGGGCTTCGGCTACACCGACGCCAAGGCCCAGCTCATGACCGTGCCCCCCTACGCCGTCGCCCTCGTTTTTATGCTCTTCCTTACCTCCTTCTCCGACTGGAAGCAGTCCCGAGGTCTCCCTGCTGCTAGTGTGTTCTGCATTGGTATCGTTGGGTGGGCCATTCTGCTGTCCTTGGACGCGGACAGCAACTATTCGGCGAGGTATTTTGCGGTGATCTGTGTCGTGACTGCTGGGTATACCAATATCCCCATCATCATGTCGTGGCAGAGTGGCTGTACCGGTAACCAGAGTCAGAGGGCTGCTTCGCTTGGTATGCTCAACACCCTCGGACAATGTCTCTCTTTGGCTGCTGCTTTCTTGTAAGTCAACCCTCTCAAAGCCACGCGGACACCGTCTGACAATGACATAATAGGTTCCCCAAGGCTGAAGGGCCTCAGTACACCAAGGGCGCCACCGTCAACATTGCTATGCAGAGTCTCGGTGAGTGTCCATCCCCTCGTCACTGTAGTACAATCTGACACACTCGAAGGTCTCGTCATCGTCCTATGCATGACGACCTACTACCGATGGGAGAATGCCCGCAGAGACAAGGTTGAGGGCGGCAGGCCTGCTAAGGGTACCCCCGTCAATGTCCGAGACGACTATGACCTTGCTGTTGGTGAGTTTTAACTGAATTTGAGTCTGGAAGAGAGTGACCTGACTTTGGATGATAGGTTTCCGATATGTGCCTTAGACGACGAGATACATCTGGGATATGGATTATGGGGTTTCTATCTTTTCTATCTTTTCCGATTGTATAGCTGGGTTAGACAAGAAGGTTCCACGAGTGTTGTTCAGGTCATAAAGAAGACAAGGTATACTATTTTGGAATCGTTGTGTATCTGAGCCGGACAGTGAGGCTAGCGTTATCATTACCTCCTTTGTATAGACATATTATGCAGTTATATCAGAAGTCTGGGTCACAATCTTCATACCTTGTCTCACTGCCTCTATTCAAGACCCGGCCGATTCGAACTTGAACCTTTACTGACTCATAAGTATCTGTCGATAAGATAGTGTCAACTTTGACGGGCACCGATCACCGCCGCTTTCGTGTCCGTGACAGAAGCTATCACTATTGTTACGATGCATTAATCATTATAACTCAAACTATATACAGATGACCAAAATTGACCACGCTACTCGAAAGAAGAGACAAACCCCATCCCAAACACCTTTGCTTTCGCATCCCGCAATTCACACTAGCTGACCCAAGACCAGACAAGGTCTTCGTTGTACGCTACACCATTGATCTCGGCTCCCAAAAGACCGATGTCGTAGTCATCGTCCGTGAGCGCTCCAAAGGCGCCTCGGGAAAGATCGAGCTGACGCTCCTTGCAACTGGGACAGCTGTCGGCAACGGTCGCAGTAATCGTAGTACCTTCCCCTGTAGAATTCTCGTCAGCAGAGCTCGCATGAGAGACGAGGAGTAAACTTACAAGTCAAGCTGACCTGGTGCCCGCAAATAGGGTTGTTATTGGGGTTCAAGCCAGTGTAATTAGGCCAGTTGTCAAACAAGGTCTGAGAGACGGCAACGACATAGTCGGTATCCGCGTGCACGGTGCCACAAGCGCCGGCTACTCCATACTGATAGAACCAGGTGCCCCACCCCGAGTAGGGACCGTCGCCGGAGGGATCGGCGGAGATGGAGGTGGTTGTGGAGGCGGCGGCGGAGGATGTAGTGGACGTAGCGACGGTAGATGTAGCGACTGAGGATGTAGCGCTGGATGAGGAGGTGGAAGAAGATTGGGCAGATGTAGAAGAGGACTTCACAGAACTGGAAGTAGAAGTGGGGGCGGCAGACGAAGACACCGAGCTACTGCCAGCGAGAGACGTCGAGGAAATAACAGCCGAGGAAGAGGCTGACCCAACGCTAGCACTGGAAGTGACTGTCGTCGACGACGCAGCAGTACTGGAGCTCACGGCATATTGCGCAGCCTTGGTTGTGCTCACAGCAGCGGTCGAAGAGGAAGTTTTGGACTTGGTTGTCTTTGTCTTGGATGTGGTTTTTTTGGAGGTAGAGACGGATGGGGAGGCGGAAGAGCTACCGGAGCCCGATGATGAAGAGGAGTGTGGGGCGCTACTGGAGGCAGACGCAGACGGGTAGGAAGAGATCGTAGAGGTGCCAGAGCTCGAGATGAGGGTTGAGGATGACGCGGTGCTCGAAGCAACCCCAGACGCCGAGCCAGAGCGGGCAGAGCCTGTGGTGGAGACCGCAAGCGACTCTGCGCTCACATTCTGCGAGGCTGACGCCGTCACGGATGCACTGAGGGAAGTGTCCGTGGCAGAAGAGGTGATGGCGCTGGAAGAGTAGTCTGAAGTCGTCGCACTCGAGCTCTCGATGGTCGAGTTGACGTAAACCAGTACGCCGGACGCAGAGCCGGTCGCGAAAGTGTCGGATGCCGTCAGAGTGCCACTGCTGCCCATGGCACTCGATGTAAAGGCAGACGAAGTCGGCGTAGACCCCGGGGTGACAGTAGTGACGAAAGTCACCAGCTCAGTGTAGGTAGCCACCGAACAAGTGCTGGCGGCTCGCTTTACCACCTTTGTCACCACGCCTCGCTTCACAGGGTCCACCTTGGAGCCGTCACGCTTTTGAAAGTACTCGGGGTTGTTCTGCTGAGCTTCCGCGCGAGAGCCGAGCTCACGCTTGACGACTGGGATGTGGGTAGACCCAGAGTGAGGCTTGTGGTGGAAGAGAGGGTTGTAGGAGGCTGGCTCGGCGGCGGGAGCAGGGGCGGCAAGGAGAAGAGGGAGGATAGAGAGAAGGGCAAGGAGCTTCATCGTGAAGATTGTTGTGGTCGCGCCGGGCGATATGTGTCGTCGATAGTGACAATGAGTGGCTGGCCTGCAGCTGGGAGGTCCTTGAGAAGGAAGGTGAGGTTGTAGGGAATGTGGACGCTACCGGAGCGTTTAATGATTATAGGTGGTGAGTGAAGCAACAAAGACGGCTGAGAAGAAGAAGCTGAAAAGAAATTTGTTGACAATGCTGGGACATGGAAAGCCACACGCGACCAATTGGCGCGCGAGACATGAGAAGAACATTACCTGGCATATAGCCTTTCCGAGTGGAGTGTCCATAGAGACATTTCAACTTTCAAGCCCGGCGGCCCTGAAAACATTGATCTCGCAGTTACGTAACGTTATTACAGCTCACGTGACTTGAAATCTTCGTCCACTTGACTGAAATCTCCTGGATTTCCGCGCAGAAGACCAAACCACTGCATAGCCAGCTATAAACCAGGACAGGTATAGCACAGCTCTCCAAGACCTTTATATCAGGACTTAGCGTCAGTCGCAATTAAAATGTCGTCCAACGCGGGACCATCCAACGCCCTGCTCGAGTGAGTCTCCGCGACGACATTCGAGCAGCAGATGCTGACGATACTCGCAGTCAAGAATTCTCCTTCTCCGAGCCACCATTCTCTACTCTCATTGACTCAAGAATCCTTGTCGCTCTTGCCGACCAAAAGTTCGCCAGCCCGACTCTTGTTCAAGCCAAAGCTATCCCTCTCTTGCTCGAAGGCAAGGATGTGCTTGCCCGTGCTAGAACAGGTAGCGGAAAGACTGCTGCCTATGTCGTCCCTGCTATCCAAAAGATATTAGAAGCCAAGGCTGTGAGTAGTGTCGCTATAATTCAAGGCTACCGGCTCATGTTGTCAAAGGACCTGTCACCTGCTTCTGCCGAGTATCAAGCGACCCGAGCTGTCATCCTTGTCCCCACTAAGGAGTTGGCCCTCCAAGTCGCTACTTTCATCAGAAACGTGATTAAGTACTGTGAAGGTCTTGTCCAGTGTGTCAATGTCGCGACCGGTGGTGCCAGTGTTCAACGGTGAGCTACATAGAAATACCACGCCCACGCATTCTAACGTTCCGTAGAGTTCTTCTCAATGACAAGCCCGACGTTGTCATTTCCACTCCTACCAAGCTCCTCACGTTGCTCCAATCCGAGACCATCTCCCTCTCTCAGCTCTCTTTCCTCGCCATCGATGAAGCGGATCTCTTGCTGTCTTATGGTTTCAAGGATGATCTGACGAGGATCATGGACCCTACTGCTGGATGGATTCCCAAGCTCGGTGTGCAAGGATGCCTGATGAGTGCTACTTTGAGTGAAGATGTGGAAGGTGTCAAAGGTCTCGTCTTGCGTAACCCCGTAAGTCAATACATCTGTACGACGTCCCGAGCTGACCCGCGGTAGGCCATCCTTACTCTCACCGAGCCCGCCTCTGCCTCTTCCCTCCTCACCCAACACTACACTTCTACCACCGAACGTGACAAATTCCTTCTCATCTACGTCCTCCTCAAACTCAAGCTCATCCGGGGCAAATCCATCATTTTCGTCAACGACATAGAGCGCGGTTACAGAGTCAAGCTTTTCCTGGAACAATTCGGCGTCAAGTGCTGTGTTGTGAATAGCGAATTGCCTCTGGCCAGTCGATACCATGTGGTTGAGGAGTTCAACAGGGGTGTCTATGATGTAGTAGTGGCTACGGATGAGGGAGCTGGTGCGGACGCCGAGGAAGACGAGGATGTGAAGGAGGAGAGCGAGTCAGAAGAAGAAGAAGAAGGTGCCGATGAGGAAGAGGGAGACGATGAAGATGAAAAGGAAGAGGCCGCGCAGCCGGTTGCGGGGCCTTCCAAGAGAAAGGCCTCCTCCCCCGCCCCCAAACCCCAATCAAAGCGCTCAAAACGTGCTGCCGACCCCAGCTCCTCTCTCGCTCGAGGTATCGATTTCACCTCCGCCTCCTCTGTCATCAACTTTGACCTCCCCCTCACTTCCACCTCCTACATGCACCGAGTTGGGCGTACCGCCCGTGCGGGCCACTCTGGTCTTGCCCTTTCTTTCGTCGTGCCCAGAAAGGATTGGGGCAAGGATAGGGTCGTGTCGATCAAGTCGGCCGAGAAGGATGAGAAGGTGTTTGAAAAGATCAAGGAGCGGGTGAAGAAGGATGGTGGGGCTGATATCAAGGAATGGGACTGGGGAGGAAGGAAAGGCGAGATTGAGGGTTTCCGGTACCGAATGGAGGACGCTTTGAAGGCTGTTACTGGCAAGCGAGTGCAAGAGGCCAGGAGGGAAGAAGTCAGGCGAGAGCTTCTGAATAGCGAAAAGCTCAAATCCCATTTTGCTGCCAACCCTCTCGATCTGTCGTATCTGCGCCATGACGCCCCTCTTCATCCTGCGAGACAACAAAAACATCTCAAGCATGTGCCGGGCTACCTCATGCCCAAAATCGCGGCTTTGCCTACTGGCGGGGGAGATGTGGGTGACCATGCGGGTGTTGGATTTGCCAAGAGAGGAAGGGGAGGTTTCAGAGGTCGTGGCGGAAGGGGTGGGAAGAGTGCGCGAGGGGGCAAGAAGGTCGACCCGTTGAAGTTCAAGTAGAGAACGCAGCATATCAGATCACGATGTACCACATACTGTACTCGAGTACCGGTCTTTTGAATCGACAAATTGGACAGGTATACCAATGGCCAGTGTGAGATTGAGTGTGATGCTCCTGCCCCATGAGCGCCCTACTCATATAAAGCGAACCAAACATGCGAGGAGTAAAGCAGTTACGTAAATTGTTTCGCCCATTGTCTGCAACAATTGCAACAACATGACAGCAAGCTGAAAGGAGTAACATACCGTGGCGATCCTGGCCCTTATTATGTCGAGCCAATGCATGCAGGTAAGACTTCACTCTAACGCTAACAGCTGCAGCCGTGAAATGTACGCTCCACCCGGCGTAGACTCGGATAGCAGCGGGGAAGAAATGACGCCACCTCCAACGCCTCCTCCTCCCAAAGCTCCTCGCCCTCACTTCAAATTCAGCTCCCTCTTCACTCCTACCAGAAAGCTGGATCTCCCTCCATCTCCTGCCTCAACGGCATCGCACGGTAAAACGACAGAGAAACGGGAGGAGCCGGCGAAAGAGGATGCGAAGAAGGAAGAAATCAAGCCTACCAAGAAGAGCGTCAGGATCTTTGCTGGAGAGCTGCTGGGGCAGAAAGGGAGCAGGGCGGAAGGTTTAACGACCACGAGGGGAGATAGGGTTGAACCCGAGCCGCCGTCACCGCCTGTAGAAGATGCGTCTTTTGGAGCGCCACATCCGGAGATGATTGACGTGCAACAGGACCATGCTGATACCTCCCCGGCCACAGGTGTCGCAAATGAGGTGTTGGTTTTGCTTCGTCAGCTGGTAGCGGATACCCACACTAAAGGTAAAGACAGAGACTCCCATGGCGCTGGCGACGCTGTGGGAAGGTCATCACCTCAACTGAAAGTCGACAAGGCAGAGCCACCCGCCACTCCTTCAGCGCCCTTCTCGGCACCTCCAATCCCCACATTCCAGGCCTTTCCTCCGCATATCTGCTATGGACCTGGACCTTGGATGGGGTATGCTCATCCTGGGTGGGATGGGCTACAGGGTGCTTACCCTGGGTTCGTGGGAGGACAGCCCGTAAGTGCACCTTTGGGGACGGCATCCCAAGTCGGAGCGGATGTCTCCTCACCGACGCCTCCAATATCATCCTGCCCGAACGCCGCCGAAAGAGGTGTCCCAAAAGAAGGGAAAGAAAAGAAGATCGCGGGTGGTGATGAGGGCGAGTCGAGTAAGAAGATTCAAGGACAGTCGGCAAAGGATGAGCTTGGCGAAAGGAAGACTGAACTTGTTCGTGCTCCGTCCTGATGAGAAATCCGTATGACATAAAGCTGACACATCTCTTTAATCATAGTCTCCGACGCAGAGCTCACAGCTCGTAAAGACATCAACCCGGCACCCTACCACTTCCGACACACCAAAGTCCTCCACCGACTACTCAGCCTTGAAGAAATCCCTTGATCGATACAAGACCATGTATCGAACTGCTGTCAAACGTTATGAGGCGGGAGGGGAATCCGAAGATATCATGAAGGATCTGAAGGCAGAAGTCAAGATGCTCGAAGTGAAGATCAAAGAGCTCAAGGCGAAGATGGAAAAGTTTGAGCGGGCTACAGTAAGCTGAGCGTGATCAAGCCCAAGGCCAGAAACTGATGTCGGATATAGACATCTGAAACCCCCTTGACCTGCCAGGCCACAGGAGCCATTGACGGGACTACCGATAGCCCTGCATCCGACGCCGCTAAGTCATCCAAGGAGGCCACCCCTCCCGATCGTCCATCGAATCTCGAAGCCGACGTCGCGCGGTACAAAAGCGAGTACGCGAAACTTTTCAAAAAGTATCAAGAGGGCGAGGGTGGTGACGACATGAAAAGCCAACTTAAAGACCAGCTGAAGAAGCTGGAGAGTAAAATCAAAAAAGCCACCGACGCCCTGGGACAGTCGAAGAAGTCTCGGGATGCCAAGACCACCTCTGAAACCGGTAGCAACGTGCAAGAATCCACATGGGATGAGCCTTCGGGATCTACTAACGCCGCCCGGGACATCTCAGGCGGGTTACCACCCGAAGAAATTAAGAAACGGCAGGAGAGCTCGCCCGATATACCTCCCGCCTCCAAACTCGAAGATGACATCAAACAATGCAAACACGAATACAGCAAAACCATGAAAGCGTATCAAAAGGATGGGATTGAGAGCGAGGAAAAGGAAGTTCTGAAAGTCCGGCTGAGGAAGCTAGAGGAGAAAATCGGAAAGTTGTCGGGTACGGGTGAAGCGAAAAGTCCTCAAGACAGGCCCATGCCTGCTAAGTCTTCTCAAGACACGTCTGGGGATCACAAAGTTACAAGCCAAGATAAGGCCAAAGATAACACTGTGAGATTTGATTGCTTGGACATTGTAGCGCTAGCAGCTAACACGCCTGGTAGACATCTTCTAGCTCAACTAGAGAGCCCGCGACCGATGATTCTGTTCCTGCAAAGCCTCTCAAGACCGACAAACCTCCCCCCGACCCTCGTCCCTCGGGAGTTTCGCGGTCAAAGCTTGTTTCCGATGTGAGCCGGTACAAGAACGAATACGAAAAAGCGCTCGACATGTACAAAAAGGGCAATATCAGCGACAAAGATGAGGAGAAGCGCGTGAAAGAGCAGGTCAGAAATCTGGAAAGCAAATTTAAAAAGGCTTCGGCTCTGTTGGAACAGGCAAACAAAGAACTAGAGGCGACTAGTGATGTGATCGACCAGGAATCCAAAGAGAATTTGGAATCTTCTCAGATGCCTGCTCCCAAGGTCTCTTCTCGTGCTACTATGACCCAATCGCCGCTGAGAGAGCCTCTCCCTGCAGACTCCGTATCCTCGACTACTGCTTCATCCGGGCCCCTGTCCTCCATGCAGATTCAGTCTGATATCAAACGGTACAAGACCGAGTATGGCAAAGCCCTGGAATCATATCAGAAGACAGACACCGTCGAAAATGAGAAGAAACGTTTGAAGCACGAGTTGAAGAGGCTGGAAGGCAAAATCAATGAGGCGTCAAAACTTTTGGGGCAAGCGAATGATAGGGACGACAGGGAAGTAACACTCAAAGAAGGAGCAGCCGGGGCGAAAACGAACCAAATTCCGAACCCTCCAAGGGAACCAGCCGCTGATTCTACCGCCCTTTCCTCCAGAGCGGCAAGCAAGCAGCCTGACCGTTCTGACCCCTCAGCATCAACTAACGACATATCTGCCGAGCAGCTGAAGGAAAAGGCAGCCAGATACGAAACCCAATATCGCCATATCGTCAAAGCGTATAAACAGGACTCGCTCCCGGAAGGTGAGAAAAGTCGGCTCGAGGGCGAGATGAACAAATTCGAATTGAAGCTGAAGGACATCAATGGGAGACTCGAAGCTGGTCTAGCTACGAAGATGCCCAAAGACCTTAAGCAGAGTGTCCAAGAGAAGGCCAGGGAGAAGGACGATGGGAAGGCTGAGGAGAAGACCGACGAGTATGCTAAAGTCGAACTGGAGAAGAAGACGGACAAGAGGGCAGACGAGAGGGCTGAAGAGACTGTCCATTGTAAGAGTAATCCCGAATACTGTTCATGTTTCTGATAACTTTCAGCTGTAGTCACATCAAACCGAGATACACCTGCGGTCTCCGGCCTTGATACAGGCAAGTCCCATGCATCAGAATCCGATATACCTCCGAATGCTACCGCGCAAGGTGCTACGAAGTCGCCATCATCATCCCCAAACCTGCAAGAATATGTCAAAAAGTACAAGACGGTGTATGCCCTTGCTGTCAAAGCTTACAAACAAGACGGCTTGTCGGACGAGGAGAGGCGTAAGAGGAAAGAGCAGGTCAGGAGGGCGGACGAGAAGTTGAAAGAGGCTACTCGGGCGCTCGAGAAGAGTGCCTCGGATGGAGAGACCAGACAGCGTCCTCCAGAGAAGACAAAGCAGCCTGCGGGAGGGGGCGCATCGACTTCTGAACCCAGCAAAGCACCTTCCAAGTCATCTTCACCAGTGCCGCCCACTGCATCTGATGCCGAGCGTTACGTGGTTCAATACAAGGCCACTTACCAAGAGGCTATGAGAGAGTACAAGGCTTCTGGGCTCTCTGATGATGAGAGGAAAGATCGGAAGGAGAAGGTGCGGCGCGCCGAGGCAAAGTTGAAGGAGGTCATGCAAGCCGTTGCAGAAGATCCCAAGAAGATTCAAGAAGGCGGCGTTGACGAGAAGGTGCCGCCACACTTGGGAAATGCCATTGAGGTCAAAGGGGAGGCTTTACACACGGATGTGAAGGTCAAAGCAGACCCGACAGATGTCAAATCTCAAGCTTGCGACCAAACGCCGGAGGCATCTGCAAAATGCGCCACTTCTTCTGTGAGCCCTAAAGCGCTGCCCTCCAAACAGCCACCTACTTCCCCGCCTTTTACCCAAAACCCAGCCGAGATGGACAAGCGTCTCAAGCACTACAAAGGCAAATATGCTACCCTTGTCAACGCCATGAAGGATCAATCTCTCAGTACCGAAAAGAAAGAAGCAATGTCGAGAGAAGCGGAGGGGCTGAAAGCGAGGGTGAAGGCTATGGAAGTGGAAGAGAGAAAGGGAGAGCACCCGAGAGAGGTCAAGGCTGATCGAACTGGCGCCAAGGCTGACAACTCTGAGTCTGAAGGCAAGTCTGAAGGCAAGACTGATCGCAGTGACTCAGGCGCATTGCCGGTTTCTGCCAAACCAGTACGCGCCGACAAGACGACCATTCTTGCGCATCACGAAGCAGAGTATGCTCGTCTCACAAAGTCGATCAAAGACGACTTGACGGCACATGACAGGGCAGAAAAGATCAAAGAGGCTGACAAGCTGAAATCGAAGATCAAATCACTCATGGCCGACCTCCCAGACTTGACAGGGGACAAAAAACAGGAAACCTTGGCAAGCAAGGAAAAGGCTTTTTGCAAAGCCGGGACCGGCCCGCCTGCTCCAGAGCTGACCCGGGCTCTCGCGCAAGTAGTATCCGATGAGGGACGAGACAAACAGAAGGGACCTCAAAAGGGAACATGGGCACCCCTGAATATAACAAAGAGTCAATCGCCGGCGGACAAGCAGCTGGCCAAGTCTGTCTCGCAAGTCTCTCCCAAACAGCCTCGGCCTCGAGAGATCTTGCCTACATCCCAATCAACCTGGTCCGGCACTCTTGTATCTCTCGCCAAATGCATAGGTATCCATTCTTCCTTGCTCGCGTATACTGATTGAGAGACTAACCGGGATGATAGACCTTGCCAACACCATTCTCAACACCCTCCTCGAAACAACTCCAGAAGGCTCTAGCATCCTCAGCACCCTCGTTTCGAGAATCATGACCAGCCTTCTCATGCAGCAGGACATTATCCAGTCTATGCGCAAGATCTTGGGAGATGAGAACGCAAGGGCATCTGAGGAGTTTGTGCGCCACTTTAGTGAGGTCAAGAACTTTCTCGAAGGGCTCTATATGGGGCATGGGACTGGAAGAACGAAAGAGGTGAGGGAAGAGAGTGAGCAGATGATTGAGAAAGGTCAACAGAGCAAGTCGCCTCCAAGCAACATGGATAGCGCTGACAAACGTTGCAGATCTGGAGATCGTGTCGATCCAGAGCATCATTGAGTATCTACTGGGATTGACAGACTACCTGACGCCGGGGATGATTGCTGTGGCCAGACGTACATTTGACGCATGGCGAACGGATGGCTTTACTCTGCAAAGGTACGTCCCCCTCATCAGTTGAGGGTTGCTCAAACGGCTGACGGTCTCATAGTTTTGTTCAAGCCATCATGGGGGTTAGGAAGGAGGTGCGAGCCATACATGATTTGAAAGCCCGCGGAAGAGAAGAAGATGGCGCACAAAAGGCGAAAGGGCTGATAAGTGTCCTGGACATGGTAAGCCAAAAGCCATCACTTGCTCTACTGTAAGCCCGACTAACTGCCGATAGCTCTTGGCGTTCATCTCCCCCGAGACTTATCAACAAGATGAAAGGGAGCGAGAAGAACCCATCGCAGTCTCGCAAACAAGGGAGGTCCATCGGTCTTCAAAACGCCTAACGTATATCAAGGGTGTGTCACCAGACACAGACTCCTCGAAAGCACTTGGTTCGAGCGAAACCGAGCACCACCATACTGTCTCTGATATTTTGCACCTCCCTTTCCGCCACCGAGATTCCTCTACCTCATCTACTGCACCCTCTGCCACGCGAAGTGGGCCGAAGCAAATCGTGATGACGGCCGAAGAGCACGTTCACCACAATTCCAAGGCGGATATATCCCACTCGCCCCTGAAACTTCCTCAGAAGACTCAGAACTTTTTGAACGGAAGTGGTGAGCCACCTCAGATTCTAGGACAAGACACAAAGTCGCCGCAGAATCTAACGTTCAGTGATGATGAACGGCATAGAAGGCTGCATAGGGAAGGGTCGACCGATACTGACATCTCACCTTCGCGAGTGATCACTTTCAACTCTTCATCTCTCAATTCTCCGAGATCTCCGGTTCCGAACGCACCTGGAGACGACATATGGTCCGCTCCCTCCAGATACTCCCAATCATCTGCAAGTAGTTCATTGACGGCCACTACTGACGGCACTGTCAAGTCTGACCGACATGCTGCTCGTCTCTTGGCGCAAGCTGACAGCGGGCCGTTACCTGTCAGACATGATGAGAGAGACGAGGTAGATGATATGCCGAACGAGGAACAGCTTGAGCCGAGTGCTGAGGAAGTGAAGAGGGCGGAGGATGTGTTGTACAACAAGGCGTTGTCACCTGGAGCTCCTGTCAGGCCAGCCAGGCGGGTGGCGGATAGGTTAAAGGAGGCCACCATGGGTGGCTAGACGATGCATACATACTGTACGAGTACAGGCTCGACCCAGTCACGCCCTCCGGCCATCTTGCATGGGCCAAGGTTGACGCTTCCGGTAATCCAGGAACAATGACGTCGGAGAAAGGTCTTCGCACCGCACCGGCGCACCGGCTCAACAAGAAGCTTAATCGTGCCCTGGTCCGGTCTTTGGTCTTCATCTAATCTACGGTACAATCTCTGGTTACGTTGCGTGGTTGTACCGCAGCCCCGTCCTGTGCTGGCGCAGATGCACAGATGGCAGCAAGCGCTTGTGATCTCGCACTCCGGGCGCTCGAGTTGAACAAGACGGGCGACAAGCGCCCAGCAGGTCCAGAAGGCGGAAGGACAAGGAGCAGTCACTTCAGGTCGTATCTCAGGTCCCGTTTTTGTTTGGTTACATACCACCGCGCTCAAACCGGCAGCAATGCCTTCTCTTTCCAGCGTTATCTATGATGCATAAGGGGCTTCTATCGCTCGATACAGCACAGCTCAGTTAAAGATAGAGTACCAGACATGATGGCCATTAGCTATCTGCAAAAGCCGACGGGTTCGGCCGCCGAAAGCACCCTCCAAAAATGTAGAGTTCGACGTCATGAGTTACATAACTCGGAGACAACTAATCTCTTTCATCCTCAATTTTTTTCCTCGGCTCTCCTTGCTCCATGCACTCCATGCCTATCATGCCTCCACTTCTGAGCCAAAGAAAGCCAAGGGTCATCATCCGCGGGTACGTTTTGCATTTGGAGCCGTAGCCCGTAAATATGTGATCGCCGGCCTTGCATCATGGAGGGCGCGATATACATAGACACCGACTCAGTAGCCGCTAGGGACTGGGGGCATGCTATGCACGTATGGAGCGGAAATCCTCTCTAGCATGTTGTAGGGGCATATGGCGGCCAAATGCAAGCAGCAGGATCTGGACTGTATGTATTCGTCGAACTCATGGAGCCGGAGTCGTACGCAGATGTCCTGGCGAAATCCGTCCACGATGGGAGGCATGGGAGGATGTCCGGGCTCGCTCTTTCCGGCCACCAGCACATGCGCAACTTTAATAGGTTATCACTGAGATGAGTCGTAATTTGGTGATTGCTTAGCCGTTCGAAGCCATATGACACATGAATTATGCTACCTGCACCAAAATCGCCCGGTCCCATGACGTCTTGATCTTTATTCCCAAGAGAAAATAGCACGAAACGGCTCTATCAGGCCAACCCTCTCCCCGTTGGTTGATCAGACCCTTGCTGATCATGTCGATGATCTCACCGGACTTGGTGAAGACGTCTGCTCTGGAAAACGTCATATCTCTGAATCTCTCGTGACCCACTATATAACTTGCAAGATGGATCATTTCTTCTCTTTTCCCCATCCTCTTCTCACAAAGAACTACATCGCTAATCGCACCACCACATTTATCAACTCAGTAACCAAGAACCAAAGACCATGTCTGCTGCTACCACCAACTCCACCGCCCCCACCACTACCGCCCCTACCAATGGGGCTACCACCGGTACCGGCTCTACTTCCATCACCCAGGGTGTCAAGGACTTCTTCAAGGGTTCTCACAAGGCCGACAGCACTGAGGTAAGTCTTCAGCATTGACATCTGATTTGCGTGGACTTGATTTGTGTGGCTGACAAGATACAAGGTTTGCACCGAGCACGCTCCCGAAATTGTCCAGGAGCACGTTCGTCCCCAAGAGCACACCCAGACCGCTGAGGCCATCGACCGTGAAAGGCATATCCACCACCACCAGGTAAGCCTTCGTCTTTCTCTTTCTAGACCAGCCCTAACGCATTTCATAGCACCGAATTCAGCCCATCGAGCACAAGGTCGCCCTTGACCCCAAGCATGTCCACGTCACCGGTGCCGCTGTTGTCCGTGAGCACAAGGAAGACATGCTCCCCGAGCACCAGGAGACTCTCCACGCCCAGAGGACTTTGCACACCAACCAGCAAACTACCGGTGACGTCGAGAAGTCTCATGCCCACATCGGTACTCACATCAACACTCACGAGCACCACCACATTCACGAGACTAGTAAGCTATTGTCCTTAGTTTGATTTCGAGCTTCGAGCTGACGGCTTTTGCAGTCCAGCCGGTGATCCAGAGGGAGACTATTCAGCCCACCGTCATCCACCACACCGCCGCCATCCACGAGAAGGTCCACGAAGCGCCCATCGTTCACGAGGTCACCACTCTCCCCCCTATCGGCCACGACCAGTTCTTGAAGCTCAAGGAAGGTCTCTCCGGTGCTACCCACTCCGACAAGTCTCACTCTCACCAACATTGTAAGTGTAATTCTCCTCGGGAACAGCACAATATCTGACTTCTTTTCCCAGACGAGGGTGCTCCCCGAGTCGGCGGCCACACCTCTCAAACTGGCACCACTTCCTCTGCCGCCCCTTCGACCACTCAGGGCCCCACCACCACCATCTAAACTACATAATGTAATTCATAATCTTCATTGTACGGGGTCTTAGGGGGTTTGCGTAGGGGTAGAGCAAACGATATCAAGTTTGAAGTTTTCATCTGTAGCCATTAGCATCTTAATCCGTTATAACAGTAAATACACGTTTCGTTATCATGTTATGCAGAGACATACATGATACATCTGTCAATGTCTCAGAAATCGTTCTCAGGCGGCATCTGAATGTGAGACATGACTGTAAAGATACATGTGTCATCGATAAGGTCGTTTCAGACATCTGGCCCTTTCCATATTTCGCGGCTATGATGACGTTGATGCAGGGGTGATAACAAATTCGCTCGGGCAAGCCTTCACTTGCAATCTCGTCGTGACAGCATTTCCGGCCATCTATTCGCGATGTGATATATTCGTATCAAGGTGAAAGATCGGACTCGCTGGACGAGTCTGAGTCTGAACCGGCCGTCAGTGTACGTCGCGTTGTATCTCCTTGACACCTTTTCAACTACAAGGAAGATAAGTACTGACCGTAGTCTACAAGGTATCGCTCAAATCTAGGACCTCCAATCTCCATACCGATTTGCGTCATCTCTTCCACATGTGTCATGCGCTGCTCTCGTCGCCTCCATCTTTCTTCCAGCTGATCCAAGGCATATTGGCCACTTTCTATCGCCGGTTTCCAACTCAACCCTCTTCCAAACTCCCACCCTTCCCTGCAGCGCCATACACCAGTACTTCCCATAGGTCTTACAGATAGTCTGGGTGCTCGAAGTGTCGGAGACAGGTCGACAGTGGCGACAGTGGAATCCGAGTCGTATTCAGAGCCAGAGGATGAATCAGAGTAGTGTGACGAGGAAGAACACGAGTCTGAGATCTCTTCATTAGCGGCCAAGGGCCTGAGGGGAGGCAGAAGTGACGTTGGGGGACGGCACTCGCTCCTAGCCAAAGATGGGGTCGATGAAGCACATGAGCCTGTGTGTGTTCCGGGAGGAGTGGTGGCTGAGGAGGCGGTGATAGTCGGCGAGGTGGTGTGGAATCCAGAGCTCTCGTCGAGCGATGAGGAGGTGGTACCGGGCTGAAGAAGAGCACGCAGGGGATTGCGTGGCGGAGGAGTTGGCGGTTGAGCAGGTAGCGTCCAAGTTGTCGTCTCGGAAGGAGCCTCGTCGTCCACAGTCATGATGCTTGCCTTCTCCCATATCTCTCTTGATCCGAATGCTGTTCCTTGAGCTTCATCCCATACACCATCCTCCATTCGGTGGTGATGAGTCCTCGAACTAGTACGTTCTGACTGCTGAACAGAAATCTGATATTCGTCTCTGAGATGAGGATGTTTTGCGAAGTATTCGGCGTGCTTTGGTGGGGGCTTAGGGGAGGGATGAGCTGGGATGGGCGGAACGGCAATGGGATGAGACTGGAGACTATACGCAGACAGAGGAAGGGTACTCGGCATTCCGCAGGACATCGCGTAGTACCCATGTTCCATGGCACGCCCGTGACTGACCATATTGGCTAACCTAGCGCTGTCGGATCCCACCTGTGCTGTGTACACTTGGGGGCTCATTTGCTGCCACCTATGGTCATAGAAAGTTGATGGATGATAGTAGGGATAGTAGCCTTTATCAACAAGGGCCGAGGCCAGAGGTGAGCGCGTGTGATCAGGGAAAGTGGGTTGAACAAGGCTGTACGGCGAAGGGTACAGAGGAGGGCTGCGATACACATGAGGGTATGTTATCCCCCACCATCCGGGAGGTGGAATGAATTCCGGCTGATATGACTCTTGCGCGGAGACGGGCCGCGATTCTGGCCGTGAAGCGGTCAGAGAAGGTTGATGGGGGCGGGCGAGGGAGGCGTAGGGGATGGGTTGGGGAGGCGAGGCTGCCATCGAGGTGCAAGTGATAGAAGATGATGATGTGATATGCTGAGATGTATCGAGAATCAGATTGTGCGCGTTGGGTCATAGTGGTTGAGTCAACCGGGTGGAAAAGCGGAATGGAGGACTGGCGGCCCGAGCGCAACATTTTGCAACACGTCGTACGAGCCATATCCGGAAACATGACTGGCGATGAAATGGTATTCGATACAGTAGCAACCGAGGCCAACTATGCATGGGTCATAACAGAAATTAAGCTGAAATAAGGAAATCTTCCGCTTCTAACGCTTCTTTCGCACTCTCTATTCTAGAACACACCATCTAGTCGACGTCCATCTCCTCGACAGTAGCTTCGGGCTGCTCCTCAGCCTTGGGCTCCTGTTGGGGCTCAGGGGCGGGGGTCTCAGTCTTAGCCTTAGGCTTGGGCTTGTTGAGGATAGCATTGCTGCTGTAGACAACGTCCTCTCGCTTGGTGTTGATCTCGGCGGAGGTGATGATGGGGTTGACGTTCTTAGGCTTCTCGGATTGACGGAAGAGCTGGTTCTCGAGCCAGTGTTGAGTGTTGGCACACTTCTCGATCTGCGACCGTGTCAGTGTCGCTCAAAACAAATGACAGATGGTCTACTCACAACCTTGTTCTTCTCAGCCTCCTCGATGTGGGCGTACTTTTCGTCGTCACCCTGGGCAGCAGTCAAATAGGTGTTCAAAGCCTCCTTAAGCGCAGCAGCGGCCTTGGGCCTCTCCTCGGTCTCCTTCCACCTCAGGTAGATGGGGTCACCCAAGACCTTGAGGGCATCAAGCTTGGCGACGTAAGCAGACTTGTTGGCGTCCTCACCCTCATCGGAGTAGAGCCAGTCCTCGGCCTCCTGGAGACCCTTGAAGAGAGCCTCCTTCTCCTGGGGCTGAACGTAGGCGGCGTATCGGTCGTCGAGCTTGCCTCGGGTGTCGTAGACGTATTCTTCAAGAGCGTTCTTACGGTCCTATAGAACGAGTCAGCAAAGTCACAGCTAAGAAAAAGAAGGGGCTCACCTCAGTCTCGAGCACCAACTTGTCGTCGGCGTGCATCTTACCCTCAGACTCGGTCAAGTCGTTGACCTTGTCCTGACCCAAACCAGTGTACTGGCTGACAATGGGGCAGTCACCCTTCCTCACAACCTTCTTGACCAACTTCTTCTCGACAGTAGCCTCCTCGCCCTCACCAACGGTGACCTCCTCCTCCTTCTCGACCTCCTCAACGACGTAGGCGTTCTCAAAGTTCAAGATACCGTGCAAATTGAGACGGGCCTTGACCTTGACAATAGCAAGCTCGCCAGAGGCAGGAACCTCGACGTTCTTGACGGTGAGCTTGCCGATCCAGGGGTTGATACCCTTAGGGAGGGTGGCAGGCTCGGCGTAAGAAGCCTCGAGGGCGAAGGGACCCTTTCGGTAGAAGGTAAGGACCTTGGTGGAGGGGATGGGGTTACCAGTACCAAAGACGGTAAGCTCGGTGTCCTCGTCCGGGTTTCCGGCCTCCTTCTCCCATGAGACCTTGATAGGGTAGGCGGTGATGTCGTGAACGGCAAACTCCCTGACTCGGAAGACGGGGGAGAGGGTGGCACAGGCAAAGGTGGCACCTCGGGCGATGGCCTCGTCCTGGTTGGTGGTGAAAGAGAGGGTCTTGCCGCCGAAGAACTTGGAAATTCGCTCCTTGATGGCGGGGATACGGGTAGAACCACCGACAAGCTCGACAGCGTCGACCTGCTCGATGGTCAAACCAGCCTTTTCGAGGGCCTCAGCAAGGGGGTTGCTGACTCGGTCGAGGAGGTGGGCGGTGAGCTCCTCAAAGACCTCTCGTTTCAGGGTAGAGTTGGCGTCAATGTCGTTCATCAAAGACTCGACGTTGAGAGGAGCCTCGCCGTTGGCGGAGAGAACCTTCTTGAGACGCTCACAACCGGTGGTGAGACGGAACACAGCCTTGGGGGAGGAGAGGACATCGATCTTGTACTTGGTCTTGAACTCCTCGGCAAAGTGCTGGACAAGGGCAAAGTCAAAGTCTCGGCCACCGAAGTGCCTGTCGTAGGCGGTGGACTTCACGGTCAGTTGACCCTTGGAGAAGGCGACAACGGCGACAGAGTAGTCAGAGTGACCGACGTCAACAAAGACGATGTTTCTGGGAGTCTCGGGGTCCTCGGGGAGGTCGGCCTTGGTGATACCGTAGCCGAGGGCGACAGCGGTAGTGTCGTTGATGAGTCGGAGGGCGTTGAGACCGGCAATGTTTGCGGCGTCAAGCAAAGCTCGTCGTTGGACGTCGGTGAACCATCCGGGAACGGCAATGACGACGTCAGAGACGGCTTGCTTGAGCTCGAAGGAGGCAGTGTCCTTAAGCTTGCCGAGGTAGGCAGCGGTGAGCTGGGTGAAGGAGAAGTCGGTGGGCTCGCCAAGGTAGTCGACCTGGAATCATTAGCTACGTGGAAAGACATTTCTGGATCAACTCACCTTGATGCCGACTTCACCAGCAACGTCAACAAGCTGAGCGTTGATAAACTTTTTCTCGATCTCAGAGACTTCGGGGTCGTTTGCTGTTCTACCGATTAACCTCTTCAAGGATCCGATGGTGTTCTTGAAGTTAGAAGTCTCGGCAGTCTTGGCAGATTCACCGATGAATCGCTGACGGGGGGTAAAAGAGACGAGAGAGCTGTGACGAAGCGTTAGCTCTCGGACGTTATCTCTGTGCTCTCCTGATCATCTAGGTCCTTCCACGGCGTTCCGTTCATTCGCCACTTTCACCTGGGACACACACTTCTCCAGCTGTTCTCTCTTGAAAATCATGGCCTGTCCCCTAGACATGGTGGCAGCGTATCAACAGGTCGCGAGCCACGTGGACTCGTCGTGGCGGACTTTTCGCCATCCGACTGTTCGCAAGTGCCCTCCCCTTAGTCGCTTCAATCTCGTGGAGAAGACCTAGAGTATCAAGAGCACTTGTGGATATCAACTCACGGAGTAGCACGGTTGGAAACCTCGTTGACGATGATGTCGATACCCCTGTGTCGGGCGACACCAATCTTGGAGGAAAGGTTTCCGAGATCAATACCAACAACACTCTGTCACAAAGTCAGCGCTACGCCTGGTCCGGTGAGCAGAGAGCTGAGCTTACGGCCATTTTGTCTGATATGTATAGTTTTGGGTGGTGTTACAGAAAAAGGGAGGTAGAAGTGAGAACACGTCGCAGAGGTTGCAAAAAGAGACAGAGATCACGCAACGGAACCAAAAATTCGACATTCGCATCGAGTGCTCCAGAATTCGCTCGAAGGTTTTCGGCGGCGGCGCTTGGGGCGGACATGACCGCCCACGCACGCAGGGTTGAATGATGAGTTGAGCCATATCGAAGTTGGTTTGGTGTGTATATGGCGGACGTTGCCTAGTCGCATACGGCCAGTGGGTAGAAAGAGAGGAAAATTGGTTTGCATTGTTCCAAGATCATCTCGGCCGCGGGCGCGTACTTCTTTTGACATTGGTCTGTCCCTGACAGAGAGATCAGGCAATAACATGTCTGCAGTCTCTTCAAGCATGCAAGGATTAGTGCTATGTATGTTCCTCGCCGTATTCTCCTTTCGAAGAGCCGCCGTACGATTTCCTAATCCTCTTGAGGAGTCGAGTCCTCCTCCTCTTGCGCGCACGTGACGTGCAGTGTTGACAGGAGGAAGTTGCATTTTTACGTAAGCAATGACGTCCACCTTCTAGAGAGTTCTACATCTTGGTAGGCAAGACCTCGCATTCCCATCTGCGCGACTTATAAACCCACCCGTACTTGCACGCGAGAGTCTTTTTTTGTCTCAAACTGCAAATCGGAAAACATAACCACAATGGTTAACAACACTGAATATTACAAGGTGAGCATCACCACGCCACCACCGCACCTCTGTGCTATCGCTGACGGTCTTCCTTCAGATCTTGGGCGTTAGCAAGGACGCCAGCGAGGCTGAACTCAAGAAGGTTAGCTCTCACTACGCATGCCTGTGAACCGTGTACTCACTCGTCTATAGGCCTACCGCAAAGAGTCCTTGAAATGGCACCCGGACAAGAACCCAGGCGACAAGCGCGCCGCGGCCGAGGAGAAGTTCAAGAAGATTGGAGAAGCCTACGAGGTCCTCTCTGACACTGTGCGTATACACATCACCATCCGTTGTCAATATGAAAGCTAACTGTGATGACAGAACAAGAGAGAGATCTACGACCAGCTTGGTGAAGAAGGGTTGAAGAATGGAGGCGGCGGCGGAGGTGGTGGGTTCGGAGGGTTCCCAGGAGGCGGAGGTGGACACTTCAGTGCTGCCGACCCCAACGACATCTTCAAGTGAGTTCCCAAGACCTTCAGGCTCTCTGTGCCTAGTCCGACAGTAGCTGATACCTTTGTTCTAGCACCTTCTTCTCCAGCATGGGTGGCGGTGGAGGCGGACACGACGACATCTTCTCCTCCTTTGGCGGTGGCTCTTCGTTCGGGGGTGGTGGTATGGGAGGTGGCCGTGGTCCCCGGGCACGAACGCGGGCAAGCGGTATGGGCGGCGGTATGCCTGGCGGTTTCGGTGGTGGCTCTGCCGACCCTCCTCCTCCTGTGGGCGAAATCATCAAGCCTCTCGCTCTTACGCTCGAGGAGCTGTACAAGGGCGGCACCAAGAGGCTCAAGATTACAAGACACTTGCAAAGCGGAGGGCAGGCGGAGAAGATCTTGGAGGTGGCGTACAAGGCGGGCTGGAAGAAGGGCACAAAGATCAAGTTTGCGGGTGCTGGTAACGAGGACGAATACGGACAAGCTCAGTAAGTTCCTTCCAACTGAGACGAAATGCCAAGCTGACGAGAAATCAGAACGGTTGCGTTTGTGGTGGAAGAACGACCTCATAACCGATTCGAACGTGTCGACGACGACCTCGTCACCAAACTCAACATCTCGCTGTCTCAAGCCCTTCTCGGCCCCGACGGTGGAGGCGCCATCACCAAGGAAGTGGAGCAGCTGGATGGTAGGAGAATCCAGGTTACTTTGCCTGAAGGAGTGAGTACTCTTCTGATATCTGCGCAAGAGGACGGAAGCTGATGAATCCTAGCAAATCGTCCAACCGGGACAAGAGACGCGAATTCCAGGAGAAGGCATGCCCGTCTCCAAAGCCAACTCGGCCAAGAGGGCCGGAGATCTTGTGGTCAAGTGGAACGTCGTCTTCCCCACCAGAATCTCTCCGGAGCAGAGGAAGGAGTTGCGCAAGGTACTTGGTTAAGCGCTGGAGGTGTCAATAGAGGAGTCTGAAGAATAGAATTTTGGGAAGAAGGGATCATTCAGTAGTCCCCCACAAAAGACAATATTAACATTTGACGATTAATGCATATTTGTATCGCTTTCGCAATGCGCGTCTATCCCAAGGGTGAATACAAACAAATAAGACTCGGTACACTAGGCGAGGTTGATATCATTCAGGGCACAACAGACTGCCGCTCTGTGGATCGTCAGTCACGAACGGCAGGCGATGAACGGTCCATACCTGTGGTGTCCATCGTACTGCCGCACAGTCTCTCCCAAGCTCAAATCCCACAACCTCGCAGCATGATCGCTCGATGCTAGCTCCCATCAGCTCATATCTCTGAACCAGGAGACAAACTCACCAGTGACCAAATAAGCACTATCCGCACTAAAAGCAGCATCCCAAACCCATCTCTGATGTCCCACCAACGTCTTTTCCAATGTATAATCGATCCCCGCGGTGGACCAAACTTTGACGGTATGGTCGGCGGAGCAGGTGGCGAGATATTTGGTGTCGGGGGATAAGATGCAGCGGGTAATGTATTTGGTATGGGCGCGGAACGAGGTTACGGGGATGAGGTTGGCGTTGGCATTGGGGACGGGAATGATGCGCCAGACGTAAACCATGCCCTGAGAGATGGTTAGCTGATGAAACTAGATTGGGGAGAGAGACTTTCATTGTCGTTGGCGGCTACCAGGGTATTCCCATCCGATGATATACAGACTGTTCTTATAGGAACATCCTCGTCCGGAACCTATCACAATCAGCCTTGCTTTCTCGAAATGAGATTCACTCACTAGCTCGTGTGTACAGCTGTTCTCTGCCAAATCCCAGATCTTCACACTTCCCGACTGATCACAACTTATAAGTTCTCCCTGGTTCGGGTGTATCACAACGTCATTCACTGGGCAGTCGTGCGTGTACATTCTTTGCGTTTGCGCCGTCCTACCTCTCTTGTCAGTCACAAGCATTACTGTACAGGGGAGAGGTGGCTTACCGGGTATCCCATACTTTGACACATCCGTCTTCACCGCCAGTCACGATCCATTTGCCTAGAGCGCTATAGGCGAGCGCAACGACGTTACCGCTGTGTCCTTCCAAGCTTGCTATCTACATATCACGTTAGTCACTTGGTCTTGGAATGGCTCGGGCATACATACAGGAGAGTTTGACATGGATGAGATATCCCAAATGCTTCGCAAGTATCAGCTTTGTACTTGTTCAATAGTCAAGGTAGCGACGTACCGAACCGTGTTGTTTCCTGCAGCAGCAACGAACGCCTTGTTGGGGCTGATAGCCAGCCTATTGACTTGTTTCTGTACGCCTCCTGTCAGCAATCAAAGAGGAGTGATTCTGAGGAGTTGAGACTTGCCCAGCCTGGTTGCAGTGTGATCTGGCGACAGCAGATACCACTCCATGCTTCCCAAAATCGTATCGTATGGTCGTCTATGAATATATCATCAGCTGAAGGTCAGCTCCAGTGCAACCTCTTCTCGCTTCATATCAAAGAGGCGTGTAGACGATAGGAGTGATGACTCACACCCGGCGGTACACAGAATCACGCTCATCTCTGCTGGTTGGCCCTGGGCTGAGTCGGAATTGTACTCTTGGGAGGACGCCGGTGGAGGAGTTGCTGTGGAGGCCATTTTGTAGAAAACGGAAAAGAAGGTGGGCGAGAGAGAGCCGGCGGTGGAGGGGTAGTCAAGATAGGGAGAGCACAAGCAGGCTCTGCGGGGGTTAGAGGTTATAGATCTCGTGACATCACGATATTTATTATGCGGCCTGTTGTCGGTGGAAGCTGACTCGAGGTTGAGCTGAGTGCACGGGAGGCCATGCAGCAAGCCTGTGTCTGAAAACATACAGATATATTCACAACGGTCGGCCCCTGATTCTCTGCCATCAAGCATAGAGATATTCACCCTCGGAAAGCTACAGAAATTCGCGAAACGGTTCAACGAACGTTCCCGTCAGCACCCTCTCTGACCAACGCACCGGCAGACACCTTTCCCGTCAAAAGACAGACACCCAGAAGGCCCTGCTCAGCGTATGAAGGAGCCGAGTTCGTTCCCAAATACATGAATACTGAGAGAGAAATCGTTATCTCGTGGTATAAAGGGGCTCGCAGAGAGGATGCACGGTGAAGCTCTGAGGGTCAATTGGGCTTTCCACTCTTTGAAGGAACATGAGACGAGCCTCAGCGAGCATAAGCCTCACCGCTCGAGCAATTTGGTGCCTCACGAGGTAGTGGAAAACCCCTAGATACCACCATGCAGTTCTGCGCGATACGGAAGCAGGCTCGACAGGTGCACAGAAAGGAGTCGGACGTTTCGCTGGTTGCATGGTTATAATAAGCTTTTGCTACTTTTTCCGTCGGGTGTAGGATTGCTGACAGTCCTTCCTGAATCCTCTTCTCCCTATTACTTGTTGTGGCCTCTTCCGTCTCAGCGCTTCATCTAAACATCCAGGATGCCATCCCAAAGCGCCCTCCCTCGCAAACAGCTTCCGCGCCTCTCCATAGCCATAGAGCAGTCAGCGTCGGTGCACTGCGGCTGCGATCGAGAGCAGTGCATTAAGATAGCTGACGGAACACGCGGAGTGGATGGAGCATTGCCCATTCTGTCAACAAGGATGCTCAGGAACGCACCAAAAGGATGACGGCGAATGACGCACAGACGCGATGACGTAGGAAGCAACCCAAATGGGGTTATGTATATAACCCATCTCCCGCTTTATCCCCTGCCACATTCCAACTTACATTCAACTTACATCCCCCATTCATCCACACAAACAAACATACACAATGGTCGACCTTGGAGCCCCCATCGGAACTCACAACGCTAGCGAATACGTCCAGCAGGAGAGGGCTGGCTTCAACCACGGCGTCGGCGGCGGACACGCTTCTGGCGGTATGTTTCTCATTCTCTTTGTAATTTTCATTCTCACACATCCATAGGTATCCCCACTGGCACTCCCATTGCCGACAAGTTTGGCAACAACACCACAGGTACCACCGGAGCGTCTACCACCGATAAGCTCGAAAATGCTCTCGACAACTATGGTTCCCATGGAACCTCGGGTACTCGAGGTGCGGGTGTAGGCAGTGGAAATGCTGTCGGCGGCCAGTATGCTGGCAGCGGTACTAGCGACGGCCTTACCGGACAAAGTGAGTTGTAAAAAAAACATGCGCAGTTGAAGGACGGCAGGCTGACGTGATGTAGGCGGCGCGCACGCCACTGGCGCGGGCTACTCTTCGTCCACTTCTGCCGGCGTCCCTGGAGGCTACCCCAGCGGCCAGACCACTTCTGGCTCTCACGGTGCCCGTGATGCTGCTCTTGCCGGAACTGCTGGTGGAGCTGCGGGTGGAGCCGGCGTTCTTACAGGCGACAAGTACGGTTCTTCCAAGTCGGGACCCACTTCTGGTGCCGCCTATGGCTCCAACCCTACCTCCCAGTCTGGTGCTTACGGCTCTGGCGCGGGTGTCGGTCCCAACAGCGGATCCACCGGACAATACGCTTCTACCACTGGCTCTAACGCCGGCGGCGTCCCCGGTTCTACTACTTCTGGCTCTCACTCTGGGCTTGGAAAGGGCGCTGCCCTTGGTGCTGGAGCCGGTGCTGCTGGAGGAGCCGGTGCGAGTGCGCTTGCAGGCCACCACGGCTCTTCTGCCCAAGACCCATCTTTGACTTCTGGCGCTCAGGACCCTTCTTTGACTGGAACTCGAGGAGCTGGCGTCGGTGCTACCGGGGTTGGGGCTGGAACTGGCGTTGGCGCCGGAGCTGGAGCTGGATCCGCTTCCCTCACTGGATCTTCAGGAAGCGGAGCTGGCAAGTACGGCCGAGGCACCCACAACCCCAACATCGGTCGTAAGCCCATCTCTCTCCTTCCCATCATCATACTGATCCCACCGTAGAGCCCATCTCCGACCCCAAATCTCTCGACACTGGCGGTCCCCACTCTCTCGTGTGGGACGCTGCTACCGGCAAGTATGTGCACCGACGTGAACTCACCGGTGGTGTCGGAAGCACTGGCGAGGATGTTGTGAAGGGCGCTGCCAAGAGGGCTCTCTAAGAGGACGGAAAAGGAATCAGAAGTACAAGCAGTAATTTTCAATAATATTTGTAGCGAGATATATGAATCGTGTAGCCCATTGCCGCGTAGTCGTCTAATACAGCATCTCGTCCGTCCATAAGTCCATTGTCGCAACAACATCTCTACCATGTGGCAGATCTCTGAATGATACAACGTTCAGCAGATCCAACGCTACGAAACCAATTGGAGCCTCCAGAGAGCGATAGATCACATTCTCGAGGTCACCTGTTGTCGGCCGCTCCACTCGTCGGACGGTTTCATCAATATACGCACTGTGCCCATAATGCTTATGTATGATTATATATTGCAGCTATACATACAAAATTTCACGACGTGCCAGATGGTCCTAATGTACATTATTTCTTTCGTTTTTGGGCACTAGCTTTACCCCGTTCTTGAGCTTTTCGCTTGTTGGTCTCCGCAGCCTCCTCTTCCCTTGTTCTTTCTTCTTCTAGCTCTACACAATGTTCTTCCCAATACTCAGGGTCAAATGTTTTCCCTCCGGGGAACCTGTGCGTCTTCTTGCTTTGGCGAGCACTCTGATTATCTCTGAACGCATTCTCCATGCGTTCTACCTTTGCTTGAAGTAAAGAGTTTTGTGCTGCCAGGGATTCGAATCCTTTCTGAGTCTTCCACAGGGCATCTGTTGCGTCAAGCTCGCCTCTTTTGACTGCAAGAGCCTGGGAACGTAGCATCCTCACGTTCTGGGGGGTACGGGGGAGCTCTTTCTTCCCTCGAGGGGGTGGAGTAATTCGCTCTTCCACCTATAGCACATTAATATGGGTCTATGCATACTGATCTGCCTCACTGTATTGTGGCAATCTCTCTCGTTTTCCATTGTGTCAGCCTTCTGCCGCTGGCTATCCTGGAACCTAAGAAAACGCGAACTGAGCGTGTCGCGATGACGCTGGATGAAGCGTGACGCCCAGTTCATTCCCAGCTTTTCGCCAGCCAGTGCTTCCCCAAGCTGTTGGACGTGTAAAACCCGAAGGTTGGTACCCCGCTCGGCAGAAACATTGATTTCCGCTACCAGCCCCGCCTCCTGGATCTTAGAGAGCTTCCCACGCTGGCTATCCGCGTTAGAGGGGTGCTTGCCGGATATGCGGTCGTGGAGGGTGGAGGGAGGGACATTGAACTGTCTCGCCAACGAACCATGCTTTGATCGGGGTGCGTGTTGTGATGCTCAAGTGCTAGGGAGATCGAATCGGCCATTGTCGAGATATGTAATGATAAAGATGATACATAACATAGGTGAAACTGTCCGACGATGGAAGTGGAGCGCGACGAACACGTGACCTCGAGTACGTGAGATCACCTCGCATCGTAGCCGCAAGCGCACCCGCAATCGTTATCTGCGGCAGGGGTTGATAACGCGCCCCGTGCCTCATCTGAGCTCTATTTCAAGGCCTGTCCAGCTGTCCCAAACCACACTCTGCAAGTATACACGTATAGGTACCCCCCATGCATGCCCAGCAACCCCCTAGGCGAGCCTACAGCCACAAGCGGGCCTCTCCACCGTGCCTTAATCTATTATCACTCCCACGTGGCATGGTTTTTTCTTCGCTTGTCCGACCGAAATTGAGTCGCATCTTGACTTTCTCTACCACTTTGCTATCAATCCTCTCGCGGGCATCCCCAGCCCTTCCCACCACAACCATGCTCCGAACCCTCCCCCGTGCCCGTGCTGCCCTCCGCCCCCGAGCCTTCGCCCCTCTCCCCCGCGCATCCCTTATCAGGAACTATGCCGTCGCTGCCCCAGCAGTCGGCTCTTACTCCCAGGTAGACGGCGAGCCCACCCTCAACTCTCCCTCCGAGCTCGCCAGGAAGATCTCTGCCCAGGTTCTGCCAAAGCTCGAGAAGCCTGATGTGAAGAAGGTCTTGGTTGTTGGCAGTGGTGGTCTCTCCATCGGCCAGGCTGGAGAATTTGACTACTCTGGTGAGTCCTTTCAACGAAGAATTGAGCCTGGCTGACGTTATAATCAGGATCCCAGGCTATCAAGGCTCTCCGAGAGTCAAATATCGAGACTATCCTCATCAACCCCAACATTGCTACCATCCAAACATCACACCACCTTGCCTCTGAAATCTATTTCCTCCCCGTCACGCCCGACTATGTCGCGTACGTGCTCGAAAAAGAGCGCCCAGACGGTATCCTCCTGACCTTTGGTGGTCAGTCCGCCTTGAACGTTGGTGTGCAGCTCGAAAAGATGGGTGTCCTTGAGCGATTGGGCGTTAAGGTGCTCGGTACGCCTATCAGGACTTTGGAGGTCTCTGAAGACCGAGACTTGTTTGTCCAGGCCTTGAACGAGATTGATATTCCCGCTGCTCAATCGACCGCCGTGTCGACTGTCCAAGCCGCGCTGGATGCGGCTGCCGAGATTGGCTACCCCATCATCCTCCGATCGGCGTTCTCGCTTGGTGGTTTGGGATCCGGTTTCGCGCACAATGCTGAAGAGCTGGAAAACTTGGCGTCCAAGTCGCTTTCGCTCTCACCGCAAGTGTTGATTGAAAAGTCCTTGAAGGGCTGGAAGGAGGTTGAGTACGAGGTTGTCCGTGATGCTGCCGACGTGAGTTTTCCTCCCGACCTTTTAGACATTGCTGACGCGCGCAGAACACCATCATTTGCTGCAACATGGAGAACTTTGACCCCCTCGGTACGCACACTGGTGACTCTATTGTCGTTGCCCCCTCCCAAACTCTCTCCGACGACGAGTACCACATGCTCCGATCTGCCGCCATCAAGATCGTCCGACACGTCGGTGTCGTCGGTGAATGCAACGTCCAGTACGCCTTGGACCCCAACAGCAAAGACTACAGGGTTATCGAGATGAACGCCCGTCTCTCTCGATCCTCTGCCCTTGCTTCTAAGGCCACCGGTTACCCCCTTGCCTACACTGCCGCCAAGATTGCCCTTGGCCACACCCTCCCTGAACTCCCCAACGCCGTCACAAAGTCCACCACCGCGTGCTTTGAGCCTTCCCTCGACTACATCGTCACCAAGATCCCCAAGTGGGACTTGGCCAAGTTCCAGCACGTCGAGAGGAACGTCGGCTCTGCGATGAAGTCGGTCGGTGAAGTCATGGCTATCGGTAGGACCTTTGAAGAGTCGCTCCAAAAGGCTATCAGGCAGGTCGACCCCAACTTCTGTGGGTTCGACGCCTACTGGAAGCCCGAGGACATGACTACTGCCTTGACCGAGAACAATGACCGACGACTGTTTGCCATTGCTCACGCGATGCTCAACCTCGACTACTCTGTCGACAAGCTTCACAACCTCACCAAGATTGACAAGTGGTACCTGTACAAGCTTGAAAACATCACCAACGTCTACAAGACTCTCCAAAACACTCCCTTCGAGAAGATTGATAAGGAGCTCTTCACCACTGCCAAGAAGACTGGTTTCAGTGACTTGCACATCTCCCAGTTGGTTAATGTCAAGGAGGACGAGGTGCGAGCTGCCCGAAAGGCCGCTGGCGTGACTCCATTTGTCAAGCGAATCGACACTCTTGCTGCCGAGTTCCCCGCCTACACCAACTACCTCTACACCACCTACAACGCCTCGACCCACGACCTCGAGTTTGAGGAGAATGGCACTATGGTCCTTGGTTCCGGTGTCTACCGAATCGGTTCTTCCGTCGAGTTTGACTGGTGTGCCGTCACCTGCTCTCGAGCTATCCGATCTCAGGGCAAGAAGACCATCATGATCAACTACAACCCTGAGACTGTGTCTACCGACTTTGACGAGGCCGACAGGCTCTACTTTGAAGAGCTCGGATGGGAGCGAGTCATGGACATTTACGAGCTTGAGGGCGCCGACGGTGTCGTCGTCTCTGTCGGTGGTCAGCTTCCCCAGAACATTGCCCTCCGACTCAAAAAGTCTGGCGTCAACGTTCTCGGTACCGACCCCGAGCAGATTGACAATGCCGAGGACCGACACAAGTTCTCTTCCATCCTCGACTCTATCGGTGTCGACCAGCCCGTTTGGACTGAGGCTACCTCCCTTCAGGCCGCCAAGGACTTTGCCGCCCAGGTCAACTACCCCGTCCTTATCCGACCCTCCTACGTCCTGTCTGGTGCTGCCATGAACGTCGTCTGGGACGAGGGAGAGCTCGAGGCCAAGCTTACTGCCGCCGCCGACGTCTCTCCTCTCCACCCTGTCGTCATCTCCCAGTTCATCGACAATGCCCAGGAAATCGACATTGACGCTGTTGCCCACCAGGGCAAGCTCCTCGTCCACGCCGTTTCCGAGCACGTCGAGAACGCTGGTGTTCACTCTGGTGATGCCACCCTCGTCCTCCCTCCCTTCTCCCTCAAGGAGAGGGACATGGAGAGGCTCAAGGAGATTGCCGAAAAGGTCGCCAAGGCTTTCGACATCTCCGGTCCTTACAACATGCAGATCATCAGGAAGCCCGAGGAGAATGGTCAGGAGGCCGAGTTGAAGGTTATCGAGTGTAACCTTCGAGCGAGTAGGAGTTTCCCCTTCGTCTCCAAGGTTCTCGGTAAGAACTTTATCGATGTTGCCGCTGCTGCCATCACGTAAGTCGCTTTCTATCGATGATTTGATTGTGCTGATGAGAACAGCGGCACCAACGTCCCCGAGCCCATCGACTTGATGAAGGAGCAGCGAGACTATGTCGCCATCAAGGTGCCCCAGTTCTCCTGGACCCGATTGCCCGGTGCCGACCCCTTCCTCGGTGTCGAGATGGCCTCCACTGGTGAGGTCGCCTCCTTCGGTAAGGACGTACACGAAGCCTACTGGGCCGCGCTCCTCTCCGTCAACGGCTTCAAGCTCCCCAAACCCAATTCCGGTATTCTGCTCGGTGGTGACATTACCCGTGCTGAGCTTCCTTCCATTGCCAACAACTTGATCAGCTTGGGCTTCAAGCTGTACACTTACGACCCCAGGGTCGAGGAGTTTATCAACCAACAACCGTACTTGGCGATCAAGAAGATCTTTGTCCCTGTCAAGGACAAGAGAAAGTTGAGGGAGGTGTTGGAGGAAAACGAGATCTCTTGTGTGATCAACGTTTCCAGGTCTAGGGCTGCTACCACCGCCGACGAGGACTACGCCTCCAGGAGGGCCGCCGTCGACTTTGGCATTCCCGTAAGTC